TTATAGTTAGTTAAATTTGTTTCCTCTCCCTGAGACTCTTTTCTTGGTCAAGAGGCCCTTCAGAAAGTTGGGGCTTTGTTTCCTGTTCTTCAACTAGAGGGAATTATCCACTCACCCTTCCTCAGACTTGACTGTCTCTTTCCTGGGATCCAGCTCCACGAGAGAGCTGTGGCACAAGTTGGTCGGTAATGAGCCAGCACAACTAAGGAGCATGCTTACTGCTCTCAGCTATGCAGGAGGCCCTGTTCTAGACGCTTTCATGCAGATCATTTCACAGAGTCCACTTGTCTGCCCTGAAATTGGCTTTATTACCCGTTCTGAGATATCAGAATTGAAACTAGAAGTTAGCTCATAGAGGACCTGCATTTAGGACTTGATTCTTGATAACACCACGTCCTCAACTCGTGTTCTCCCCTCTGCTTCCTTGTTTAACACTTTAAACCATGGATGTTTCTCAAACTTTACTGTTCATAGGAATCAACCTAGTGAGTTTGTTAAACTGCAGATTTGGGTTTAGTAGGTCTGAGGTGAAACCCAAGATTCTGCATTTCTGACAAGCTCCAGGTAATGGTAATATTGCTGGCCAGGCAGTCATATTTTTTAAATAGCAAGGTTTTTATGTACCTTTATATATATGTCCTTGTTGGAACCTTAGGGTCAGACTTTGGAGCCCAGTGCTTGAGTGTTATCCTAGATGTGGAGAGGGAAAGGGAAACAGGAGTAGCTTTGCTTTAGATGTCTCCATTATTTAGTGACGCAGCTGGGACTGGAGCCCAGATTTCCTTCCCTGATTCCAAGCCGTGTGCTCTGTCTTCTACATCGTCAGGTAAAGTTATCCTAACCTGAATTCTTCTATCCATATGGATTGTTTTTAAAATCCTTCATATTTCTTTAGTTTTTTTCCCCCTAGGCTGCACAGTGAGCTAAAATATGACTAAACTTGACATTGAAGAGTGCTGGAAAGTAGCCATACTATTTACTTTTCTGTGTTTATTAAATAACAAATACAGAGCACTTGGTGCTGTGTGCCAGGCGTGATCGTAAGTGCTTCATAAATATTGACTTAATTCATCCTCCTAGCAGTGCTTTGAGGTAGGTTCAATTATTTCCATTTTACAAATATTTTCTCAGGTCCTTTCTCTCTCCTCCTTCTGGGACCTGTGTAATGCGAATGTTGGTGCATTTAATACTGTCTCAGAGGTCTCAGACTGTCCTCATTTCTTTTTACTTTTTTCATTCATGTCTTCAAGCTCACTTATGTGTTTCTTCTGTGTCACTTATTCTGCTATTGAGTCCTTCTAGTGTATTTTTTATTTAAGTTATTGTATTGTTTATCTGTTTAACTTTCCTGGTGGCTCAGATGGTAAAGCGTCTGCCTACAATGTGGGAGACCTGGGTTCGATCCCTGGGTAGGGAAGATCCTCTGGAGAAGGAAATGGCAACTCAACTCCAGTATTCTTGCCTGGAAATTCCCATGGACAGAGAGGAGCCTGGTGGGCTACAGTCTGTGGGGTCTCAGAGTGGGACACGACTAAACTTAAACTTTATCATTCTTTAGTTTGTTGTTAAACATTCATAGTGTGTTGATCAGTGCCTCTATTCTTTTTCCAAGACCTTGGATCATCTTTACTATCTTTACTCTGAATTCTTTTTCAGGTAGATTGTTTACATTTTAGAGGTAAAGAAATTAAAGTACAGAAAGATTAAATGACTTGGCTAGGGCCACACAACCAGAAGTATAGTAGGAACAGATATACTACCTTCACTTTGGAGCTACATAGCCATGCTGTTCACACACTAGCGTTATTTTTGCCAGTTGGAGATCTGGCTAAGAAGTGTTGCAGATGCAGATTAGGGACAGTTGAGATCAGCTCTCCTCAAGTTACTTTGCGGTGCCTCATTAAATGGTAAAGACACTCTCTACAGAGGAAATTAGGGCTTTGCTGGTGGTGGAAGCATGGCGATATTTCCATCCAATGCCTTTAAATGATGTTGCATTCTTATAGCCTTGTTAGTTGGCTTTCCACCCTTTTCTTTCTGATTTTCTTCTTTTTTTTTTTTTTAACCTTAAGTGAAGTAAAAAGAGAGGGAAGCTCATTGATTCTAGTAGTTCTCTCTCCTAAGGGGGAAAAACTGTTTTTGTTATACAGGCATATTGGTGGAATAGAGACCTCCATTCTGAGAGAATTTCATTTTCATCTTAAGATCAGGCTTTCATTCTGTCAGCTTAGCTTGGATAGATTTTTTTTCTTTTGCCTAAGATTTAACCTTAGACTATTCTTATAATGTCTTCCTCTTGCCAGTGAAGCAGCCAGCCATTATAGAAACTTAAAGATGTTTTAGAAGTGAAAAAATTATCATTGTGGAGAGATTTCAACTTCTTTTTTCTCTCAGGTGGTATGTTCCCCTAGAGCTTCTTTCAGAGCAAACCCAAATAACCAACTACCCACAATTAAGGGGTCTGCTGAGTGCTGGTGTGGTCTCCAGGAGATGGGGCTTCTGTAATAGGGGATTTGTGGGACCGTGGTGCATGGAGTAGCTTGAACATGGAAGGTGCTGTGGAAGGGCACTTTGAACCCACTCACGGTTTTCCCTTGTTCACTTTTTGATGACTAGTAAGATAAAGGAAATAGTTATTTCTTGAGTGCTGGGTCCGCTCCCGTTCACCCCGTGTAGGATGAACAGGCTAAATAGCTATTGTGCTGTGTACTTTCTGCCCAAGTGGTCCTCAGTGAGTTAGAGGAGGTTCTTTAGAAAGTTAATGAGAGGAGTCTCAAGCAGTCCTCATTAGCGATTTGAGGCCTTCCCCCTTTGTTTTAGGGCCACATTAGCTTGCCTCGTGCTCTCTGAATTTAGCTTTGGATATTTTTGCCTGGGAAATCCCATGGACGAGGAGCCTGGCAGGCTACAGTCCATGGGGTCGCAGAGAGTCAGACACAACTGAGTGACTTCTCTTTCTTTCTTTTGATTCTTTTTAAAATAAAGTTTTCTGAAGGATCTCTTCCCTTTTCATTTCTTCCTCCTGCCCCAACAGAAAGAGGGGCATGAAATTCTAACAGCCTCAGGCACTACTCAGCCTCACCTTAAGCATGCGGTGTTTTGGAATTTATACATTACCACTAGTTCAAATGCTTTCCAGCACAATCAGACAGCAATGCAATACAGTCGGCCCTTTGTATCCATGGGTTTTGCACCTGTGGGTACAACAACTGCAGATCAAACATATTTTTTTAATTCCAAAAAGCAAAACTTGCATTTGCTATGTGCTGACTATTGGCATAGCATTTACTTTGTATTTCCAACTATATAGCATTTACATTGCTTTAGGTATTATAAGTGATTTAGAGTTAACTTAAAGTATATGGGAAAATATGCATAGGTTATATACAGATCCTACAGATCCAAGTTTATTTAAGAAACTTGAGCTTCCTCAGATTTTGGTATCTGTTGAGGGTGGGGAGGTCCTGGAACCAATTCCCCCTTGAATACTGAGGGATGACTGTAGTTACTTAAAAAAGTGTGTCTGACCTTTTGGCAAAAGGAGACATATAGACTTGCTGCATGGTTTTTGTGTGTGTGTGTGTGTGTGTGTGATCTTTAGTTTGCGAAGTGCTTCCACATCCATTGTAATTTAATCATCACAAGACAGCCCTGTGGGATATAGTGGGTATCAGCACCATTTTATAGATGAGGACCCTGGGGCTTATTTTTACTATTCCTTTTTATCTTCAAAATAATCTTGTGAAGAAAAGTCAGCCTCCTTGCCTAAAGTCCTTACAACTTGGTAGTAGTACAACAGGTTGTCTTTTCAAAGGCAGTGTTGGACTTTCTGTTGCAAATCAGCAGTCTTCATAGAAAGTTGTGTTTCTTGGGGGGAAAAAAACTATCTCTAAATGTAGAAAAATATAGCGTAGCTACAAAATATGGAAGCAATCTAAGTGTCCATCAAGAGATGAATGGATAAAGATATGTGTGTTAGATACACAATGGAATACTACTAAGCCATAAAAAGAATGAAATTTTACCATTTTCAGCAGCATGGATGGACCTGGAGTGTACCATGTGAAGTGAAATAAGTCAGAAAGACAGATGCTGTGAATCACTTACATGGAATTTAAAAAAGAAAACTAGTGAATATTACAAACAAGAAAAATACACATAAGAGAATAAACTCACTGGTGCCGGTGGGGAGAGGGGAGCGGGGCCGTAACTGTAAATGGGATGCGACCTTCGAACAGTGTGGCTCACACTGCGCACCTGAGACTTACAGAATACTGCGCATCAGCTGTGCCTCAGTGTAAACAAATGTGTTTGGTAAGGTGTGTAAGTGGTAACTCTCAGCGTTTGTTTCCCTGAAATGTCTTTATTTCACCTCCTTTAAGAGTTTTTTCTTTCTCACCTGGGTACACAAGTCTAGTCATTTCTCTCAGTATGTTAAAGCTGATGCACCGGTTTTCTAGTTTCCATTGCTGCTTTTGAGCCGTCCGGCTGTCACTTTGTAGATGTTCTGTCTCCCGCATGCTTTTTCCAGGGGCGTTTCGGTGGTGCTGTGAAGGCTGCTTTCCCCGCTGGACTCTCCTCGCCCGGAGCTGAAGTGCTGCCAGAGGACTCGGTGCTGAGGGGAGGTGACCAGCCTGGTCACGGGGTCCATCCGTGTCCCCGTTGCTCTTCTCAGCGCTCCTCAGAGCTACGGAAAGCTGGATTTTTGAAGGGCTGGGTACTTTAACAGCTGCCTCTCTGCCGTTTGCTTCATGCCTCACAAAGCCCAGCCCTTAGAACCCAGGTGATAGGAGAGGCTCTTCGGGGAGTGCTGATGAAGCTGCTGCCTCCAGACTGGAAATTTTTTCCAGGTCGCTCAAGGCCTTATACAGCTTTCATATGTCAAACTGTCCATAGAGGCTAAAATAAAGAGAAAGAAGTTGAGTCATTGCAATTCCTTGTTAATACCTAGGAAGGAGGATGATGGCATAAGGTTTGTGTTTTTGTTTTGTTTTTTGCAGAATGCATCCTGTCTTGTTCTTGCTGCCCGGCATGCGAGTGCTTCTTCCACGGTAAGGTTTGGAAAAGAGGACTGAAGGTCAGTGAGGCAGCTGGACCCTGGGTGGGCTGCCATCCAGGCTCTTAGCATTATCCTGAGTGTCTCATGGAGGTCACCAGGACTCTTGTTATGGCCATTATCACTACTGCTATTTTAAGATAGCTAAATCACTGTGGACATGATAAGGACTGTGGGATTTTGGCTGGAAAAAAGTAGCTCTATGATGTACTTCAGCGAAAGTACCATTCTCTTCACCGACTATTCAAAGCGTTCTGTCTCATAAAAGGAAATGCTGGAGCTTATGGTATTCATTAGAAAGTAGACTATTCTCAAGTTTATAGTTTAGGGGTAGTTAAGTAATTCACATTATTGTGCAAACATCATCACTATTCATCTCCAAAACTTTTTGTCTTCCCAAATTGAAACTGTACCCATTAAACAACTCCCCATTCCCTTCTTCCTCTAATTCTTTTACCCTCATCTGTACAGAGTAGTTGACCAGGCTTCCCTGACAGAGAAAGCCAAATTCTAAAAAGCAGTCTTAACATATCAACTTTGCAGAAATATAATCAATATTTTGATCATCATTTAGCCTTTCTACTCCTCTTTTTAGAATTTGAAAGACATATTGGCTGATTTGATACCTAAGGAGCAGACCAGAGTTAAGACCTTCAGGCAGCAACATGGCAAGACAGTGGTGGGCCAGATCACGGTGGACATGGTAAGGGGGTCAGCTTTTGCCTGGAAGAGGAGCTCAGTGGCATGCTTTGCCAGAAGCACCACTCCCTTCACTGACCGTTCAGAACATTCTGTCCCATATAGGGAGATGCTGAAGCTAATGCTGTTTGTTAGAAATTAGACTGTTCTTTTCTACAGATTTAATAGTTGAGGCTAACCTAATTTAGGTATGGGAAAAGATGAATGAAGTTTCTATTACTTTTCCCAACCCCTCAGCTTTTGGGCCCAAGGTTCTCTGTCTCTGAGTTGATGCTGTGTGGATCATCCAGTTAGACCATAGCTCTAGCTGGCCTTATAGAACAGCTTTAGGATGGTTTTTTCTTCAGTTCTGAGAATCTCAGCAGCTCAGATGATAATTTCATAGCACTGTTTAGCCATTGGTCTCCATCTTCTTTCCCTATAGTCAATCCCATTCTGTTTACTTTGGTTGGTGGGAATGAGGAGGGGAGAAGAGCAGGCAGGAGAAAAAAATGACAAAAGGGAGCACAGGCAAAAACACTAACTAAAGATAGTGATTTCTCAACTTACAAAATTCATTTCCAGCATTAGCAGTCTTCCTTTCAAAATTACATTCTATATAAAGTTAACCCAGAAATCTCCCAAAGTTTTGCAAGTTAGAGACTAAATTTCCTCCCCCAGATCCCATGAAGCTCTAAGAAACTCCTGCCTGAATTATTTGGACAACTTGTTACATCCTCTTCTTTCTTTAGATGTACGGTGGCATGCGAGGCATGAAGGGATTGGTATATGAAACATCAGTTCTCGATCCTGATGAGGTAAGAGACCTCCTGTCGATCACTGGTGATCACTGACCTTACTGAGTCGGGCACACCGTGGATTAAATCTCTGAGGGTGAGGAGAAAAAGTGGGGCACATGCCTGTGCATTTTGGAAGGTGAAAATAGGTACATATGGAGTAGCTGCAGGATAACTTTACCTTTTAAATATATCAGCTAGTGAAAGTACAAAGCAAGAGTGAGTTACCTGAAGATGTACATTTGTTGACAGGTCTGAAGAAAGTGAGATCAGTCAGTGTGATTTTTGAGCTGTAATCCTTATTCCTCTCCCTCAAGGGCATCCGTTTCAGAGGCTACAGCATTCCTGAATGCCAGAAGTTGCTGCCAAAGGCTAAGGGTGGGGAAGAGCCCTTACCAGAGGGCTTGTTTTGGCTGCTGGTAACTGGACAGATCCCAACAGAGGAACAGGTGAGCAGAAGGACATTAGCCCTTCTCATTCCCCTCCTTTGCCTTTTTCTAATCTCAAGCACTTAATCTTGTTCTGGTTATGGGTGGTGGTTTGTAGAGGGGAGGGAAATTAGAGCAAAGTTCTGCTTTATAAGTGGACTGGATTGAAATCTCTTGGATTTGATTTACTTGAGGTCAGTGTTTTCATTTTCTTTATTTTTAATTTTTTATTTTGGACACACCAGGCAGCTTGCAAGATCTTAGTTACCATTTTGCAAGTTACTCAAGAGCCAGAGATTCAAGCCAGGCTCCCAGCAGTGAAAGCGCCGAGTCCTAACCACTGCACCACCAGGGAATACTCACTGTCTGTCTCTTCTCCTTTTAGTTTTGGCTGTGCTCTGCTGTGCGGCACGCAGGCTTTCTCTGGTTGTGGCGCACGGGCTCTAGAGCCCATGCGCTTCTCTGTTCTCCAGTTGCGGCGGCTGGGCTTTATTGCTCAGTAACGTGTCGGATCCTAACTCCCTTCCATGTCCCCTGCATTGGGAGGCAAATTCTTAACCACTGGACCACCAGGGATGTCCCCTGCTGTCTTTTTATTTGTCTTCTTTTTCCTTGTCTAGTGTCATGAGCGATATCTTCCTTTTCACAGGTATCTTGGCTCTCACAGGAGTGGGCAAAGAGGGCAGCCCTGCCTTCGCACGTGGTCACCATGCTGGACAACTTTCCCACGAACCTGCACCCCATGTCTCAGCTGAGCGCGGCGGTGACAGCTCTCAACAGCGAGAGTGGCTTCGCCCGAGCGTACGCAGAGGGCATCAACCGAGCCAAGTACTGGGAGGTAGGAAGCTGCTACGACGACGGATGTTCGGTAGAGATTCAGAGGACCCGAGTGTGAAGAAAGAAAAAAGAATGACGGATCCTTAGGAAAATTACTACCCTGAGTTATGCCAGAGATTCATTTAACAAAATTTTATTGTAGGCTTGCTTTTTATTGGTCATTGGAATTACAAAGATGAATGAAACATGCTTTCTATCACCAGGGTTATTGATTTTAGTAAAGGTGATATACATGTAAAAAAGAAATTACAGTTCAGTAATCTTGCTATAATAGAGGTATGTACACATCACTGTTGGAACATTGAAAAAGGCTCCCTGAGGAAGGTTTCGCAGAGTAGACATACCCTGGCCCCAAAAGATCCTTTCTCCTCTTCTTCAAATGAGAACCTTTTTAAGTTGGAAGAATGGCACCTAAGGCCATTCTGGAGTCTAGGAAGGACCAATTGCAGTCAGCCAGTTTGGACTAACCCACTCCAGATACCTGTCAGGAGTGGAAGGGTAGCTAGTATCCTGGAATTAGGATGCAGAAAGCAAATGAGCTTTCTTCTCTGAAAACACAATGTGACTTTCCTAGTCTGAACTCTGTCGTGAGAGCATGAGGAGATTGCTGGGCCTTGTCCTCGTGTGTAGGACACAGCTCCTTCCGTCCTCTCTCCCATGCCTCACAAATACTGGGTGAAGTGCCGCTTATCTGGCTAGGTCTACAGAAGGACATCTCTTGTTTGTTTGTTTGTTTCTTATTTAGAGACAGGTAGTATAGGAATGGAAAAGTCCCTTTTGGCAAAGCAGATGCACTAAAGGATTTTTGACCAGAAAGCCCCTAAAGAGCTCACTGTGAGTTCATACTATTCATAGACTAGTATGGCCCACTTGTCTGATGAAATCTCCGTGGGTTTTGGCAAATCACAATCCATTTGATTGGTCAGTATTTACTCAGTGCCAGCTGTGTGTACAGAATTGAGTGCTCTTGAGGGAAAGAGGGAGAGAAAGTGTGCAATTGATACCAGTTTGGTTGGCTTTGAGGAGAAAGGTATAGGAATGATGCAGACTGAACATATCCACAAGCATTTATGAAGTCACAAGTCAGCAGATTCAGAAGGTTGTGTAACCTGAATATATTGCTTTTCATTTTCTTTTTAAAATGCTGTTTCAAGTCATTGTTATCTGTGTGGGTCACCATAGTGGAAACTGTTAAATCAAGCCCAACATTTCTTTTAAAACTTGTTTGTTAGAAACTGACCACTCAGGAGTGCCTGTTGCTACTTACGATGCGGTTGTGTTGACTGTTGGAGAGTTCTTCATACTTTGCAGTAAATACCTATAAGATATTTCCCAGGTATCCAAACAGGCTGCATTGCTTCACACTGTCCTTTATTGAATCAGGAAGATGAATCTTGTTCTCTGCTTGCTCTTGCCTCCGATTCGGTGGACAGCTATTGGTTGGTTGTTCTGCCACCTCTTGGGAGATGTCATTTGAGGGTGGCTGTCTTGAGGTAAAGATTATATTTCAGGACTTTACCAACCTGGAGAGTATTTATAAGCATTACTGATATATCTGTCAGCCTCAGGATGTGTGTCTAATAAAGTTCATACTGAACAAAAGTTAGCACCAGTAATTGCTGTAGTTTAACTTGGTGCTATTTTGCTGCCACGTCTTGTATCTCTCTCAAAGGTCATTGAAGCACTATTTCCGTTTAGTTCTCTCTTGCTTAATTTAACCATTCTGCTTAAGTAGAATTACATGACAGCATTCAACTGGTTATTTCTGTTTAAAAATTTATGTTAAAGAGTACATGTGATCTAAGTCTCTTCTAGAATCATCAGTTCATGCTGTTTTACTTATATTGCAAAAGGATGATCTGCCTACAGCTTTCCTTCCATAGCAGTTTACATGACTTTAGATAACTAGTGTAATCTCTTGAGGTGAAAGAGGTAGGTCTTTTTGTAATTGACTTAACTTCACTTATGACTAGATTACTCTGATGCACAAGCTGTTTAACTGTGAGGTAGCCTTAAGATACTGTTGGATTGGGTAAAATTTGCAAAGTAGCTGACAGATCAGGTTTTTCTAGTAAGGCGTATGAACGGTATGTGTAGTGTTTGAAGCTATTTACTGTATAGTAAAATCATCATTCCAACACCTAACAGACAGCTCTTGAAAGCATGCCAAATATCGGCTTGAATGCTTATACTCATCTGATTTAATCGTCAGAACAACCCCATGAGGTAGACCTTACTGTTTATTCTCATTTTACTCAATGGCAAAGTTGAAGATGAGAGAAATAAGGTAGGATGCCCAGGGGCATGCAGCTAGTAGCTGGTGGAGACCAGGTTGAGACTTGAGTTTGCTTCACTCTAGGGTCTCTTCACCATTAATACTGACTCTTCGTTTTCTGTGTCTTCTTAATAATGATTGATAGCTATTAGTAATACAATATTGTAAATCAGCTATACTCCAATAAAAATTTTAAATGATCGCTTGCTGAGTACTCGGCCAGAATTTCTCTGGCCCTAGAGGTGCTGGATCACAGTGATGCTCACGGCCAGTTTTGTTACCTTCATTCCAGGCAGTTGCGGTGGTGGCATGTTTTGTCCTTTTTTTTTTTTCCCTGAGGGTTTAAAGATGAATGAGTTAGTCCCAGTAGCTAAGTAGCACCTCAGTCTTTTTAGCTTATTAAAGAAGAAATAAGGAGTTCTCTGTCAGAGTGTTTATTTATTGAATCTCTTGACAGTACAGCTTTTCCACTACAAAAAGCAGGGTAAAGATCCCACACTGTCAGACCTGGTCTGATACTTGCTGCTTCATAAACTTCATCCTCAGTGGTAGAAGTTGAAACAATCTTCTTTTTGTAGTTTCTTTATGAATCGGTTGTTCATACTTCACAAATAATTGTGAAAATTAGTACATAGTCCTCAGATGCCAGTTGGCCTAGCCCAGGATCTTGTTCTTGGCATTCCGCTAATCAATCCAGGTCCCTTGAGCTGCATATTGTTGATGCATACTTCTGGAAAACATCTACTTCCTTGGGGGATGTAAATCTGCAAGGGGGTGTGGTTAATAGTATGATTATCATGTAAGTAATCTCCTGAGAACTTGTTAGCTAAGTACTTCTTGCTTCAAGTAGCTTTTTTAGTTTTGGCAATATTCTCATTGAATCTTGGTGGCATTGACAAAATTCAATGCTGAGTACTTTAGTATTAGATGACTTCACATAGATTATCTCATTTAAGATACTTATTATAGATTTTGTTCTTTGTTCCAGCAGAACTACTAAAACCTCATTACTTCTTACAGGAGCATTTAGCCAGTTAGCTTGATAGGACAGCACTGTATAATATCATTCAGCAAGTATTTTCTCCATGGTTCCTATGTACTATGACTGAAAGTAGAAATTTCTTTGTTTTTGCTTTGGCTGTACCTCACAGCTTGCAGGAACTGAACCCAGGCCTTGGCAGTGAAAACCCCAAGTCCTAGCCAAGGAATTCCCGAATTTCTTTGTTACTAACAGAAGAAATAGGAATTCCGTAGTAATCCAGTGGCTAGGGCTCTGTCTCCACTGCAGAGGACGCAGGTTCCATCCTTGGTCAGTCAACTAAGATCCCATAAGCTGTGCAGCATGGCCAAAAAAAACTACTAAAAACCCTGTCCCCCCTCCCTAGGGCAACTTAAAATCCCTGTGAGAAGATAAAATTGAGACATAAAAGTTGAACAAACCATTAACATCACAAAAAGACAACCAGATGTTATATAATGAACATAGCGCTATTTATCAAAAAGTCTTGCTTTAAAAAAAAAAAGAATTGAACCTGAATCTGCTCAAGCCTCCCATCTCTTATCAGTTTGTTAGAAATAAAATGGACAGAGGGACATGTTAAATGACATCACAAGTATATAACCAGCAAAATCTAAACTAAGGGAAATTCTACAGAACAAATGAGGCTGATTTTCCACAAGTACATTGCAAAGTAAAAAAAGGACAGCATAAGAGGGAACTTAAATTGATTAAAAACTACTTCAGAGACATCAGACAATTGTAATGTGGGCTATTTTTCAGTAAAACAAACAAATGGGGGGAACTAAGCAATGAATGAGGTGTAGGGGGGATTTCAGTACTGATTAGTTAATGATATGGAAGATTTGTTAAAATTTTTTTTTTTTCAGTGGGATAATGGTTTTTTGATTTGGATTCTCTTTTAGAGATACATGCTTAAATATTTACATGTTATATATGATATCTGGGATTCACTCAATAATTGGGGAGATGAGAGGGGAAAGTAAGGGTACAGATGAAACAAGCATCGCCATGAGTTAATAATTTAAGTAGATGATGCTTGTTAGCTGAGTGGGTAATTTTGTGCCCCAGGTTTTACAAATGAGGGATATGTTACCTTACAGGACTATTGTAAGAAAAGCAAAACCTGAAAATAATCTATTTAGCACAGTACTTTTTACATAGTAAGTGCTTTAAAAATGGAAGCCTTTGTTAATAACTAATGACTGAATGTCACTGTTTGACCCTTTGCATATATGGTGAATTTTCTTTGAAAGATGGAACATAGAATTATTAAAACCTAGTGTCTTAGCATATTCTTTGAGTGCAAAGTCATATAGTGGAAAAGATCATGATGAAACATGTAAGGGTTTGAAATTTGACTTTGGCATTGACTGAATGCTCTGAGGTTCAGTTCCCTTTTCTGTAAAATGAAGGTCATTATATATTCTGTAGAATGGAGAAAAATTGGGAATAATATGTTAATATACATGGGATACCATGTGTAAGCCCCTTGATGCAGTACCTGGGTCGTAACAGTTTCTCAGTTACATGGTAATTGCTGTTATTCACTCCGTCTATAGCCACCCAGCATATAATCCAAATGTCCGTGTCCATCCGGAAAGCCCCGTCCGTGGAGAGGAGACGCCACCCTGCCTGACTCTTGGTTGATAATTCCTCTTCTTTTTCTCCATTTTCCTTTTCTCCCCATCAGCTGATTTACGAAGACTGTATGGATCTGATCGCAAAGCTTCCTTGTGTTGCAGCAAAGATCTACCGGAATCTGTACCGAGAGGGCAGCGGTATCGGGGCCATCGACCCCAAGCTGGACTGGTCCCACAATTTCACCAGCATGCTCGGCTATACTGACGCTCAGTTCACAGAGCTCATGCGCTTGTACCTCACCATCCACAGGTGAGGGAGGCCCAGCCAGCAGGTTGCTGGATTGGTGGTGAATATGAAGAGAAACTCCTTGGGACTTCCCTGGAAGTTCAGTGGTTAAGAGTCTGCCCGTCCACTGCAGAGGCTGTGGGTTCAGTCCCGGGTCAGGGAATTGAGATCCTGCATGCCACACGGTGCAGCAAGAGAAAAAAAAGAAAAAGCTCCTTAACATTCTCATGTTTTGGGAACAGGTGGTAGGCAGCAAGGAGACGGAAGCGCAGAATAGGGACTGATACCAGGCATGAAAGGGGTTGGCAAAGCACAGGAGGTCTAGTGAAATTACTGTAACCGCACCAGGAGTAAGCTAGCGCTTCTAGCCAGGAAAAGGTGCCAGCTGTTGCTTAGAGGAGCCCTTTGGCTTTCCCGGAGCGCCCCCTTCTGGCCATGGCTGTTAAAGCGCGCGTGGAAGCCGGAGCGTGGCACACGGCCGGGCATCATCAGCCGTGACCTCTCGGCTCCGTGGGCGAGTGAGCAAAGGCGCCAGCAACATTGGGACGTCTCCTACGAGAGCTTATGTATGAGCGCCTGGCTCTGGGCTGGTGTGAGCCCACTGCCAGGCCAGTCCGTGACAGAGGACAGCAGGGCCCCTGTTGGCGTCGCGCCCTCCCCCCTCCTTGCTCTGGGCCTGGACTCTCCTTTCTCCCTTCCCCACAGTGACCATGAAGGCGGCAACGTAAGCGCCCACACGAGCCACCTGGTGGGCAGCGCCCTTTCAGACCCCTATCTGTCCTTTGCGGCGGCCATGAACGGGCTGGCGGGGCCCCTGCATGGACTGGCAAATCAGGTGAGACTCTTCTCCTGCCCCGTGTCTCTCTCACTGGCGTGCAGTTGTTTCTGACCCTGGCACTCTCCTGGCATATACGTTGACACTCTTACCCTCTAACCCTTCCTTCCCCGTAGGAGGTGCTTGTCTGGCTGACACAACTTCAGAAGGAAGTGGGCAGAGATGTGTCAGATGAGAAGTTACGAGACTACATCTGGAACACACTCAACTCAGGACGGGTGAGCAGAGACACTTAGCAACTAAGAAAGAAGCCAAGACTCAAGTCCAACAAATTGAAAAGAACGAAGGCGAAAACAATGAGATAACTCCCTAAATTAGAGGAGGTTTCTTTTCCATTTGTCTGCCCTGAAGAATTTAGAAGAGGCAAAGATTTCTGCTTGAGAATACGACCGGTTTCCCCCGACCCCACCCTCTGCAGGTTGTCCCCGGCTACGGCCACGCGGTGCTGAGGAAGACGGACCCGAGGTACACCTGTCAGCGAGAGTTCGCGCTGAAGCACCTGCCTCAGGACCCCATGTTCAAGCTGGTCGCACAGCTGTACAAGATCGTGCCCAACGTCCTCCTGGAGCAGGGCAAGGCAAAGAATCCTTGGCCCAATGTGGATGCTCACAGCGGGGTGCTGCTGCAGGTGAGCCCGCCCTCCCCTTTATAGCACACCCTCCTGTTCTCTGCCAGGCACAAAATCAGCTCGCTCGTCGGAGCCAGGACTCACACCTCCTTAGTCCTCTTGATAAAGTTGCCTGTGGTGTACAAAGTGTGGGCTGGAGGGGAGGGGATGAGGATTTCCTTTCAGAATCCAGTTGCTGTATTTCTCCCAGTCATTTCTGTTTAAGGCTAACTGGGTTAAGGCTTTTAATCACCCTGGACTTGTACCTGCAACTGCCTGTGGGCCTATAACACCACTTTCTTCTCTTTCGTCTTACAGTACTACGGCATGACGGAGATGAATTACTACACAGTCCTGTTTGGGGTCTCACGGGCACTGGGCGTGCTAGCACAGCTCATCTGGAGCCGAGCCCTGGGCTTCCCTCTGGAGAGACCCAAGTCCATGAGCACAGACGGCCTGATGGAGCTCGTGGGCTCTAAGTCAGGGTGACACTGAAGGCGGGGGGGAGAGAATCCACCAGAGAGTGAGGGGTCTGTAACACACGGTGTACTTTGTTTCGGGGCTTTTAGAGACTGAAGATTAAATTGTATCTGAGGCACTGATGATAAGTTTGAGGTTAAAATATAAATTAAGATTTTTTTACAGAAGAAAAGTAACCCCTTCTTCCCCAGCCAGCTCCTCTACCCGGCCTGGTATGAGTTGCCCATCAACTGTAGGATGACCAGGACTAATGCATGTAGTGTGGGTCCGGTTTGCCCTCAGCCCCACCTTCAGAGTGAGAATCTGGCTCTTCTTTCCCCAGGTCAAAGCTGGTTGCAGAGAATCTGCCGTCACTTCAGAGCTTTTGGTTCTCCTGTGTCCACCCTTTAATAGGCCAGCAAACCAGGACCCTGCCCCTTCTGTTTCCATAGGAATCATGTTGGATTGTCGGCTGCACTAAGCCCCGTTAACCTCTCCCATGCACACAGACACTTCCTAGCAAGATCTATTGGTGATGCTGTGGCTTTTTTTTTTTTTAAGCTACCAGATGATTATAAAGGCCATGGTATTTGTTGTGACTGGCAACCAATATTTGGTTTTTATTTTTATTTTTTTTAATTATCCTATTAAAATTAAGATATAGGAGTGTTCTATTCCCCATTACTTGAATACTCACCTCTTTCCAGATTTTCTGTACCTGCTGCACCTCAAGCCAAGGTTGCTGTGGACCTTCCCGTCTCGGTCCTTCCTAGAGACCTCTCTTCAGCAGGCACATACAGCACTGTCTAATGCGTGCTCGTTCCTAGTTATTTGGCTTTATCAGTGCTTAATGTGAACTAAGTTTTTACTTCCTTGGAACACAGACCACTACCCTCTGACCTTTTTTCCCCTTTAATATGCTGTGGGCTATAAAACAGGGACTTAGGAATGACCAGCATGATATTTTCATGGCCTGACCCCAGGAGTACTAGTACCTCTTTCTGAACAGGGAAATGACTTTTAAGATCGGACATGGTCTCTCTAGACTACCAGGGGCTGGGGCTGAGGACATTAAAAATAGTAAAGCTCCCCCCTCGTCCCCTGCCGCACGCCAGCATCCCTTTATTTATCAAAGTCCTTGTCCTGCCCCTCCCCCAGGAGCTCACAGAACACTGTTCGTTTCAGAAGCCCCATATGCACAGGTTTCAAGTGACTCAGAAGGCTCTACTGCCTTTTCAAGAGAGGATTAAAAATACACTCCTGCTGTGCCCCTTCCTCCCTTGCAACTCCTGCCTGTTTGTGTGGATCCCTAATCCCCGGAACCATGCTGTTGGGATGGATAATACTGTCTGTAAACCCTTGGGTAATTGTCACGATGCAGACTTCAGGTTGTTCTGTATAAAATGCAAAATAAATGTTTTTATTAACAATGCTTGAGCCTATTAAATGAGGCCTGCAAGAGTCTCCATTCTGAGGTAAGGAGTCTGGCCAGCACGGTCCTAGATGTAGTAGGTTTTAAGTCATCCTGTGCCTCTCTTTATCTTTAGGCATGTTTGGCATTCACTTACCCTAATCAGAAGACAGGTTCCCTGTGAGATTTCCAAAGGAGATTGCTGCTGTCTTAATGGTTAGAAGTCCTTGACCTTTAGCCCCCATCCTTCCTAAATTTGCTGTAAAGTAGAACATGCAAGGACTAGAGCCGAGACCTCACAGCTGCTTAGGTGACTGATCCAAGGAAGCTGGTCCAGCCCCGTGGGTGAAAGGAAACTGCACCAAGGGCAGTGAGGGCAGGACAGCTGACTCAGGGTCCGACCCTCCAGAGGGCTCTGGAGCTCTGCGGAATGCCGATCCTTCTTTGCGGCCTCCCTTACAGATCCCCCAGAATACAAGGTGGTCTGGAGGGCATCAGTTATATGGGAGGTCTGAGACCAGATTACTCTGTCCTGAGACTCCTGCTGCAACTGACCTTCTGAAAAAGTCTATAAATAGGCAAGGGAGTGGGTACTAGGTCCTGGCTTGTAGAATGTGCTACTATAGTTAGCAGGGACGCTATGTCCAAGAGGCCTTCTTGCACCTTCACTCCCCTAGGGAAGGAAGCCATGACTTTGTTCTGCTCTGCTATATCTACATTATTCCCCCAAAAAGCAATATAAAAAAGCCAGATTCACACTGTCACAATTAATTTATTGACATTTTATAAAAACTCAGGCCAAGCAGAAGACAGCCCAGGGGTACAGCTGTCAGTGCTCTTGCTCCTTGCCCTGGGCTCTGATGGCTGAGACAGTCCCTCGCTCCACTAGCCAGGCAGCCTGGGAGTGAGGCCATGGGGGTTTCAAGCTGCGGCCAGATCTCGGGCACCTCCTGAGGCATTTCAGGCAGGCAAGGTTATTGGCCACCCAGCTGCTCTGTATCAGAAGAAAGAGTTCAGTTTCTTCAGTCCTAAGAAAAGCTGCTTTCTTCCCCCGGTCAGACGCTAAGGCACCTTGACAAGAGCTCAGAGGCGACCGCGCAGCCGCGACTATAATTGAGTGTGAGAAGGTGGCAGGCTTCAGGCCTATGGTGCTCTCAGGATAACCCTGACCCTTGCCTAGGCATGTCTCCTTTCCATACCTCCTTGCCTTTTCTTTCCCCCAGCATTTCTAGCCAGCTCAGAGCCCGATTTCGGGGGGTTTGAGAGGGAGAACAGTAATATGAACATGGACTTTTCTCTCAGATTGGACCAGGAGCCAAATAAATAAGAATTGGATGAGGAGGGGGAGGAGAGGCGAGGCTAGGGAATAATCCTTTGCCTCAAGCCTGGTGCACCTCATGAAACATCAGTTCACGGGGGACAGCTGTTTCTGGACCAAACTTGGTTGCTGCCCGGCGCTCGAAGGCAGCGACATTCTTTTTGACAACCTCATCAAAAAAGATGGTGGCCAGCTGGGAGTGCAGCAGAGAGCGAAATTCAAAGGAAATCTGGGAATGGGTAAGAGACAGTCAGAAACTCTTCAAAACCATGTTGGATAGTCCCTGACCGATGCACGGCTACTATGCAGTGCCTTTTCCTCCCCCCACTCCTGTTCCTTCGATCTCCTCAAAAGCCCTAGGACCGAGTACAAACTAGAAGTGTGATGCAGGCTCACCCCTGCGGAGAGTGTCATTGGCTTGGGAAGTAACTGTCACAGCGCCTTGGCTCGGCCCCCACAACCCAGCTGTAGCCCTGTGTAGCCTCCTGACTCACCGAAAAGTCCACAGTGCAAGTTCGAGGATAGGCAGGAATTCCAGGGCTGAATCGCCAGATGGTCTCTAAATGGTTGAAGAGCTTGCCATCAGTGCAAACAGCCTAGAACAGGACAGGTAGTTAAAGAATATTACAATGGAATGAGACCTATATCAGGTGTAGGAAGCTATACGAAGGAACTGGAAGCCATTTTCCTTTCCTTCAAATATTAGGGAAATATCTGACACATGGAGATAGAAAAATCATCATAAGGAAAGCCAAAATAGCCCTTGAATATAAAAATTCCACAGAACACAGAGAAAACTTCCTGATCAATCACTCCCAATCAGCCTCACCTTGACCATATGAGGTTTGACCATGGAAACAGCAGAAGTGTACCGTTCCACCACAGGTGGAAAGCCAACCTCCAACTGGGCCTTCAAGTGGCCTTTGCGGCTGGACACCACCAAAGACTTCTTACACCAGGGCACAAACTCACGATACTCCTGGACGTTGGCTACCACCTCGTACATCTCCTGCATTGAGTACCTAGGGGAAGGAGTCACAGAGACCAAGAAGCTGCCAGTGGGCTCAGGTTCCCCCTCGCCATAGGCGCCCTCCCCTCACGCCGTTGCCCACCCGTCACGTACCTTCAGGAACTAGAGATCCCAAATAAGCCCGCATGAATGATTTTGCAAAAGCAAATGTCCAGATTTCCATGACGTTAATGCATCTCAAGTCTTGCCATTTAGAGAGTGTTTTTGCATTTACTATCTATTTTGATCCTTAAAAGGGTCATGTCTGGAGAACAGGGATGACTGGTGATTCACACAGGGACGCAGATCCCAGCTCTATAACTTTTTGACAAAGCGGCCCTAGGAAAATTGTTGTCTCCATTTATCTCCTCTGTGAATCATAAGTAATAACAGTAATTGATTCATAAGTTTGTTGAGAGGATCAAATGAGAAAAACCTGTGATAAAACACCTAAACAGCCTAACTGCTGGGCAGCAGTTGAGTGTTCAATAAGTGTTAACTCATATTTGCTCAGAATACCTAAAGTCAGGTCAGTAAAGCAACAGTGCCCTGTTGTCTTACGTTGTTGTCCAACTCTAGGCACGTTTCACAAAGTACCTGAGCGGCAACAAGAAGAGGGGAATTCAGGTTGGAAGGCTGCCAGAGGCGGGCGAAGGGTCAGCGGCACCAGTGGGGAGAGTGAGGTGGCCGCGGTGAATCTTGCCCGCCATGGCTACCCTCACATTCTACCCTGGACGTGGCGTTTCGTTGGTCGGGAAGAGGAACGTGGAGGGATATTGGACAGGAGAGGATGCTCACCCCATGATGCGACGCTCAGAGTAAGCCTTTCGCTTGTTGGTGAACGGGGCAGCAAAGCCCATGAAGGAACGGCTGGGAGGTAAGCCAGACTCAGTCGCCAAGACCTGGGCAGCCCGGGGCAAGAAAAGGCTGCAGGAAATCGGAAATCTAAGGCCAAAAGGAAAGGAGAGACAGTCACGAGTCTTTCCCTGTGGTCCTCAACAATTCTCAGGTGCAAAGAGGGGCGCGTCCCAGAGGAAGGTCGTCCAAACCAGCTTTCCCCCGGCACCTGCTGCAGCCCGCCAGGCTCCCCGGCCAGGCAGTCACGAGTGCGAAAGGTCGAGGGCGGCTGAGGACAGTGCCGAGGGAGGAGACGGGAAAAAGAGGGGTGCGTGCGAGGCGCCAGCTGCCGTGGACCGGAGGCTACGCTCCTGCCGAAAGCGAGGACTCTCGGGATGCCTCACAGCCCCCGGGGCCTCGCAAGCCGGCGGGTGCCAGGGCACCCGCGACCGGCAAGGTGTGGTTGGACACGCGAATAATTTGCAAAAGCATTTCCCCAAAGCAACACATTGGACCCCAGGGTATGATCACCGCCGCCCTCCCACCGCGCTTGCAGCCAGAGATGCAACTCTCCGCCGCGGAACTTCGGGGTCCTGGGTGACCCCCTCGGCTCCAGCGCGGACGCCCGCACCTCCCTCTCACCTCATTGGTCCCAGCGGTCGCGGAGGTCCCGGGGGCGGAGCCCGGCGCGTCGAGAGGCCGCAGCTGCCCCGGGCCGCGGCGCGCGTCCCGGCGGGGAGTCGCCGCGCGCCCGCCGAGGCCATGCGCGCGACCCTCGCTTGCCCTCTCTGCTCTGATGGCGGCCGCGCCCTCCTCGCTCCAGAGGGAGAGCAGACGGTTAGCCGCAGTCGGGCGGGCTCAGGGCCCGCGAGCGCAGGGCCGGCGCGGGGCGGTGGCTGTTCTCGCCCAGCTCCCGCCCGGGCGGCCGGGTAGCCTAGAACTGAAGCCGCTCCCGCCGCTCCCGCAGCTCCCAGTACCCCCCACGTCACGCCGTTGCCATGGCTCGGGACCGGGAGAGGGGGGAAGGAAGGGGGCCACGCGGCCTGTCGGGAGATGTAGTTTCACACCTCTGGCGAGAAAGGGCGAGGGCGCTGGAGTGGGTATTTGAGAAGCTGCAGACGTGGCCCGGTGGAGCGAGGTCAACAGGCAAGCTACTCGCGGGGTCTGATCACGGGCCTGATACATAAACACAGAGGTGGCTTAGTGGCCGCGTCAACAGCAGATACCCTCGGTCTTCTGCACCTCTCCTAGAGCCGTACTATATTTTGCCTTGTTTATAGTTAGAAGTTCCATTCATCTTTAGAGCCAGCATAGCGCCTACTGCAGTGCCTTGAGACAGAAAATTAATGTTCCAAGATTTGGGCTAAGACTTTGCATCATTTTCTTTTAATAATTATAGAAAGCAGTGGAAGTGAGAAGGACCAGACTTACTTTTATGGTAGATAGAGAACCATCTTTGCCTGGAGAAGTGTGCACTTGATAGAGGTGAGACCTCATGGGCCAGGAAATGTCACAACACTGCTTTCAGTCGTGATACAAGGGTAGAAAAAGTGTCCTTGATAAAAGTGGGGCGAACAGATGAAAAACAAAGAGAAATCAACAATTAGAGACTAGATCTAGGTGGGTACAAGAGCCCTTGCAGTTCTCCCACGGTGGAGGGCACTTTAAGAACAGTGGTGTTTGCTGTTGCATTTAAAGATGTTTACACATTTACCGTGTAACCCCCTTCCCTGCTATAGTCTTGAGAGCGTAAATCTAGTCATGATCTCCACATCCATGAAATCTTTATCTGAGTAGTGTGGTGTGGCTGCTGCTTCCCAGATGGCACAGCGGTAAAGAATTCACCTGCCATTGCAGGAGACGGAAGAGACATGGGTTTGATCCCTGGGTCGGGCAGATCTCCTGGAGGAGGGAAATGGCAACCCACTCTAGTATTCTTGCTTGGAAAATTCCATGGACAGAGAAGCCTGGTGGGCTACAATACATGGGGTCACAAAGAGTCATGACTGAGCGACCGAGCACATACCAGACTGTCCTGGGGTTGCGGGTGGAAGAATGAAATGGTTGATGATGGTGTTGCCCTTAGGATCTGCAGAGGTCCACGACATATAAACCTTCAGGTTGTGAACTTTCAAAGATGCACACGTGCGTGCACACTTCCTGTCACATAAGGTAGGTCATGTGCATGCACCCTCTATAAGTGGTTGTGCTTTCGTGTACTGTTCAGTACTGCATAGAGGACAACCATAGAGTATCTTTTTTTTTTTTTAGTGCTACCACTTTATTGCTACCAACCCATCTCCCTCCATCCTCATGCACACATGCTCAGTCATGTAACCCCATGGACTGCAGCCCACCAGGCTCCTCTGTCCATGGACTTTTCCAGGCAAGAATACTGGAGTGGGTTGCCATTTCCTTCTCCACATAGAGTATCTTTATTTCAAGTCCAGGATGTCCATAACCAAGTGTGAAAGTGGTGGTGATGTAGCTGGTACTGCTAAGAAGCACCAAGGGATTGCGATGGAGACAAAAGTGAAAGTAATTGAGAGAATGGAGTGACAAGGGGAAGAAGTAACTGAAGAAGCAAAGAGACTCACGATGCAGGAAACAGCAAGGGGATTTTCTTTATCTGAGGAGGCACTGTTAGTTTTGAGGTGCAGGACCTGAATGTAGAATGGTACATGAAGGTTGCAGCAGCCTTTCAGAATGCAATCCAATGCTACCGAGGCATGTATGATGAGAAAAAAAAAAGAGCTACTATTTGGTCATCACTGGATCATTTTTTCAAGAAGGTAGATAGAATTGACTCCGGCAAGGAACCAGAACTTGTGCCATCAACATCAGGCAGGAACGAAACTGCAGCTTGCCCTCACCCCCAGTTGCTGACGATCATTCAGCTCGACCAGCCCTCACCTCCTCCGCCTCCTTCAGCCAGTAACTCTTCTTGCTTTTCATGCGATGATGCCAGCCCCAGTATGCCAGCTGTCGTATTGTACTACTTTACTTTTCAAGATATTGTACTGTAAGATTAAAAATCTTTTATTTTTTGTTTTTATTTCTGTGAAAAGTATTATAAACCTGTTTCCATACAGTACTATATAGCTGGTTGTGTTAATTGAGTACCTAGACTAACTTTGTTGGACTTACAAACAAATTGGACTTATAAACACGCTCTCAAAATGGAACTCATTTTTATATAAGGGACTTGCTGTAACTGGAAGGGAAGAGAGACAGCTTGTCCAGAAATAAGGCCCTGAAAACAGATATAAACCTTCCAACTTCCCCACCCTTTGAGATTGACATTTATTTGAGGGATTTCAGTGGATATGGATTGATTTTGTAAAGTTTGGGCCATTTTGTCTGGATTTCAAGAAGAGGGATCCTCCCTTGAACTGTGGCTTACATTTGCCATTTTGCAAGGAAGGCATTTCAATCCTAACTTTGTATTATATACACATGAAGTCCCAATTGTGGAATGATCTCATTTCTTTTTCTTTTTTAACATTTCTTCTTTTCCCCTCAGAACCCTCCCTGCCAACAAGACACAATATCTTCTTCCAGTTTGAAGATGGTCATGGGGAGCCACTCTCAAAAGGGCATATGATCTCGAGGGACAAATTTACTCTTTCCAAGCCCACTTTCTTGTCCACCCCCTCTGACTAAGGGCTTCACATGTGAGACAGCTGTGTAGAGTGGGGGGTAAGGATCTGGTCAGATAAAAGACAAATTAACTGGGATACATAACTAAACTGTGACCTCATTAACACTCTGCCTTAACCGAGTTAACTGCTGTGGAATCCCCAAGGAGGTGTAACAGGCCTGCCAGGTCAATTTGCTGGCTGCCCCCCCACTAATTAGATTAGGTAATTATTGCCATTTAAACTCTTCCTAGTTCACCCCTTGTACTTGAAATAACCAATTTGCTTCCATTTCCCTGTCATTTTACATCAACAACTTCCTTCAAGTACAGACAAAACACACCTCCTCCAGGAAGACCCTCTTGACTGAATCCATCTCTCAACATTATAGTGAACACATAATGCCACATAAAGTAGCTTGAATTCTATATTCTCTAATTGTTTCATGTTCATGTATATGTTTTTCTACCTTATAAACACAAAAATAGACAGTGTTACTTTAAAAAAAAAAAAACCCTACTATTACATATATTTTTCTTTTTTTTGGCAGCACCTCAAGCCTTGTGGGATCTTAGTTCTCACCCTTGGTAGTAAAAGCATGGAGTCCCAACCACCTATGGAGTCCCCACCAAGTCCCAACCAGGATTTGCCCACCAAGGAAATCCTGAAACCATTACTTCTAAGTTTCTACCTCCAAAGCAGTTAGTATAGGGCTGAATTCAATGGTGAAGCCTCGGCAGTCATTTGTTAGAAGAATGAAAATTGAGGCTTAAAGACAGGCATGCATCTGCTTAGTTATCCAAATATGAATACAGTAGTGCGCTCCAGAAGAACAGTTTGAGTAAGAGGACTTTAGGACCACGTCAGGCCTCCTTATCCCCACGCCTTGCATCTCCTTGAGCCCTGGAAGTAACTGTGTTACCTACATCATATCCCTTTTTTCCCTATTGGGAAATCCTCTTTCTGTGCTCTGAATAATATTAAAAATAACTCTTCTAGCCCTTCCTCCTCCTTCCAGCTGCCCAGAGGACCTGGCTGGCAAACTCCCTTGTTCACTTCCACTCAGGAGCCAGAACCAGGCACATGACCCCAGCTCAACCTCTGACTCCAATTCCTCAGGTTACCAAAAGCTATTTTGGGCAATGGAGGCCATGTAGTCCCCTCCGCCCCATCCTCTGAGCCATATCCTAGCTTAGCCCTTCCTGGAAGGTCTGTCAAAGCCAATAGATAAGTCAACATGTCCCAACCCGTATCCATCAGATTCCAAGCTACCTTCAATTCCTACTTCTTCAGCCTCATCTTCATTATCATCATCAAGCATTAAGTGTCTGTTCCTATATACCTCTCTCCTTGAGCCTCCTTTTTTCATAGAAAAGAAAACCAATATACAGTCCAATGTTGGAAGACTCTGGCTAACAAGGAGCTTCAAGTCCCTTCTGAAACACTGGATTCCTGTATGTCAAAGATGTAAGGTGAAAAAAACAATAAAGATCTGCAATTTAAACTTGATTGTGACTGCAATATAGAGAATATAGCCAGTATTTTATAATAATTATAAATGAAGCATAGCCTTAAAAATGTGAATCACTATGTTGTACATCTGCAACATATAATACTACGCATCAACTATATCTCAATTTTTAAAAGTGGGGAAAAAAAACATTTGAAACAACAACCTGATTGTGACAGTGTAAACTAAGTATAGAAGTGTTAAGGAGACCTGTCAAAATGAGAAGAAACTGTTAACCAGGGAAGACTTCCTGGAAGAGGTAAGTTTTCACTAAAACTGTGAATTTTATTATCAAAATGGTAAAAAAAATTTTAAATTTAAAGGTATATACTGATAGGTAAATTGCTCTCTCATTCCTTATTCCCTGTCCCCAGTTTTTCTCTCCAAGAAAAACCCCTGGCATTTGTGTATTTTTCAAGGGATCAGAACAATGAAAGTGATGAGGGTCATAGATTGTCGGAAGGCAAAGGAGGGCTTCTACACCCCTGCCCCGACAGGGTGGGCAACGTGCTGTGCTTCCTTTTCCTAAACGTGTTCCTTAGCATGAGTTGCTGAGCTCTGCACAGGACACCGAATCCTCTTTTATAAATTGTATATAAATTCTTCAGTATCTACTTTTCTTCTCTGTTTTTGCCTTTTTGGGAAGGTTGACCTCCATCTAGATCTTGCCTGATTAGCTGCTCTCTGCTCTCTCCAGTGGAGAAGTACCTCGACCCTTTTCTGGGGACAAACTGGTGAGTCTTAAAATATAGCCACCCTACCACCTTAACCTGGCAATGGGGTAATTAGGCCATGGAAAAGCCCCCTTCTGTTGGGCTTGGAGTACTTCAGCTGCCAGCTGGCCAGCTAGCTATCCTGTCCTCTCTGTGGGGTTTTTCTGCAGCTAAGAATCCTTGAGGGTTCTTTTTTTTTTTTTTTTTTTTTCCCCTCCTCTGCAGCTCGGGCACTTTTGCTGTTTCCTTTCTACCCAAGTCTTGTCACCGCCAGCGGAGACACACGCCTTCCCTGCCTCTGGGACTGTTGCCATATATAACCCCCAGATCTCCACGCCCTGCTTCCCCAAGTCAGTGGGGAATGTTGAGTTGTGTGATCGCGGACCGGAGGCGTTCGCTCGGCGGAGGCATCGTGGGCTGAGTGAGATCTGGCCCGCCATTTGGTCCTCAGTTTGGAAGGCAACGCAGGAGGGCCGAGGCCCGAGTAGCCGCGAGGATTTTGTGGAGCATCCCCCGGGGGCTTCAGACTGGAGCGAAGAGCCCGGCGCGGCCGGCCTGCGGAGCTGGGGAACCAGGGCGCGAGGTTGGGGGCGCCCAGGCCGCGGGGACCGCCGGGGCTGGGCGGAGGGCGCCGCGGCCTGGGGCGGCCTGCGCGGCAAGCGCCCTGCGGCCGGGCCCCCGACGGCCGCCAGGGAGCGCTGCGGGCTCCCGCTCGCCCGCCCCCCGGTAGGCGGGGCTGCGCTCTCCCCGCAGCCGCCGCCGCAGCCGCCGCCTGGGCCGCCCCGTGTCCCCGGTGGAGCCGCCGCTGCCGCCGCCGGGAGCTCGATGCGGACGGAGCCCGGGCCGGGCCATGGGGATCCTCAGCATCACGGACCAGGTCAGCCCTCCTGCCCTCGCTCGCTTCCTCCTTCCAGGGCCCGACGCCGCCGCCACGCGAGCCCGGGGATGTGCGGCCTAGGCTGGGCCCGAGCCCGGGGCTCCCGCCCCGCCCCACGCCACGCTCCCCTCAACCGAGCCGGTGTCCTTGGGGGCCTGGCGACCGGCGGAGGCACCGTGGAAGCCCCCTGCAGCCAGGACCCCAGAGCGGAGCCCCTCCGGCGTCGCCCCCCCCCATCTCAAACCCGGGGTCCCCCGCCCCCCTCCCCGGTTCCGCTCCGGCCCGCTCGCTGAACGCCGGTTCTCCCTGCAGCCGCCCCTGGTCCAGGCCATCTTTAGCCGAGATGTGGAGGAAGTGCGTTCCCTCCTCTCGCAGAAGGAGAACATCAACGTGCTGGTGAGTTGAGATCAGGGAGGATGGCGAACCGGTAATCGGCCCTGGCGTTCAGGACCCCTCCCCACGCGTGGGGCGGCTCCGTGTCTGTTCGGCTCGGGGGAGGCCGCAGCTCTTTCCACCCTGGGATGGGCGACTGCTGAACACTGGGGATGAAGAGCAGAGCAGGCTTGGAGCACAGACGAGGAGGGCTGAGGATGCCCAGAAACGGTGTTCTCTTCTGAACCATCCGTGTCTGCAGCGCCCCCACCCCTCCTGGAAGAAGGAGCTTGCTTCGCTGCCGGCGGCCCCGACCCCCTGACTCCACCCTCCTAGGTCCTGGCTTTGACCTGGGATTGGGGTTTAAGAGGCCATAGAACCTGTGCGAAGAGGCTGTGGGGAAAGGCCTGGAGCACTAGGACTTGGGGTCCTGGGTAGTTCACCCCCATAGCCGCTCCTCTTCTCTGCCTTACCAGGACCAAGAGAGGCGAACCCCACTGCATGCTGCTGCCTACGTAGGCGATGTCCCCATCCTCCAGTTGCTACTGATGTCAGGTGAAAGTGGGGAGCTGGAAGGTGTGGCACCCAGGGAGGGGCCTGAGGGAGGAGCCTTTTTGTTGTATCCAAGGATGGTCCAGCTGGGTCCAGGGGAGGTTCCGCCTCCATCTAGATTTCCTGGCCTGATTCTGGCTTTTCTTCCCCCACCTGCCCTCCAACTCCCGCCAGAAGAGCGTGTTGTGTCCCCACAGGTGCTAATGTCAACGCTAAGGACACACTGTGGCTGACCCCTCTTCACCGTGCTGCTGCCTCCCGAAACGAGGTACTGGCCTCCCCGCCCCTTTCTCCCTTCCGAAGGGGGCGAGTTGCTTACAGGTGGATGACACGGGTTGGAGCGCCTTAGTCGCTGCCCCGCAGGTTGGTCTACCCCCAGGTTGGGAGACCAGACCTTGGCCCCTCCCTCCTACCCCGGAACTGGCTGGTGAGGGGGTGGGGGCTGAGCGCTGCCAGCTGATGTGACGTCAGGGGAGAGCTTAGCACTGGGCCGGCAGACTGCAGGGGGCCCGCTGCCAGGCCTTAGTGACCCATCCCTCCCAGGGGGGCCGCCTTGGGGTCTGACCCCCCTCTGGGCACTAAGATTTCTTTCCTTGTGCTTGAGGGGTGCGGTGGGGGGGGAGTGGTTTGTGACATCCCTGCCCCTTAGGCCGCCTGGAAGTTGACAGCACAAGGATCAAACATACCTCGTCAGTTGGGCCCCTCAACCCTGAAGAGCGGGAAAAGATGACCTTCCTCTTGGCTTGGTGGTCACTTCCCCTGGCTCCAGCCACTAGGGAATGGGAACGGGGTGGGTGGTGAACAGGAGGGGCATTTTAGCTCCTCTCCTCCTCAAGAGGAGCCAGTATCTGCTCACCTAGGTAATGGAGATGATTTTGATGCCTATGGAAGGATAGAAGGGGGTATTCAGGGTGTTAATGTAGTGGGAGCTTGTATCTTTCCTAAAAGTGGTGGGAGGTCAGGAGCCTCTGTGTGGGGATCTGCTCCACAGTAGTGGCTGTATGTGTGGGTGAAGATTTTCGGGGTATCGGCTGGGAAACGATAGCGGGTGACTTGAGGAAGAGATGTATGTTTTCCTGAGCAAGTGAGGGAAGATTTTAAGCTCAAAGAAGATCCAGAAGATGGAAAGTGGGTAATTGAAACACTGTGTTGGAAAAGCGCGGAGTAACTCTGTGCTGGGGTAGTGGGGAGAGGGGGACACGCGCTCTGGGCTGGCCGGTTCGCCCCTCATCTCCTGCTGGTTTACGTCCTGCTGCCCCTCTGTCTTCTTTCATCCTCCTCCCCTCCACAGAAGGTGCTGGGACTGCTGCTGGCACATTCAGCAGATGTGAATGCCCGGGACAAGCTGTGGCAGACACCATTGCACGTGGCTGCTGCCAACCGGGCCACCAAGTGTGCTGAGGCTCTGGCACCCCTGCTGAGCAGCCTCAACGTGGCCGACAGGAGCGGGCGCAGCGCCCTGCACCATGCAGTGCACAGTGGGCATCTGGAGGTGAGGGCCGCGCCAGGCCACGCCCCGCTTCCTGCCTGCCTTCCCTTCCCGCTCCCCTTCCCCTGCCTGCAGGCCATTAGGCCTGGGGAGCAGCAGCCCAGATGATTCTATAAAATCTTGGGCTCAAGCACCAAATGAATGGTTGGGTTAGAGGGGAATTCTTGACTTGGACCTCCAGAGGGTGATAAAACCTCTGAAGCTGCATGGAAGGTGTTTGCCTACATGCTTTTTCCGGAAGGGAGAGTCCATGTTCTCCAGCACATTGAGGAGACTTTGAAAGAGTTCAAAAGCCACCAGCTCACCTGAAGAGAGTCTTGAGTTTACCTCAGATTTCCACCTCTATCTGGGTTCTCGGTGCCTGCTCTCCCCATTCCCCCTAGTTCTCCAGATTGTTCTGCCCAAGAGCGGAGACTTTGGGCTGCCTCAGCCATTTCAGGTGCTCTCAGGTACACTGAAGGCAGGAGGCTGGCTCTGAACAGGTATCTTTGCTGTCCTGCTACAGACGGTGAACCTGCTCCTCAACAAGGGAGCCAGCCTGAATGTTTGTGACAAAAAGGAGCGGCAGCCTCTGCACTGGGCGGCTTTTCTAGGTGAGAGGAGGATCTGGGGTGAGCAGGATTTGGGGCTCCTCGGGCGGGGATGGGGGTTGCAGCCTCTGGCGGTGCTCACCCTCCACATTCCTGAGAGCATGCGCTCCCCTCTCAGGGCATTTGGAGGTCCTGAAGCTGCTGGTGGCACGGGGCGCAGACCTCGGCTGCAAGGACCGGAAGGGCTACGGGCTGCTCCACACCGCCGCCGCCAGCGGCCAAATCGAAGTGGTGAAGTACCTGCTCCGGACGGGGGCTGAGGTCAGGGCGCGGCGCGTGGCGGCGGGCTCGGGGTGAGGCCAGGGGGCTGGGGTCCAGAACCTCTTCGGGAGACGGGAGGGTGCTGGGGTTCCTGGTGTGGTTTGGGGAGTTGGGGGGATGTGGTGAGAGGGTCTGAATAATGCTTGTCTTAAGCAGAAGTGACTTCAGTCTCTGGGTTGGGAACCTGAGGGGTCTGAGGCCACTGTTGGATTTCTGAGACTCTATCTGTGCTGGCTTCCACTTTGTTTAAACTGATACCTCCCTTATCCCTTGACCCTCACCCCTGGAAATCCAGATTGATGAGCCCAACGCTTTCGGAAACACAGCTTTGCACATCGCCTGCTACCTGGGCCAGGATGCTGTGGCTATCGAGCTGGTGAATGCAGGAGCCAACGTCAACCAGCCGAACGACAAGGGCTTCACGCCGCTGCATGTGGCCGCAGTCTCCACCAATGGCGCACTGTGCTTGGAGCTGCTGGTCAATAACGGGGCGGACGTCAACTATCAGGTGCCTGAAGGGAGGCGTCTGGGACTCGGGGGAGAGGACCCTGGCTCTGGGGGTGCTGACCGTATCTTCCCCTCTGGATAATTCTCTGGGGAGTCATCTGCTTGTGTCCTGGGTTGACCAGAGCTTCCCAGGAGAAAGCGGGTTGAGAAGATGTCCCTATGTGGTCACCCTGTCTTCAAAGACGTGTCCTTTGGGAAGGGGAATAGGGCACGCTCCATGCTTTTCCACCAGGGGAAAAAATGCTGTGTTTCCACAGAGCAAAGAAGGGAAGAGTCCTCTGCACATGGCTGCCATTCACGGCCGTTTCACCCGCTCCCAGATCCTCATCCAGAACGGTATGGCCTTGGGAGGCTTTGTGGCCTCTTCTCCCTCCTCAGAGAACTGTCCTCTAGAGAGCCCCTCTTCCTCCTCCCACCTCGCACGCCATCCCCAGCCAGGACAGGCCGCTGGAGCTCTGGAGCCAGGCGCCTGTGGACGTGGCCCTGCTCCGCCCGCCCAGCGCCCGCAGATGGGGGCTCACGAATGCGCGGGAGTGGCCCGCAGCCTAGGCGCGAGTTCAGTGTGTGCGTGCGCTGCCCCCTTTCAGGCAGCGAGATCGACTGCGCCGACAAATTTGGGAACACGCCACTGCACGTGGCCGCTCGCTACGGACACGAGCTGCTCATCAGCACCCTCATGACCAACGGCGCGGATACCGCCCGGTGAGCGCGGGGCCCCCGGCCCCAGGCCGGTGGTGGGGCTGCAGCTGGCGCCCCCGAGGACTGAGCCCCTCCCCTTCTCCCAGGCGCGGCATCCACGACATGTTTCCCCTGCACTTGGCGGTTCTCTTTGGATTCTCCGACTGTTGCCGTAAGCTCCTTTCCTCAGGTATGAGCTCGGGGAGGGCAGGAGGGCGGGAGAGCGGGCCCTGTCCGGCCCCGGCCACGCCCTCAGGGGCGACCTGCGGCTCTTCCGGCCCCGCAGGTCAGCTGTACAGCATCGTGTCCTCGCTCAGCAACGAGCACGTGCTTTCAGCCGGGTTCGACATCAACACGCCGGACAACCTTGGCCGTACCTGTCTTCATGCTGCTGCTTCCGGAGGGTGAGCTCTCGTCCCTCCCTCTCTCCCCCAGGCCTCGCAGTCTGGACCCCTCCTCTCCTGCCCAGAGCGGCCCGCCTCTCGCGGGTGAGAAGGAGGCGGCAGAAAGGGCTGTCCAGGTCCGCCCTCCCGCGCCCTCCCTGGGGAGAACCCCGGGGCTCCGCCCGGAAGCGCCTTCTCTGGTTCACCCGCACCTTCCTTCCTTTCAGGAATGTTGAATGTCTTAACTTGCTGTTGAGCAGTGGAGCCGACTTGAGGCGGAGAGACAAGTTTGGAAGGTGTGTTAATGTGCAGGAGTGTGTGTATGCAGAGAAGGCGCCCGATGGAGAGACCCGTGATGGAGGCCAGGGTGGGGAGTTGGGGACCGAGGGGGGACAGCATCACAGGGCAGCTCTTGGCTGCGCCTCTGGTTGCGTTTGGACCTGGCCTTGATTCTCTTCTCCCTGCTCCCGCGCTTCTCCCCAGGACCCCACTGCACTACGCAGCCGCCAACGGCAGCTACCAGTGCGCCGTCACGCTGGTGACCGCCGGGGCCGGCGTCAACGAGGCCGACTGTAAAGGCTGCGCTCCCCTCCACTACGCCGCCGCCTCTGACACCTACAGGAGGTGAGGCGCCCTCTCGGCCCTTCCCGGCCCCACACTCATCCCGGAGCACCCCGCCAGACTTCCTCCCTCTCCTCCACCAGGGCGGAGCCGCACTCGCCCTCCAGCCACGATGCTGAAGAGGATGAGCCGCTGAAGGAGTCGCGCAGGAAGGAGGCCTTCTTGTGAGTAGCAGAGAAGACCCCTGGGCTGCCCTGCCCCGGCCCTGCAGACTCCCGTCCTGTTATTCTCCCACCGCCGTCTGCTGCTGCCTTGCACCCTGAGTTTAATCCTGGGCCAAGCACCGTGGGTCAGACAAGTGGGAGAGATCCTTCCTTCCTTCAAAGAAATGGATGGTCTTCTTGAGAGGATCAGAAAAGCTAAACAAATTCGTTTCTTCCTCAAGCGTTAAATGAGTGTTTACTTAACCAGTACACCAAGTACCGTTCTAGGTGGTAAGGATGAAAGATGAATTACCCCAAGTTTCTGCATTTTATACCGTCTAGTGTAAGATGTCAATAATAGAGGAAATTGGGTGACGAATATATGGGACCTCTCTATTATCCTCTTAATTTTTCTTTAAGACTGTTATAGTTATAAAGGGTTTATTTATTTAACAACAACAACAAAAAGATATTTAAAATCTAGGAGGCCCAACTTGTAACTGTGTGACTTCTGGCAAGTAACCTAATCTCTCTGCCTCAGTTTCTTCAGACACAGTAGGGATAAGAACAGTATCCACCTCAAAGGATCATTGTGAGGATTAAGTGATTTACCACACGTCCTGTGTTTAAAACGGTGTTTGACACGTTGTAATGCTGACACGTTGTAACTCTACTCCTACTGCTAGTCGAGTTCCTGCTGATCTGTGAGAGTGGTGTCTGGGGAGGAGCCACCTGTCGGGAGAGCTGGGGAGGCCCTCCCACAGAGGAGGGTGCTGGTGGCGCGCGGGACATGAGCGGGCCTGTTCCCGCTGGGCTCGGAGGAGAAGGCAGGGGTCAGTGTGCCTGCAGGTGGGGACGGGTGTGTCGGTCAGCAGGTCGGTAACTGATGGATGTGCTCCGGGGTCTCTAGGAGCACTTTCAAAGGGTCGAGGAGGGCCCTGAAGCTAGAGTGCTTCAGGGCAGATCTGGAGGCAGTGGGTCTGGGTCTGGGGTCAAACGGGCTGGAGTTAGCCTAGTACGAGTGAGGGGTGGGCGTGGGCCGGCTCAGCCTGGGGGGGCCCTTTGCCCTCTCCTCTGCTCCTCCCAAACTGCACCCTCCCTGGCTGGGCCTGTCCGTTCCTCACCGTCTGCTCCTGTCCCCCAGCTGTTTGGAATTCTTACTGGACAACGGTGCAGACCCCTCCCTGCGGGACAGGCAGGGCTACACAGCCGTGCACTATGCTGCCGCCTATGGCAACAGACAGAACCTCGAGCTGGTACGCGCGGGGCCCGGCGTGGGGAGCGGGCCGGCCAGGGCCCAGCACGCAGTCTCGTCTGCGTCTGCGTCTGCACTCTCAGGCTGAGGGGTGGCTGAATCCACTGTGGTCTCTCAATCCAGGGGCTTCGGGGATGGCTGTGGGTGGAGTCAAGGGTGATGTCTTGGGAATACCAGAACCTCAGCACCTCCTGTTCTGTCCATTGCAGCTCTTAGAAATGTCCTTTAACTGCCTGGAGGATGTAGAGAGCACCATTCCAGTCAGCCCTTTGCACTTAGCTGTGAGTCCCAGGTCTTTTCCTCTTGCCTTCCCTGTCCCCCACCCGCCCCAGGCCGGCTCACAGGTACCAGCACGTGTGAATCCGTCCTTGCTTCTGCCTTCTCGTGGGGATGTGGCAAGCCGGCAGTGGTCTGAGAGGGGCCCAAGGAGCTCGCGGGGAGGCCTGCTGCCCAGAGTCTCCCCGTGGGCCCCAAGAGCAGAGTGGGGCCATGTCTGGAGCTTTATCCACAGATTTCCCACACCCCTCCAGGCCTACAACGGTCACTGTGAAGCCCTGAAGACACTGGCTGAGACGCTGGTGAACCTGGACGTGAGGGACCACAAGGGCCGGACCGCGCTCTTCCTGGCCACTGAGCGAGGCTCTACTGAGTGTGTGGAGGTGCTAACGGCCCACGGCGCCTCTGCCCTCATCAAGGAGCGCAAACGCAAGTGGACACCCCTGCATGCTGCTGGTAAGGCCGCCCCTTGGGCTGCTCCCTCCCCTGCCTCCTCTGGGACTGGTCCCCAGCTCCCTCCAGAACACTGAAGGGACTGGGGTTGCGACAGGGCAGGGCAAGGAGGATGGAAACCTCAAGCCCTGACTCTCCCCCAAGACTCTCCCCATGTCCTCCCACGACCCCCACCTCCGCCCGGGCTTCCCCGACCATGCCTGACACTGAGGGCCCCCTCTTCACCTAGCTGCCTCTGGCCACACTGACTCCCTGCACTTGCTGATCGACAGTGGGGAACGCGCTGACATCACGGATGTCATGGATGCCTATGGACAGTGAGTGTGAGCTCGGGGTGGGCTGCAGGGTTCCCAGCCCTGCCAGGCCCTCACCCTTTCCCCGCGCCCTCTGTAGAACCCCACTGATGCTGGCCATCATGAATGGCCACGTGGACTGTGTACATCTGCTGCTAGAGAAAGGATCCACGGCTGACGCTGCTGACCTCCGGGGCCGCACTGCCCTCCACCGCGGGGTGAGTGGGCTTTGGGGTGGGGCTGCTCACAGAAGGGCTTGGACACAGGAGCTCACAGTAGGATATCAGATTGTCTAGTAGATGGGCCGGAGTCTTAGAGGGCATTAGCATGCTTGCTCCAGGATGAGGATCTGATGCCTGCAGTTCATCTCCCTGATTACCTTGCTCTGTGATCACGCGTAGTCACCTGCTCGCCGCCCAGGGTCCCCAGCTGGCCCTCTCATGTTTGATAATGATGCCACTACCCTGGTCCACTACCCTGGTCCTTCTCCACCGTCACCTGCCCTAAAACTGTCTCCTCCTCATCCCGTGGGGTTGTTTGACTCCTTAGTCTCCCACTGCAGAGGGCCAGCATTAACTCTCTCCATCCTGCTTGTCTGATGACATAGAGTCAGGGAAGGAGATGCCGATCCTTAATACTTCAGATTATTAGAAAAGACCCTGATGCTGGGGAAGATTGAAGGCAGGAGGAGAAGGGGGCAACAGAGGATGAGATGGTTGGATGGCGTCACCAACTCAATGGACCTGAGTTTGAAGATAGTTGAGACAGTGAAGGCCAGGGAAGCCTGGCGTGCTGCAGTCCATGGGGTCGCAGAGAGTGGGACATGACCTAGTGACTAAACAATCCTTAGAATCACTGTTGCAAAGACAAGGTTGGGAGCCGGGAAGCGGTTCCTCCTCCTGGGCCAGCCTCAGGACCGACACCCCCACGCCACCCGCAGGCCGTGACAGGCTGCGAGGACTGCCTGGCTGCCTTGCTGGACCACGACGCGTTTGTCCTGTGCCGAGACTTCAAGGGCCGCACGCCCATTCACCTGGCCTCAGCCTGCGGCCACACCGCAGTGCTGCGGACGCTGCTGCAGGCCGCCCTGTCCACGGACCCCCTGGACACCGGGGTGGATTACAGCGGATACTCGCCCATGCACTGGGCCTCCTACACTGGTGCGGCCCCGGGCCTCGTGGGGACAGCTGAGACGGGGGTGGGGGGGTGTGGGCAGGGCAGACAGGGACTCGTGGGTCACTCCGGACTTGGAAGTAGCATGGGGTGTCGAGAGATAGGACAGGACCAGTGAAAGGGGCCATGGTGTCATCCTCTCCATCGCCACTCTTCCCTCCTCGTCCCCAGGACACGAAGATTGTCTGGAGTTGTTACTTGAACACAGCCCGTTTTCATATCTGGAAGGAAACCCCTTCACTCCTTTGCACTGTGCAGTGTAAGGCACTTCCTCCGCCCCAGCCCCCCCCCAAGGGTCTGTGATGTGGGCATCGGACAGACCATCTGTTTCCCCATGCCCCTCCTGCTGACCCTTCCTCTTCCCCCAGTATTAATAACCAGGACAGCACCACAGAGATGCTGCTGGGAGCTCTGGGTGCCAAGATTGTGAACAGCCGAGATGCCAAAGGACGGTGAGTGGCAGGAGGCTTGGGAGACGCCTCCGCTGCCCCTGGCTTCCTCTCTCTGCTCAGGAGAAAGGGCCTCCCGGTTCACTCTGCCCCGACCCCTCCCCACAGGACCCCTCTTCACGCCGCTGCCTTCGCGGACAACGTCTCTGGGCTCCGGATGCTGCTGCAGCACCAAGCCGAGGTGAACGCCACGGACCACACTGGCCGCACCGCGCTCATGACAGCGGCTGAGAACGGGCAGACTGCAGCCGTGGGTGGGTAGGGGCCCCATGTGGATGGGAGGTACTCCCCCTGGGTTTTCACGAGATGAGTCAGCCCTGCTGGCGGGGCTTAGGAGGCAGGAGGCATGTCTTTGAATGTTTCACCCTCTGCAGAGGGGATGCAAAACATGCGCAGACAAGAGCGGGGAGAGCCTGTCTGGCCCAGCTCTGGAAGGGAGCGCCACCCTTCTCTGCCTCCCTTCTCTTGTAGAATTTCTGCTCTATCGAGGGAAGGCAGACCTTACTGTGATGGATGAGAACAAGAACACTGCCCTCCACTTGGCCTGTAGCAAGGTACCGTCTGCGCTGCTGGTGGGGCTCTCTGAATGCGGCAGGGCCTGAGGAGAGGCCCGGGTCCGCTGACAGGGCTCCGGGGACGTCAGGGGCGCCCTGACCGTCTGCCTGGTGGGACAGCTCCGTGCACCCCTGCGCCCCTCCTCCGCTCCCATGGTCGGCTGCCACGTCTCCAGCCCTCACTGTCTGCCCCCCTCCCTCAGGGCCATGAGAAGTGTGCCCTCATGATCCTGGCAGAAACCCAAGACCTTGGCCTTATCAATGCCACCAACGGCGCGCTGCAGATGTGAGTGCCTGGGGTGGGGGGCTCTTGGCTGAGGGGTGGGGGCCAGGTGAGGTGGACAGGAGGCTGCTGCCCGTTCCCGGGGCTCTGGCTCTCTGGAGCTCACGGTATTCGCCCGGCAGTGTGGCTGCTCCGGCCGAGGGTGGAAGGGCAGCTGGCCACCCCCTTGACTTCACCCTGCTCTTGTTCCTTTCTTCCAAGGCCGCTGCACATCGCTGCCCGGAACGGCCTGGCCTCCGTGGTGCAGGCCCTGCTGAGTCGCGGGGCCACCGTGCTGGCTGTGGATGAAGAAGGTGGGTGGGGTCTGGGGTCGGGCACGTTCTTCAGGAGGTGACTTCTTAACCTGGCTGGTTAATAAACTGGATTTTCTTCCCAAGGGAACTCTTCAGAGCAGGGACCCAACACCGATACGCTAGAGTCTCTGAGGGGAGTCTGACGGAACTAGGTGGAGCCTGCAGGGTCCTCAGGACGGCCTCCCGCACACCTCAGCCCCCGGGCCCTGCTCTTTGCCCTCGCTCGGACAGCCTGCCTGTCAGCCCCCCGGGGCCCCCAACTGTGACCCTGTGGGGTGTTGGCCTGCCTCGGCTCCCCTCTGCAGAGAAGAGCGCTCAGGGCCCGGGGCGGGTGGACGGGGCCCAGGGATCCAGGACTCTGGGCTCAGTTCTCGCCTTTGCCCCGCAGGTCACACCCCGGCCTTGGCCTGCGCCCCCAACAAAGATGTGGCAGACTGTCTGGCCTTGATCCTCTCCACCATGAAGCCTTTCCCACCCAAGGACGCTGTCAGTCCTTTCAGCTTCAGCCTGCTCAAGAACTGCGGCATCGCGGCAGCCAAGACGGTGGGTGGCTGCGGGGCCCTGCCCCACGGGGCCTCACGCCCCTACAGCCAGGAGCGGCACGGCGCCGTTGGCTTAGACGGCTGCTACTCCGAGTAGCCCCCTGCAGTGTCCCTCCCCACCGGTGGCTTGATTCCTTGTTCTATTTATTTAGGAAAAGTCTATACATTTAGGGCACTTTAAAGGAGAACGCGACTGGGCTGGGGGTGGAGGGGAAAGCGCTGGGGGGCGGCTGCTCGGCCCTTTGCCACGCGTCCTGGCCTGGCAGGGCTCTGGGACCAACAGGGAGCATCCCGGGCCCTTGGTACCCCCAGGGCACCCCCTTCTGCCGAGGGTCCCAACACGACAGCTCGCTGCCTGGCACCCGCCTCCTCTATCCCCTCTCTCAGTTCCCCCTTCTGCTGCCAGCTGCCCCTTCCTCTTCCTTCTGACTCACCTCAGGCCCCTTCCCCCCACCCCTGCCAGGCAGATCCCCGCCTCCTCTTCCATGCCCATCACTGCCTCCCTGCTCGCCGGCCCCTCCATCCCCGCAGCAGTGAGAAGCCTTAATTTCTGGTACTGTGTGAGCACTCTGGGGGTGTCCCCCTCCCCCTTCAGGGGCAGCTAGCGGACGAGGGGGGAGGGTATTTAGCACTGGGGCCTGGAGCTTTTCCCCTCCTTCTGTATCCCATCACCCCTAAAGTTCAAATGCAAAACACTTGAAGCAGCAACTACTGTACCTGGGCCCCAACCCTGCACTCTCCCGGCTCCTCGTATGCAAATCAAGGGCTGGCACTGCCCTGGCAGCCTGCCCCACCCCGCCCCGCCCCCGCCCCTGCCCCTGCTGGCCTGGCCTCCTGACCACGCACTTTAACCCCCCACCCCGCTTCTTTCTTTTAACTTCTTTTGGGAGGGCGGAGCCTGTGGCCATTCCCCCTCTGGCTCTCCCCTCCCTTGACTTTGAGGCTTGTCATGAATTTTTAAGTAAGCATTTTATCCTTTAGGGGAAGAAACAAATTAATTTCCTGTCCATTTCAAAACCACAGCCCTAGTCTGTCCTCTGTGTTTCAGGCATGTGTTTGCATGTGTGCGGAGGGAGAGCCTGTTCTTCCTTCTGTGTCCCCGTCCCACAGTTGCTCTCTGCACCCACCCCAGCCCATCTGCTGCCGCCTTCTGTGATGCCCAAGAGTACCCACTGCCCCCAGTCACTCCTGATCTGAAGCCAAAGATGGAGGGGCAGGGCAGACTAGGGACCGTGGCTGCTCGGGAGCCCAGGCGTCTTCTCTGCCTAGAGGCGAGAGGCGGAAGGTCTGCGTCCACTGGGGTTGGTCCCTGCCCCCCCAGCAGCTGGGAGAGAAGGGATCAAGCTAAGGGATGCGCTGAGATTTCCCGGCGTTGCACCCTACAAGCCAAACTGGGCTGGAGTGAGGAGGGGGCAGTTTTCTCTCTAAATGTAGCATTGAATTTGGCCCTGGTCCCTTCAGACGCCCTGTCCATCCATCTCCTAGCTCTGCCTCCTGGAGAGTGGGACCTGCTTCCTTAGCCCACCGTTCCTTTCCTCACACTCAATACCTCAGCCAGGGGCCAAGACACAGAACTTGAATAGAGGTCCTGCCCTCCCCACCGCGCGCGTTCGCGCCAGTCTGGCTGCCATCAGTATTGCCCCCGAGGACTGGACAGGCTTCGTTTACACTGCAGGGCCTCCCGGGGTGGGGGTCCCCTCAGGCTCCTTCCCCGCCCCTGCGTGCTTTATTCACCACCTTCTACACCCTTTGCAGCTGTGTCCCCCGCACGTCTGGCCGCCCTTGCCTGGGGTGGGCTGAGGGGAGCGGGGGGACATCCCAGGGACTGCCCGCTCCCTCGCAGACCCCCTTCACCATACCTCATGCTGGTTTCCCGGAGCCTGGGGTGTTCATCCCAGCCCTTCTTCTTTCTGTCTTGCTCCCGTTTCCTCCCCCCACCCCGCCCCGTGTCTTGCTTCCTGCAACCTTCAGTTCCTAAACCATTTCAAAGCTTCCGAATGACCATTATTGGTAAGAAGGAGTATGCAGCTTTTAGTTTTAATCTTTATTTTCAAAGCCAAAGGGCCTTGCAATGCCCCTCTTGCCCACCTCCCCACGCACCCTGTCCTCCCCTAGACGACAATCAACGTGACCTCTCTTAAGGGCTGCAGCCCCCTGCCCGTCCCCCGTCCTGCTGGTTCTGCAGAGCTCGCCCCTGACTTCACTTCTCTCTCCTTCCTGTTCCACCCCCCCTCATTTTGGTGCTGGGAATTAGGTGGCAGGGCGGGGGGTGGGGGTGGGGCGCAGGGAGACGGGTCCTCGGGATTAGACTCTCGAGATTGCAGTCGTGTTCTCCTTCATCAGTGTCTGGTGACGACAGGAAGGCTCGAGTGTTTGTCGGGAGCCCCGTGGTTTTGCTCGATGAGATTTCTGGAGGCTGCCCGGCCCCTGCCGCGCTTTTGGCACACCATCAGCAGTGCCAGGGCAGGCATCAGGAGGCTGGGCAGCCTCCTCCCGAATGCCAAAGGAAGTCCCACACCCCACCCTGGGCTCCCCAACCCCTAGTGTCTTTTGAAGCATTTTGACCATTCTCATGGCCACTGCATATTTATTTTAATGTTAAGTTTTTTGGTTTTTGTTTTAAACCTCTTTGACTTAAACGGGTGTGGAGAAATCAGCCAGGCAGAGTGCCCCTCCCCAGTCTTAAGGAGGTAGGGCGGGGAGGAACCATCTCCTTCCCTTCACCCTCCCGCTCCCTGTCCCCTTCTCCCCACCGCAGCTCTAAAGCACTTGCTTCAAGTAATAAGCACTTTTGAGAAAAGGCCTACTTTAAGTGAGGACCCTGGGAGCCGCCCCAGGTCCCAGCAAAGCGGTCAGAGCGAGGGCTACGCAGGAGACGGGGAAACAGTCAGAGGGCGCGATGGAAAGAGCCAGTTTTCAGTTTCTGACTTTCGGGGAGATGTTTCTGATTGGGCGGTGGCTTTGGTAGGGTTGTGTACTATCCTTCAGAAAAACAAATGGCACAAGCTGTGGGTCCCTGGACGGACCAACAGACCCGGGTCCCTGCCGCTGGCCCGCTGAGACGGACGGGCCCCCCCACCCCGCCCCGTGGCCCCATGAGCCGGCGGACTGCTGAAAACCACTGAATGTACAGCCCAGGCTGGGGTGGGAGCGGCCCCGGGGGGAGGGGGCTTCTCCTTCCGTTTGGTGCTGTGGGGGGCGGGAGAGACGAGACGGAGGGACTGCCACCCCACTTAGACGTGTTCCTTGGGGTGGGGGGCTGAGGAGGGCCCGCCTCCCCCTCCGACCCCAGCCATGGCCCCCCCTTCCTTCCTCACCCCTATCCGTTTTGACTGTAAGTCCAGCTCACCTTTGCCTTCAATGTGTAACCAAAGGAAAACTCAATACTGTTAACACCGCTGTCTGCCCACCCGAGCACCTTCTTACTCCCTGGACCCAGGAGGGGAGAAGAGGCTGGGCGGGGCAGGGGGCATGGGGCCCGAGTGAACGGTTCTGCAGCTGTGCGCCCCCCCAGACCTCCCTCGGGGTCTTGGGAGGGGGCGTTGGGGCCAGGTGCGCTCGGGATCTTGTGTACGTGGGCGTGCCTTGGTCTGAGCGGCTCCGGGGACTGTGCTCTGGGGGCGGCCCCTTCCTCCTCCGCCTCTGCCATTTCTCACCCTCTCCCCACACCCAGCGTTCATTCCCCCACCTCCCCCTCCTGCCGCAAAGGAAAATAGCCTTACAGACCCTAGCCCAGAAGCCCCCCTCTTGGGCAAACCAGTGCGGGGCCCCAGCCCACCTAGTGTGAACCCTGCCTTCGAAGGAGGGACAGGGAGTAACGCAGCCCCTTCCGTCTAAAGTGGTGGCCCCGGCCCTCAGCCTTGACCCAGACTGGGCAAGAGCCGAGGGGAGGGATCTTTGAGGACCAAGCCCAGTGGTCTGGGAAGAGGGAGGTAGAGAGGGAAGGGTCTGACTTGGGGACCCCCTCCTCCTGACCCAACCCCTAGAGAAGCGACCAAATCCCAGAGAGGAGGAAGCTGGGGTGGGGAGGGTCTGCTCTATGAATTACTTGAAGGTACTGACTGAGGCTGCTGTTGCCCACTTGGGTGTGAGGGGACAGTCACTGCGTTTGGGGGGGCCGAGGGGGGCAGGGTTGAGAGGGTCTGCCCTGGGCCCTCGCTCCCTCCTGCCAGGCGCGTTCCCTGGGGAGCCTGGCTTCGCCCCCCACCTGCGCCCCTCACCCTGGGCATCTCTCCAATTGCACTAAAGTAGCGGTGTGCCAGTCTTACCCCACACCGGGGCGGGGTCTCTGCTTCCAGTCCCTTCAGCCCACCCGCCTCTGCCCCCGTCCCGGACAATCTCCTTGTTCCTCTGTATTCCCGGGTAGCTCAGCTTTGTGTGTGTGTGTGTTTTGGGGGGTGGGGTGGGTTCTGGCTGGAGTCGGCTTGCTAGGGGTTTGGGAAGGGCTAGGGGAAAGATGGCGGATGCAGTCTCCTGCCCCCTTCCTCAGCTCCCGGCCACGTAAGCCAGGGAGGGAGGGTGCCTACCCTCGCCGCCGCGTGTCTTGCAGATGTGCCAAAATGGGGGTGGGGGGGAGGGTGCCTGGCAGAGCAGCCCCCAGGGTGGCGCTCTCAAAGCAATACAGTCCCTCCGGCCTGGGGGACGGCAGGACAGGGGAGAGGGTTGGGTCGGGGCCTGGGGGTCCCCGTGTACAGCTGTGTATATTCAGGGGTGTTCTCCGTCTGGCACCTGCCGCGGGCGTCTCTGTGTGTGAACCTCCCCTCCCCCGTGCCCTGCATGACCTGTGATGCTGCAGACACCACCATCCTGTGTGCAGGGGTGCGCTGGGGGCGCGAGGGGCGCGCCCCATGCCCTGCCGCTCCCGCCGCCCTGTGACCCATGTACTCGGTTGTAGGAAGTAAAGAGAACTGAGCACAATTCACCGGATTCTAGTTGAATCTTTGTCTAAGCAATGTTCCCCGCCCGCCCTCCCCCCTGCCCTAGATTCACCTGTGGTGCTAGCGTGGGGGGCGGGGGCGGGGTGTTTGATGCCGGTGGGCAGCAGTAAAGGGCAGCCCTGCCCGGATGCCTGCATCCCCAGGGTGCTGAGGGCAGCAGGGAGAAGGGGGGACCCCGGTGCACCGCCCCGACCCAACCTGCCCCTCCGCTCCGGGCTGAAGCACAACGCTGTCCCCGCAGACCAGACCCAGCGCCCTGCACCCTCCAGGCCCGCCCCCCGCCCGCCTGCTTTGGGCTCTCCTCGCGCCACATCCCCGGGTTTCTGTGCTGTTCTGGTGCAAGTACAGCTGTCGTCGTCATGGCTTGGGGATGGGTTCTGTTTATTAAAATCCTATTGATCCTACTGGCCCTGCGTCCTGCCTCCGTTCCTCTGGCCGGGGGGAAGGCCGGGCAGCCTGGACGCCTTTCCACCAGCGCCCCCTCAGTCGTCAGAGACAAGGGGCCACAGCTGCCCCTCCAGCAGGGCTATGGCGAGCATGAGCGCGCCCCCCAGCAGCAGCCCCAGCCCCTGCAGCAGCGCGTGGAGCCGGGGCAGAGGCTCGGGAGGACGGAGCAGGGCTGGGAGCTGAAAGGAGAGGACGTCGGGGTCAGGAGAGCCCCTGCTTCCCGCACGCCCCAGTGCCCCCGCCTCCGCGCTCGCATCTCGGATGCTGGTGAGCCGGGCTCCGCCCCCGCCCCGCCCCGCTCCCGGCGGCTCCAGTGCCCGCCCCCCTCGGTCTCTCAGCTGCCCCCGCCACCCCTCACCATGTCCACGAGGGCCACATAGAGGAAGACCCCGGCCGTGACCCCGAACACCCAGGGAGTGAGGGGCACAGGCCCCAGACTGAGCCCCACGCCCAGGGCCGCGCCCCCCAGCCCCAGGACTCCGGACACCAGGCTTAGCAGGAGCAGCTGCCGCAGGGGCAGGCCGGCCTGGAGCAGCATGGCGAAGTCACCTGCGCGGAGAGACACAGGGCAGCGGGGAGTGAGCCCGGGCCGCCCCTCGCCCGCGGCACCCCCCGGCCTCCACGCGCCCCCGCTTTCTGGAGTCAACCCCACTCCACTCCGGCCGTTCCTACCCAGTTCGTGAGGCAGCTCGTGGCAGAAGACCGCTACGGTGGTGCTGAGACCGCTGGAGAAGCCGTCAGAGAAGGCAGCCCCTGGGTGGGCCAGAAGGGAGGTGGGCAGTCTGGAAGAGGGGTCTTCCCCGAGGCAGGGGGGCAGGGGCCCCGAGCTCCGCCCTCCCCCAACTTCCCGGTAGCCCTGCCAGCCCCACCCGGCAACTAGAGGCCCACCCTCTCCCTGACCCCCGCCCTCCATCCCCCGTCGCACACACCGATGGCCAGCCCGTCAGTGAGGTTGTGCAGACCGTCTCCCAGGAGGACCATCCACGTGATGTTGGTGCCACCACCACCCTGGCACCCGTGACTGTGGCCTTCGTGCCCAGGAGGGGCTGGGGCTGCTGGGGGCTGGCCGTCCTGCTCCCTCGGGCTCTGAGCCCCTGGCTCTGCGGGAAGGAGGACAGGAGCCGTGTTGGCGGCTGCAGGTGAGCTGGGAGCCAGGGCCCACCCCTCAGGTTCTCCGGCCACCTGGAGCTGCCGGCCGGGGCTGAAGGGCCATCCCACTGCCATCCTCCAGGTCCAGGCTTGGAGTCCTGAGGTCCTCTCTTTTCCGCCTGCAGCATCTCTGGAACGGGAGGGCACCCTTCCTGGTGGAGGCAGCAGAGCGGGCGGCAGGGAGCCGGGCCACCGGCTGCGAGGAGGACGCCGGCCCCAGTGCCGGCGCGTGGGCTGCCCCCTGGCTCCTGCTGTCCCCCCAGGTCGGCACCCCTCCGTCTCTCCTTGCCCCGAGCTCAGGAGAGGAGCCCGTTTGGCCGGAAGCCCTGGGTCTGTGCTGAGGAGCCCGAGCCCACTCCCTGCTGGCCATCAGGCCCCGCACACACAGTCAGGCAGACGTCAGGGCCAGGAGCACTCGGCCCCTCACCTCCCAGCTTGAGCGGCCAGTTCTCGGCTAGGACTCTGGTCTCGGCAGGAAGAGGACAATAGGGTGTCACTCACTGGCTTGCGCCCTCGCCGCCGCAAGAGCCCCAGCGCGTTCTCCAGGAGGAAGAGCAGGAAGAGACCTCCGAGCACTGACAGCCCCGGGCCCAGGTCCTCCTCCGGCCGCCCGCCGGCTGCAGCGTGCCGCCCGCCTTGGGCCTGACGGAGAGGCGGTCAAGGGAGACGCCAGAAGCCCCCCACACCCGACAACACCCCTCTCTCGAGGGGGCCTTCACCCACACTTCCCACCAGAAGGCAGCTGCGGGCTGCCGCTGGGCTGGGACAGAGGATGTCCTGTGACGGGGGCCCTGGGGCAGGGGGCGGGGAAGGGGCTGCACGTACGTGCGGCAGCAGGTGCAGCAGCGCATCCCCACAGAGGGTGCCCACGGCCACGGCCCCCAGGAAGCCCAGCAGGGGCCGCAGCAGACGAGGCCCCAGGAGCCGCAGCACCAGCAGCGAGAGCGGCGCGGGCAGGCTGAGCAGCAGGACCGCCAGGGCGCTCTGAGCCAGGGCTGCGCAAAGTCAGGGGCTGGAGTCAGGCAGAGCTGCAGGGGCACCTTCGAGGTGGGATGGGGCTGAGAGGTGCTGCCAGGGGAGGCAGGACCCCGGTGAACCCCCTTCCTTGGCCTGAGACCCACCCCCTACTCCCACTCTCACCCACTGACCAGATAGTAGATCCCCTGGGGGGCTTGGAGCTGGGGCCTGGATGCAGACACGACTGTCAATCTGATAAAGCAGGGCTGGACACAGCAGAGCGAACTGACGAGGCGTGAGAGCGGCAGCAGGGCTCAAGCCAAAATTGACCAGCAGCTGGGAGCCATTCAGACACTGGGCAGGTAGAGCTGGAGGTTAGGCACCGGGGAACTGCTGGGACCTGGGACTCAGATGTTGGGTGTCTGCCCTTCCACTGCATGAACTCCTGGGTCTCTTCCAGGGTCCCCTTCACTCACACTGGCGGTTGCGTCAGGGACTCAGGACAGTTATTGATAATCAGCACGTGTTCATTATCAGTGAATATGCAAACCAGAGCAAATAATTCAGTGCAAACTGGGTGCTAGTGAGCACTGGCATCATCTCCCTCCCTCCGTAGCTCTGGTGTCTCATTAATTTAGTGATGATGGTCAGACAACTAGAGCCCTCCCTTCCAGAATCTTAGAAGGGAGAAGAACCTAAAATGCCACTCAAACCTCCTCTGAACAGCCCTGACACATTCCACCAGCCTTGGATCAAGTGCTTCCTGTGATGGGGTGCTCACCCTCGCCAGGTCTGTTTCAGGGCTGGGTTTGGCTGCCCTCCGGTGTACATGGAACACGTTCACTGACTTTCTGGATGATGATAGCCATCCACCCACTTCAGGCCTCCTGTCCAGGTAACCAGCCCCAGATTTCACCCTGGGCTGCTTCTCTGGATTCTCTGCTTTGCCAAGTGTGGCCCCTAAAGCCAGTCTTAGAGCTCGGGGCATGGGTCTACCTGCTGTGAGCACAGGGGAACATATTTCTCTACTGGAATAACATACCCTAAGATCACACCTGGATCTAAGTAGCGATTTTAAATTACTGAGTCTTCAAACATTTCAGGCCATCTCAATCCCGTGGCCCCTATCCCCTCGGGGGATCATAAGACTCACACCTATCCCCTCGGGAGATCATAAGACTCACGTCCTCGTTCAGGTGGTCAGCCAGGGGGTGGTCCAACAGCAGAAGCCTGTGAAAGAGGCCCAAGCCCGAGGGGCCTGGCCCATGGGGCGGTCCTGGGGCCTTTGTCCCCGCCAGGTCACCCCACCCCGGGGGGTCCAGAGGCAACCCTGCCCAGACATTCACACTCAGCTCGGGGTCCTGCGTCCTAGAACGGATGGGACGGCAAGTCAGGGTCTGAAAAACGTGTGATTCCAGGAGTCTGATGTTGGGAAGGCAGAGCTAGGCAGCCAGAGGAGACTCTTCTCAGTAGGGAAGAGCTGGGCTGTGACACTTTGGGTGGGGGGAGATGGGTTAGTACCTGTGTGTGGAATTGTCTCCAGCTGGGGGTGCACCCCGACCAGCAGGAGGCCCGTGGTGTCCCAGGCGAAGGGCCTGAACTCGGCCTAGTCCCAGGCTGTGGAGGAGCCTGGCTAGGCCCCCTGCGGTCAGCGTCCCGTTCTCCCCATAGAGACCAAACAGCTGGGCCAGGTAATGGTTCTGTTCCTGCTCAGCAGGGCCCAGGTAGGGGCCTGAGCCCTCCACCCAGCCCAAGGCCACCCACACACACAGGCCAGCCAGCAGATGACTCATTGGGGGCCCCATTCCTGGGGGGGACAGGCTCAGAGGCTTTGGTTCCGGCTTCTATTCCCCCTGGTGGAACATCCTGAGGAATGTGCCCTGGAAGAACGAGGAGGAAGGGGCTGGGGCTCCTGCCGTGAGCCCATACTCCTCACACCCCACCACAACCCAATACAGCGGCAGCCCCACTCGCTCACCCTTCCTCCCCATTGCCTCCTTCTGAGCAGCCTCTTGTTTACCAGTTCCTAGAGCAAGCACTTTTCCTGACCCAGAACACTGCCTTCCCCTGACCCAGAGCTGCCCAGACCATCCCTCCCTGTCCCCCAGAGCCCACCCCTCAGCCTCAGCCCACCTTGCTTATAGCCCTCAACCCCCAGGGCCTCACCCCACGGCAGCGTAGGAGCTGTCACCGCAGGCCCCCACGAGGCCTGGCTGTGGGCACTGAGGGGTTCCTGAGTTATGGAGGGGAGCCGGGCTCCGTCTCCAGCTGCCCAGGCAAGTTGGAGGCCACGTCAGATAGAAAGCCAGGATGGCCAAGCCCTCGCCCCTAGCCCAGCGGCCTGGGGGTGGGGCCAGGGGAGGTGCCAGACTGGGAAGAGTCACATCAGAGGAGTTAATGGTTCACTGGTCTCTGGGGTGGGGGTCAAAGGCCAGTCTTGGCTGGGCCCCCGGGTAGGGAGGGGCCACCCTCTGCCCCTGGAGAAGCCACATGGCCAAGGAGAGCCTGGGCCTGGCCATTTCTTCTAAATAATTTACACACACCCCCAAGCCAGTCGGTACCATCTTAGCCTCTCGCTGCCTAAACTGCCACCCCACCTACCTTACATATGGCACTGGGCTTCGTTCAGCTCCAGCCCCCACGCCCCACGCCCACATTCCCTGGAAAGTTGGCCCCAGATGTCCCTAAGCTGAACAGGAGGGTGGAAGGCAGATGAGGGGCAACCCCAGACGCATGGGGAAGAAATTGCTTTTAGCAATTCCTCATCCCAGGAGAGAAAGAGCCAGCACTCAGGGAATCATGGCCAAGACAGGGGACGCTCTGGTGGGAGGAGCACAGGAGTGCCCGGGCCGCTGCAGGCGTCTGGCCGGGCCTCAGGCTGGGGAGCAGTCTGATCGGGGCGGTCGGCCCAGGGGGCCGAGGCTGGCATTACCTGACAGCAGGAAGCAGGGACACCTGGAGGAAGGGGGACACCGTCTTCTCGGTTCCAGCTGCAGGGGGGTAGGCAGGCAGGTGGACAAGGGTCACGGCAGGGAGTCGGCAGGGGAGGGGCACGCCCTTAAAGGGGCAGGCCCTGCTCCTCCCCTCCACCTCCTAGGGACACCCCACCTTCCGGAATGCCCAGCTGCCGATCTCTTCATGTTCCCATGGAAAGCAAAGGAGTCCAGTACAGAGTGGTAAAGTAACATTTATTAGGAAGGAGAGATTCAATTAGACTTCCACATCACAGGCTCAAGAAACGGACTAACCGTCGTTTCTAAGCAGGAAGGAGGGGAGGCAGATGGCCCCGAACCCCAGGAGACAGGCAGCTTCAGCTGGACAAGGAGGGGAGACTGGGCTGAGGGTGGGTAAAGGCCACTGCCCACCCACCCTCAGTGAAGTTTAGTGGCTAAAACACTCCTACCCCCCGGCTCCCCAGAGGCGGCAGCCCGGGAGAAAGCTGTGCTCTCGAGCAGACGCCTGGCTTATGGCTGGTGGCGGGAAGCGGGCAAGTACCGCTATCTCTTGCTGCTCCTCCGGGTTTCTTTGCCGTTACTGACGGCGTTGCTGGAGGGGCCGGGGGCGCCGGCAGGTGCGTGGTTGGGCTGGCTTCGGGTAATTCGGGTGCTGGGGGGGTGGGAGGGAGTGTGAGGCGGGTGTGGGCCACCGCCAGGACCTGGTGGGGTGCTCAGTCCATTCCCGTTCTGGCTCTCGGAGGCTAGGTGCGGGAGAAAGAGGAGAAACACAGGAATCAGAGAACTAAGGCAGGCAGGCGTCCATCCCCAAGACCTCCCTGCAGCCCAGCGGGCAGAACAGTCTCCACCAAGTGCAGCGGCGTATTGAAGGCTGTGTGACCACGTGCAAAAATGTGAGTTGCAGGAAGGGGCCCCAGAGACGACGCAATCATTTTGACAGCTGCTACATGAACCATTGTATATTTTCTTAAAACAAAAAAATTGGCTGCACCTCACAGCTTGTGGTATCTTACTTAGTTCCCTGGCCAGGGATTGAACCTGGGCCCTCAGCAGTCAGAGCAAGAAGTCCTAACCGCTGGACTGCCATGGAATTCCTATTTTTTCTTTTTTGTTCATCTCTATCATTAGGAGTCACACCTAGCTGTTTAGTGCTAGGCTCAAGGATCACCAACAAAATAGCTCTTGACCAAAACTGACTATAAAACTAGAGACTCACTGGGAAGGGAAGGGCCTGAAATTTGTGTTAAAATGTAAGAAGGATCTAGAAAGGAAGAAAAAAGTGTGGTGTGTGTCACAATGAATCACATTCACTTGAGAAAATATAAACAATAAGCAAATAAAAAAACTATTATACGTACTCACGCCCCCAAAATAATAGACAACACTTTTGTGTATGTTTTCAGTGTTTAATCTTTGAACTACCTTAGCTGTGAAAACCACTATCACCACACTTACCACAGTGTATTATTAACATAACCATCATCTGTGGGACTATTTCCTGCATGGACTTCGAGCTCCTAAAGACAAGTGCTGTGTTTTTTTCCCTTGTATTCCTCATCTATAAATGCTTGTTAAATGAAGATAGATGTCTGCCTCTCACATACACAAGGCACCATGAACCCTAACCGTACCCCTGCTGGTCCATGAGGCAAAGATATCTGCAGACAAAACTGAAGAATAAAGCCCTTTCCTTAATTCAGAGAAATAATTAGGAGAGTATGTAGAAAGTCATTTTTTTATGCCATACATTTTTTTCTTTAAAACCTTCTGTACCTATTAGCAGAGGACAAAGCAAATAAACATGTAGCAAATGAATATGAGGGGACAAACAGGCTTAAATGTATCTTATTTAAAATATTTTTGTAAATGATAGAGTTATAGAGACCGGAGAATATGTAACTGTCATATTTTCAGTTGAAAATATGGATGCTACTTTTTATGGTGGAATTAAATGTTGTTATTTCATGGTGTTTCCAAAAAACACCATGACCTTGAGTGGTTCTAATGCAGGTTAGGAAACCACGGTAACTGAGGATGCAGACACAGACTGAGGAACGATAGCCGCAGCCCGAAGTCTAGTGCCATGGGAGAAACATAAGGCATGGATCAGAGGCAAGAGTGCCAAACATCCAGGAGTAGTGGGGTCAGTTGGGAGATGACCCAGGCGAAAAGAACAGTAAAAAAACAGGTTTCTAAGGAAAAGCCAAGGGAAGAAGGGGGTGATGTTGGTGAGTGATTCTAATTAAAAGTCGATGATCTACAGGAAGGCAAATTCTCAACAGGCCAAAAGCAAGGGCTTCTTAGCTGGAAGAACCATAACCCCGAGGACCAGGGCCTAGGAGAAGGACCTGAAATGTCAAGAGTGGCGACCCCGAACAGAGACGACTTCATGCTTGAAGAGCTGCAGTGTGGACATGCGGAGCCATGTAAGTGATAGTGTGTCTATCAGAACTGATACTGAATCAGAACAGGCAAGGGCGGAAAATGCCAAGCTTCTTCCAAAAAAGAAGTCAAAGAAGAGAGGAAGGAGCTAGAAAGAAAGAGGGCAGTCTGCAGAGAAACTGCTCTCATTTTTGGCTCTGAGTGTTACTGGCAAAAGGGAGCTCTATCAGTGACAGAAACATATCCCCTGAGGGAGTTGCAAAAGAACTGGGAGAGGGACTTCCCTGGTGGTCCAGTGGTTAAGAATTCGCCTGCCAATGCAGGGGACGTAGGTTTGATCCCTGGTCAGGGTACTAACATCTCACGTGCCGTGGGGGCAACTGAGCCCACTCACCACAAGGAAGATCGTGTGTGATGCAAGTAAGACCTGATACAACCAAGTAAATAAATATACAAACGTTTATTAAAAAAAAAAAAAAGAACCAGGGTGGAAAAGGCTATAATCAGAGATAAGAGATTTAGAAAAGGGATGAAGGCGATGCATCTCTCTAGGCTGGGGAGAGTAGGGAAACTACGAGGACTAGTGAATGGAAGAGAACACACTTACCTGGAGAAGCAGCAGGGGGCCCAGTGGTAGGCTGGGGAGCCGCAGGGCCACTGTCGTTCTGCACCTGAAGGCACACACGACATATTCAGACCTTACTCTCTGCCAGGCTGCTTGGCCTGACCTGCCCTCCTTCCCCACATCACAGTCATGGGACCCACCGTCTTGTTGGGTGCCTGCTGGGCGCTGTATTCTGGGTTGGGCTCACTGAAGTTAGGAACCTCAGAATAAACCATACAGAATCTGCAAGGGGAGAAAGTGCAAAGCCTCAGGCCCATCCCCTGGAAACCTCAGGAAGGCCCAGGTTCAGAACATGGAATGCACACCCTCATGCTGCCTCCTGCAAAACACAAGCTTCTTTCCTCTGCCTGTGCTTCTACCAGCCCAAGAGAGCACTTACTCTCCAATCTTCTGAAGATCACCCCCACGGCCAGTGTACAACGTCAGACAACCTTTGAACACTGACGCGTACCTGTGGGGGCACAGAAAGCAGGGTTCAGAGTCACAGAGAAGGCCCTCGAATAACCAGAAGTCGCCTGATGGCTTACCCTTTGGTGAGCCGGATAATGTCCCCAGGCTGGATCAGGTTGCCCACGTCGTCCCAGACGGATATGTTGATGCTGCCGGTTTTGTCGGCTACTTTGCAGGTCCGAACCTCGTGTCCGTCCTTTGTCTTGGTCACTCGGCCTGGAGGAAACAGACCAATGGGGTGGCGGTGGTCAGATAAATAGGGGTGGTGATGATCAGAGGGATGAAATCTAGATCCTGGTGGAGTGAGGTGTACAAACAGGGCAAAGCCAAATCCCTGGGGCAGGGAGGAGCCAGCACCATGGAGAGGGCCCTGGGGGGTGGGGGTGGGGCAGGGAAGGCCCGGAGGCGCTGGAGGCACGGATCTGGCAAGAGCTCCCTCCATCTACCCTACACTCGACCACAACTCTCCGGGCGGGGGCTAGGAGAGAGACTGGACGTGAGCAGTGTCTTGGGATGCGCCCTGCCATTCTGGGTGCAAGTTAAGAATGGTTCTCCCCAACCCCGAGACCCTACGCAGGGGGCCCGCCGCCCCAGCAGAGCCACCTGTCTCCAGCACAATGAAGATGAGGTTCAGATTCTTGAGCCCCGGCTTGATATCCTTCACGAAGGTCTCCGTCGTCATGCTGCCCGAGCCTCAGCACCCCACTAGAAGGGGGGAAAGGGGATGAAGGTTCAATGCATGGACCTTCCCGTGTCCACTTCGCAAGGCCTATCTACCACACTAGGCTGGTCAGGCAGCCCTAAACCATATAACTCTTCTAAAAGGGTAGAAACGAACTTCCCCGTGGCCCTCCAACTTCAAGATCAGAATTTAAGGGGCCTCTGGATTGGCTGCTTCGGGGCTGGAAGTCCCCCCTCCCCCGAGGCTTCCAGTCTCAAGTCCCGAAGTGGGGAAGCCGATGGAAACCGGGGCAGAGAACCTGATGCAGAGCCAAGGAATGGAATCTCACTCGCCACACCTTCCCGAACCCTCATCTGGACAATCCGGAACTCAGTCCATCCTCTCCCCCAACCCACAGCCCACCACCCACCCAGCCAGCCCGCCGGACTGTGCACGCCGCCGAGTCGCCTGCAGGGGGAGCCAAAGGTTCCCAGGCCGCCGGATGCGGACCAATGGAACGCAGGAGTCAGAACATTCCCGGAAGTTTCCCCCGGCCGGCCGCCTCCAGCCAATCAGCATTGCCCCGGCTCGCCACCCGACCAATCGGGATTCGAGATTCACGCGCCGCGAAAGGGGTGGGATTTTAGGTATTAAAGGAGCCTCAGAGAGGGTTGACTGAGCAAAGAACAACAAAGACCGCCAGGGGGCGCCTCAGGTCCCAATTTCCCTCCACTTGAGGCGCAAGAACTAAGAGAAGGCTCCAAGATTTTCTCCTAGTCGTGACACAGTGGAAACAGGACCAAAGGTTTTTTTGGAATCCAGAGGACAAAAGCATAAAAACAAGCTCATCACTTCACTTTGTTACTCGACAGTTCTTAAATATGTGATTCCATTTTGCAGACGAGAAAAAGCAGTGCCTAGCACATGTAGAAAGCAGTGCCTAGCACATGTAGAAAGCAGTGCCTAGCACACGTAGAAAGCAGTGCCTAGCACACGTAGAAAGCAGTGCCTAGCACACGTAGAAAGCAGTGCCTAGCACACGTAGAAAGCAGTGTCTAGCACACATAGAAAGCAGTGCCTAGCACACGTAGAAAGCAGTGCCTAGCACACGTAGAAAGCAGTGTCTAGCACACGTAGAAAGCAGTGCCTAGCACACGTAGAAAGCAGTGCCTAGCACACATAGAAAGCAGTGTCTAGCACATGTAGAAAGCAGTGCCTAGCACACGTAGAAAGCAGTGCCTAGCACACATAGAAAGCAGTGTCTAGCACACAACAAGCAGTTTCCTCCTCTTCTCCAACTGCTCTAACCCTCATCTTTATTTCTGATTTGGGGCCCTCAAGTTTAATGTAGTAACCAGGTTGGTCAAGATCTCTGGAAAAAGTAGCATTCACACCAGAGACACAATTGGCGGCCTCACTCCTTCCCCCTTGGAAATGATGGAACCTGGGGCTTAGAGAGCAATATTTGCATTAGTTCCTCTCACAGTAGGAAAGGCGACTGTTCCTGAAGTGCTCACTCCCTAAACCTCAGGATCCTCAGAGGACTAAAAAGAGGAGGCCTGAACCTTTAGTTCCCTTTGGGACTTGATACACAGTCAACAAAATGTAGCTAACTCTGTAGTATTGTGTATAAACCAATTATATATATAAACAATGTACATACATGTGCGTTACCATTTGCCTAGCGAACATCGGTAAAAATTACTGCTCATTATCAGATTAGCCTATGAGGCCATGCAATTGTAATGCCTTGGTTTGCTTAATCAATCCCTTACCTTCTTCTAGAGGGCTTTAGGCTCCACCTTGACTTTCCTCGGAGCTCAGGTTCTCTCCCGCCCACAACCCCAGCCACGGTGTTGTACCTTAAGGAAAGCAAACCACAGCCCGGAAAGAAGGACATTTTTATCTCCCTTCTGTCCCCTGGGGTGTTTCAGGCAACTATACAAGTGCTCCGAAGGCCGATGTAAATACGGCGGGAGTGAGACTGGGAGGGAAGCGGGTAACCTTAGATCAAAGCTCTCCGGCCAGACACTCCCCCATTCCCCACCCAGTGGTCGCCTTGTTGACTACACATCCACTCCCATGACTATGAGTCATAAGATCAGGAGGCTCCGGGATGCTGACCACGGCTCTGGAAACGGGAGAGGGGCCGGGGAGACGGCAGGTCCCTGCAGGCCAGCCTACTAGCGACGATCTCGCAGCAAGCCGCATCAGTTTTAGAGCACGAACACGTGCAGCCCTCCAAAGCGAAGTCTCGCGCTCCTGGAGAGTCGGCCTCCCGCTCAGCCCCAGATGTTCACGCTGGGAAGAACATAGAGTCCTCCCTCCAGAACGGCTATCTAGTTCTCCCGGGGACCATAAAGACTTCCGGTCTAGAGCGGAGGCCTGGCTAGCCCTCACTGTCCTCGTTGGCTGCTCGTGGTTTCCAGGCCAGGACTGAGTTAGACAGAGAGGCGGAGCTTGGTGACGGGCTTCCGCCGGGTTGCGTAGCAGCGGTGGGCGGGGCAAAGGTTCCGTCCCACACGGCGGAGAGTGGTCGGAACCCTCTCGCGTCTTCTTCCCCTTCCCCTCCCAGAAAAGGCTGGGACCCGGCACCCGGGCTGTCTCTCGGCCGCAGCGGGTACGGAGAGTCGAGACCGCTTCCAGGGCGGTGCGTACGGCGCCTGCGCGCGCTCCCGCTTAAAGGAGGGTGTGGGAGGGAGGGGGCGATGTCCCGGGGGGATTGAGGCGGGGGTTCGCGACGTTGGAGGTCAGGAGAAGGGATGAGAGCAGGATGAAACACGGAGGAAGGGAGCAGCAATAGGGAGGAGTCCAGAGGTGAAGGGGGCGCCGGTGGGCGGGTCGTCGGCGTGACCCGTCGGAATGGGGGCGCCTTAAAAAGTGCAGGAGGGGCCTGGGCTGGCTGGAGGCCGGGGAGGAGGGGACTTGAGGGAACAGCGTGGTGTTTAAACAGGCAGGGATTGACAGGCCGGGGGCGGAGGAAGGCCACGTTCTGAGGGCCAGCCTGGGCAGGGGCCGCGGAACCGAACCCCCGCCCTCGGAGCGCCACAGCCTGGCTCCTCTCCCACGCCTGTCTTTGGCAGCCTGTCCTCCTCCTCCGTCCCTTCCCCTCTCTCCCTCCCACCCCTCTCTGTAGGAGTCTCACATTCCTTACATCCCTGCCCTGGGTTTGCAGCCAGGCCGTCTTCGCAGGCTGCGCACACCGGAAAGCCTTCTCCAAGCCGGCACGCAGAGGAAATTGAGGACTGGGAAGCAGGGAGCTGGAGAAGGAGCGGAAAGCTGAGAGGGGTGAGAGTGTTTCGCTTGAGGGACTGACAGGCACCTTCATTCAGAAACTGACTTCGTTCCACCCAGTAGCCGATGCAGCTGTTAATGAGACCACTGAACCACTGTTCTTGGGGACTGGGCTGTGATAAAGTCTGATCCTTTCCTGTACAGGTGGTTTTAGTCTGACAATAGAGCAAGAAGCTGATATTGTTGCAGGCTGCTAGTTTTCCGCAGATAGGGATGGCAGGGAATCTGAGTGATGCAATAATGTTACTGCCCTGGGTGTCCAGCCCACTTTGTGGCTGCACCTGGATGGAAAAGAAGAAACAAGCTTCTTTCAAGTGTTTCCTCATGGACCCTCAGCACTCTCAATTTATTTTGCATTCTATTACTACAAATACCTCATGGTGTTTGTGCGAATAGTGGTATGAATAGCAGTATTCAGCATGCTTTCATATTTCTTATGTCATTTGATTTTCCTGGACAATATGTAAGATAGGTCAGTCAAGTTATCATCGTCCCTGCTTGACAGGTGAAGAAACTGAAAACTGCAGAAGGGATACACGGCTTGTTAGAAGTCGTGCAGCTGGCAGAGCAGGGACCAGAGTCCAGGTCTCCTGACTCCACGTGCCCCTCTGTGTTGAAAAATCCTGTTTTGTTCTGGTCAAGAGAGCTGTGAGGGGGGACAGCTTTTCCCAGGATGGACAACTGTTAGTCTGGAACTTGTCTCTAGGAGACTGAACATAGCACTGATTCCTGGAAGCTTTTCTTGAGGTGCAGGGGCAGACGCCAGGCTGTTGGGAAATAGTCTTGTCAAAGTGGAAGAAGCATTGTACACGCCTCTGTATGATGGATGGGAGAGACCTATCAACTCCCCCCTCACTGCCCCCAACTACAGGGAAGAGGAAGTGGACCCGGCCTGGCACCTTGCCCCTCCAATTAGTTTTTAAATACTGCACTAACATGTTATGGCTGCTGAGCATAGTACACTAATGAGCCCATGTACCAGACTCAGGATGAGGTGGTCTCTGTTTTGGATAAAAATTGTCATCCTTCCTAACACAGCCCTTAATATTGATCGATGTGAAGGTGAGGAAAGGGATTTGAGTGGTTTCTGTTCTGCATCTGAAGCTTTGTCTGCCTCTACTTGGCTTCATCCTTTTAGTAATGAGAGTCTGGTCTTCCCCGTTGTCTGTCCTGGAGTAATTTCCTGATTGACTGCCTCTTCATTTTTTTTTAAAAAAAAGCCTGATCCCTTCAGGAATATTTCCGGACTTGAAAGTAGAATTACACCTATACCAATATTCTTGAGTATCTTCTCCTTGTGAAACAGTATTTTCCAAGTGGAGAGTAGGACAGAATTCTTTTTCTATGAAATAATCTATGTGAAAGCACTTTGGAAACATTAAAGCGTCATACTGCGCGCGTGAGGGGTCATGGCCCTCGGTGTTGCGTAGCCACGGGTTTGGGTTCGCTGGCGTTCCTTGCAGTTGTAGGCGCTGAATTAAAGCATCTTCTCTGTCTCAGACAGCTCCTCTCCCCTGCCTTGCTTCTTGTCGCTTTCTCTCCCCACCTCAGCTGTGTTTGAATCACGTGGCCCGGGCGTGTGGCTCCTCAGCAGATGACCTCAATCCTTACAGAGGAGCCTGCGAGCCCGGAAACCTGCGGCTCTCAGGGGAGTTGTTTTGTCCTCCTCAACCGACCGTCGGACCCGAGTCTGTCTAGTTTCATTGCCAAGTGCAGGTACTGCTCCTGACTCACCTTCTTCTTCCTTGTTCCTATTAATAGAGCGCTCCCGACAGTGACATCACACCCATCCCCTTGGCGATGGAGCTTGTTACTAGGAATGAAGACTCAGTCGGAGAATAGCCAACAAGATGGGTTGCTGGGAGCGTCTCCTGAGCGGCAGTGAGCGGAGGCATCAGGGGGTCGGAGCCTTGTGAACAGGGAACCTGCCCCCCAACACTTGGAAGGTAAAAAGCGTTGGTTCAGAACCCCCTTCTGGGCCTCAACCCTCTGCTCTGCTACTCGGGATTCCTTCTGCTCTTGAAAACCTGATTCTCAAAACTCTTTATGCATAAACTTTTCTGTGATTAACCCACATCAGTCTGTTCTTCATGGTATATTTATGTCTTACATGAACTGTTAACTTTTACTTGTTGGTAAATTGTTAAGTTTTACTCTTTTTGTGTGTTTTATATCCTGCGTACTCACTCATTGAACTCAAGCCTGCACATGTGTTTGAGGACGAGGATTGTGCTTGCTATGTCTTTTACATGAAGATGAGGTTGGGGGTGGTCCTTGCTGGTCTTTGAGGCCTGGTCAGCCTCACCCTAGGTGTTAGAGTTGTTAGTTGGGAGTTTTTGAAGGATTGTGTGACCTCTGGATGCTTATTTATTTATTTATTTTTAAAAAGTATTTATTTGCGTGTGCTGAATCTTAGTCGCCGTGTGTGGGATCGAGTTCCCAGACCAGGTACTGAAGTCAGGGCCCCTGCATTGGGAGCTTGGAGTCTTAGCCACTGGACCACCAAGGAAGTCCCCCTCTGGATTCTCTTTCAAATTTAACCGATTAAAGTGTGCCGAAGAAGCCTGACTTCAGAAATCTCCTGTACTAAACCTAGTCTGGATCACAGAATTCTGGAATTAAATGGAACCTTAGAGGCAATGAGGAAACCAAGTTCTAAGAGCTCAGTTCTCTAAGAGAGGGAGTCACTTAACTCTAAGGATTCTATTGCTTAGATGCAAAAGACCACTTTCTTTCCTGTAGAAAGTCAGGAGAGTTGCCTGAAGAGAGCAAGGTCAAAGTTGACTCTCATAAAGCCAGGGCACCTTTTATAATGTAATCACCCCTAATTTAGCCTGCTTCTGTACTTAGCAGACTTGCATTGCCTTGGATGCTTCATCTCCTGTGGAGTAAAGGGAGCTGATGAGGCCCAGAGATGTGACCTCAGTTGCCCAGGGTCACGCACTGCTCGGTGACGGGGCTTGGGTGCCACTCGGGTTCCTAGATTCTCAACTCAGTGTTCTTTTTCCATGTCCGTTTCTTTACTGGGAGACAGGAAGATAAGATGAAATGTTTTAGGGACGCCCGTGAGGCACCCTTCACCAGCTACTTTCTTCACTAGGTTGAAATTCCTAGGAGTCACCGGTTTCATTACGGTGGAGCAGGTTATGGGGCTCTTTGCCTTAATGTCTGGTGATTTGTAGTAATTGGTGCTGGAGAATTCTCAGCCCTCTCCACCTGTGTTGTATTCAGGGCATGGAGGAGAGAGGAGGAGTAGGAGATGACAGCACTTATGCTTGGATTTTACCAGTATGTTTTTGCCAAGCATTGGTGACAGCATACCCAGTTACCCTAAAATGGGAGCGGTTGCACTAACGTGTGTGCGTGTGAATGTGCATGGTTTGCACATCGGTACATGGGTTCAAGAAACCCTGAATAAGGGAGGGTAAATGTTCAGGCTCCTTTAGAAACAATCTGTTTTGAATTCCTAGCTCTCTCTGGGAGTAGACCAGTGAAAACAATGGCAACAGTAAGTTACAAGGGTGTAGGGAGTGGTCTAGTAACGTTCTCAAGTGTTTATTTATTTATTTGAAATTAATGACTTAGTTGACTTACTATTTTCAGCTGCGCTGTGTTACTGTCCGTGGGCTTTCTCCAGTTGTGGGAAGTGGGGCTGCCCTCCACTTGTGGTGCACGGGCTTCCCATTGCACTGGCGTCTCTTGCTGCAGACACAGGCTCTGGCCCATGGGCTCCGTGGTCGTGGCACACAAGCTTAGTTGCTCTGAGGCCTGTGGAATTTTCCTGGACTGGGGATCATCAAACCTGTGTCCCCTGCATTACAAGGAGGATTCTCGACCGTGGGACCACCAGCCAAGTCCTCACATTTTTATAATTAATGCTGACCAGAAGTGTAGAGACATCCCAGTGTAACAGTAAGGAAGTACATCCTCATAATTACCTGCTTTGGTTCTGGCCTGCTGGGAATGCAGTTTTCAGTTGGGGTTCAGGATGTTCAAATTGGGTAAGTTGGCAGGACTCCTGTAAGCCTGAAGGGACACTTCAGTGCTAATTCCGGTCAACTCCCCAACTTACGTGAAGCCTTCCAGGGCCTCTTCCTCTTCTGCAGCTCAAGGAGGAGATCTAGGAAACCGTGCTTGCAGTGGCTGTGGTCACCGGCTGTGATTCTTGTGGTCTCCGTGGTTTCAGGTTTATTAAGGCTTCTGTCGCTAGGGCAGTAAGTAGTTGAGTTCTTGTGAGGCACCCCTCCTTGAAATGAGAACCCCCGCCCGTGATAGTCCCATAGTAATGTTGAGAGCCCGAGAGAGAAGGAACAGTCACAGAGCCTGGCCTGTCAGCTCGACTGTCTGCCCAGGGGCCAGGCGAGACGGGGCAAGGAGCTGGCTTCCAAGGCTGAGTATAACCACTTCCTTCAGCATGTTTCCCATAGACGACAAATCGGAAATACCCTAGTCAGAACGAAATCTAAATTTCCCCTTAATTCTTGAGGTCGCACTTCTGAAAGAATAGTTAGAGGAGGGTGGACAAAACAGGAGCATCTCCAGGCAGATAAAGTGGAGGTTTCAATTCAGAAAGAACAAGCCCAGCGTCTTTGCAGAGTTCGGTAAACCTTACTTTATGGTGGGAACCTTGTAACTCCTAAGCCTGGCCGGCGGCTTCTTATATCCTCTGACCATCTCTGTACCGACTGAGGCAATTTCTCTGCTGTTTCTTTTGGGGATGTGGGATCCCGTGAGACCGCACTAAGATCAGTTTCAGAATTTGTAGTCTTCCTTAAGATAGCATTTTATTTTAAATATTTATTTGGCTGCACCGGGTCTCAGTTGTGGCATGCAGAATCTTCTAGTTGATCTTTAGTTGTGGCCTGTGAGACCTAGTTCCCCGACCAGGAATCAAACACAAGTCCCCTGCATTGGGAGCCACTGGACCACCAGGGAAGTCCCAGAACCGTTTTTGAAATTAAAACACAAGTGAAGCATACTATAGACTCTCAGCCTGCTTTCTACATTGCCCCATCGCAACAAGAGAGAGAAGGGTATTGTTTTAATTTTTGCCCCTTGCTCTAAGGTAACTGAGTTTTTTTAAATTAAGTCTTGCAGAAATATGTTCTGTAGATCAAAATTATAATCTCGGTAGATTTTTTAAATGTGTACACAATATATTCCAGTTTAAAAAAGAAGTTTTTATATAAATGGGACCACCACTATATGTACTGTTTTGGCAGCTTGCATGTTTCAGTTTGAGGCAGTTTAGCATAGCAGTTAAAGGCTTAGCTCTGGGGCCAGTCTGCCTGACTTGGGATCTGGCTCCATCACCTGTTAGCTGTGTGATTTGGGGAAAGCTTTTTTTTTTTTTTAATGTTTATGTAATTATTTGGCTGTGCTGTGTCGTAGTTGTGGCACACAGAATCTTTTATTAATATTTGCAGCATGCAAACTCTTAGTTTTACCATGGAGATCTAGTTTGCTGACCAGGGATTGAACCCCAGCCCACTGCATTGGGTGCAGGGGTATCTTAGCCACTGGATCACCAGAGAAGTCCCTAGAGAAGCTTTTTAACCTTCGTGCATCTCTTTCCCATCTGTAAAAGGTAGATCATGGTCATGCCGATCTCACAGAGTAACTCATAGTTATTGTAAAAATCAGTCGAGTTAATATGCCAGAAATGCTTAGAATTGTGCCTTAGGATGTAGAAATATTCAATAAATAATGATTTAGTTATTATTTGGTTGTATAAGTAAAACATCATTGTAAAAAAAAAAGGAGGAAAAAACTAATAAAGCAAAACTCTGAGTGAAATTAAAAGTACTAATAACATGGGGAATATAGTCAATATTTTTTTTTTTAATTTTTTTTTTAGTCAATATCTTACAATAACACTAAATGTAGTAGAATCTTCAGAAATTGTGAATCACTCTATTGTACACCTGTTATTTATACTGAATATCAGCTATACTTCAATTTAAAAAAAGTATGGAGAGAAAAATAGAAGTACTAAATGTCTATACTTAGGGACAGCTTCTCTCTCTTTTTTTTTAGCTTCTCATATACTTTTAGATGCCCTCCAGCATAAGTGTGTACACACATAGAATTTTTTTAATGAAAATGGCAGTGTAGAATTTACACTATGAATAAATGTTATTTTATTTATATAAATGAATAAATCTGAATAGCCTAAATAAGTAAATATTAATAAAAATATCTAAGTCATATTAATGCTACATTTTATCCCATTTTAAGGATGTAAGGAATTCTACTGTATGTTTGTGTCACTTCTGATTTTTTTGTACTATTATAAACAATACTTAGATAAACAACCTGGTATATTGTTTTGCTCACTTGTGTAATTATTTCCTTAGGCTAAGTTACTGAAACTAGGATTTGTAGGTAAAAGGTATATATTGTTTTAAGATATTGACTGACATTTTTGTTGTGATTCACCTTGATTAACTGTTTCTTGCAAGACAACATTTTTTTCAGACCTTGCTATAGTACACAGCGTGTTATGTATGTGTGTTGTATATGTTACATGATATAAATGACACATATAGTATATGTGACATTGAGTGTTTTGGACATGTATTTTCATTTAACCTTGATACTTTCACAGTTTAGGATAATTAATAAAAGTATTTCTTTATGTGACTATTGAGTACACTCACACAAAGAAAATCTTTTTCAAAGATAGAAAGGGGTAACTGAGGAAATTAAAAACCTCCCCATTCCTGTTCCCTAATGACCCTTCTTCAGCAGCAGCCACCATTGCCCATTTCTGGAGAGTTCCGTGTATATGAACGCATATTCATATGCATTCATAATATGCATATGTATTAGATTTTGTGCTTATTTTGGCACATTTCCATGTACTATTATATACCTTAGTTTTTTTCTCTTAGCAGTATATCTTGGAAGACTTCATACCTGGTACATTTTAGGGTAGTAGTAATTTTTTTCCTCTGATTAATGTAATAGCTATTATAGAGAAACCAGCTTACACTTTGTTTATTTAATTGAGGTAGATATTGTTAGAAGCTTCTCTGGTGCCTCAGATGGTAAAGAATCCGCCTGCAATGCAGGAGATCTGGGTTCGATCTCTGGGTCAGGAAGATAGATCCCCTGGAGAAGGAAATGGCCATCCACTCCAGTATTCTTGCCTAGAGATCCATGGACAGAGGAGCTTGGTGGGCTGTAGTCCGTGGGGTTGCAAAGAGTTGGACACGACTGAGCGACTGACACTTTGACTTCATTTTCAAATATTGTAAAGTCAGGGGCTGAACAGGTGAATTACGGGTGTTGGGTGATATTTCTGCCGTCATGTAGAGGCTGCCTCAGGTCGCACCTAGCCACTATTCAGAAGAGCACACCCCAGGGTCAGGCCGTGTTACCTGAAGTAGGAAAGGCGATGAGCTCCCTGGTGTCCTTAGAGGTCGGCCCACAGGTGAAGCCCCCAGCGCCTGTTGTAGAAGGACGCAGGTGCTCCAGACGCTGGGGGAGGGCGGAGTCTCGGCTGCAGATGCGCCTCGTCTGCTCCTGTGCTCTCCGTCGTGACCTGTCCCAGGACTGTCTAGGCTCAGGGTGACTGACTGGTGGATGCCATGGAGAGGATTCCCGTCCCGGTGTGTTAGACCAGATGGTCTCTTGTGGTCCAGTCCAACTCTAAAGGCAAAAATAAGACAGTCTTAACCAGGTCAGTGGGGAAAACTGTATTTAAACGGATCTATATTCAAGTTTGTGTCCTACTTTTTAAAATCTATTATTGGGTTGGCCAAAAAGTTTGAGTTTTTCCATAAGACATTACAAAAAACCTGAACAAACTTTTTGGCCAACCCAATATATCATGTTATCGTATATTTCTCATAAGCATCATTTAAAATACATATGCTCAGGCTTCCCTGGTGGTCCAGTGGTTAAGAATCTGCCTGCCAAGGCAGGGGACGTGTGTTTGATCTGCTGAACCTGAAGCTCTGATACTTTGGCCACCTTATGCAAAGAGCTGACTCACTGGAAAAGACCCTGATGCTGGAGCTGATTCATTGGAAAAGACCCTGATGCTGGAAAGATTGAAGGCAGGAGGAGAAGGGGACGACAGAGGACGTGAGGGTTGCATGGTATCACCAATTCCACGGACATGAGTTTGAGCAAGCTCCGGGAGATGGCGAAGGACAGGGAAGCCTGGCATGGGTCGCAGAGTCAGACGCGACCGGACGGCTGAGCAGCAGCTGGGAAGATCCCGAATGGCCTGCGGCTGTAGCAGCCAGTGCTCCAGAGCCCATGAGGTGCAGCCCCTGAAGTCCCGGTGCCTCCAGACTGTGCCCGGCAACGGGAGAAGCTGCCACGGCGAGAGGCCCGGGCCCCGCAGCCAGGAGCGGCCCGAACGCGCCGCAGCCCGAGAAGCCTGTGCCCAGCAGCCGGGAGCCAGCGCGGCCGAGAGCAAAGTGGACCAGCAGGCGCCTAGAAAATGAAGCGGACACGCTGGCTGCGCGCTTCCATCAGGCGGGCTTATATCGTAACAAGCAGGCGTCTAGAGAATGAAGCGGACACGCTGGCTGCGCACTTCCATCAGGCGGGCTTATATCGTAACAAGCAGGCGTCTAGAGAATGAAGCAGACACGCTGGCTGCGCGCTTCCATCAGGCGGGCTTATATCGTAAATAAATAAGTAGGTGTCTAAAGTAGGTGTCTAAAAAAATAAAGCAGACACGCTGGATGCGCGCTTCCATCAGGCGGGCTTATATCGTAAATAAATAAGTAGGTGTCTAAACTAGGCGTCTAAAAAAATGAAGCAGATACGCTGGCTGCGCGCTTCCATCAGGCGGGCTTATATCGTAACAAGTAGGTGTCTAAAAAAATGAAGCAGACACGCTGGATGCGCGCTTCCATCAGGTGGGCTTATATCGTAAATAAATAAGTAGGTGTTTAAACTAGGCGTCTAAAAAAATGAAGCAGACACGCTGGCTGCGCGCTTCCATCAGGCGGGCTTATATCGTAACAAGTAGGCGTCTAGAAAATGAGGCAGACACGCTGGATGCGCGCTTCCATCAGGCGGGCTTATATCATAAATAAATAAGTAGGTGTCTAAACTAGGCGTCTAAAAAAATGAAGCAGATACGCTGGATGCGCGCTTCCATCAGGTGGGCTTATATCGTAACAAGTAGGTGTCTAAAAAAATGAAGCAGACACGCTGGCTGCGCGCTTCCATCAGGTGGGCTTATATCGTAACAAGTAGGTGTCTAAAAAAATAAAGCAGACACGCTGGATGCGCGCTTCCATCAGGTGGGCTTATATCGTAATTACGCATAATTACACATAATTAAGTGTAGCTGTATTTACTGTTCATTTAAATGACTGTGATTATCTGATTTTTAAAAGTTCGTTAGTGTGATTTTTGAGAACTTGTCTGGACCTCTTTCAGTCCCATTCTTCTTTCCTGCTTTTTTTTAAGGCTTAATTTTTTAAAAGAAGATTTTATTTATTTTGGCTGCGCTTGGTCTTCGTTGCTGACTCAGGCTTTCTCTGATCGCCGAGAGGGAAGACAACCGTTGACCGCGTCGCAGGACCTCTGAGTGCAGTGGCTTCTCTTGTCTCAGGACACAGGCCCTGGGGCAGCTGGGCTTTCGGAGTTTCAGGGCACTGGCTTAGTTGCCTCAGGCATGTGGGAGCTTCGCACGGGGATCAGGCCCGTGTCCCCTGCGTTATCAGGCAGATTCCTAACCGCTGGGCCGCCAGGGAAGTCTGTCTGCTTTCCTGCTTTCAAGGTGTGCGCCTTCCAATTTAACATGCTTCCTGGTCTCCATCCTACCTCCCCTCTGACCGGATCCTCACCTTTACTTTTCCGCCTTCACTGGAGCTCTCCTCCTAGCACATGCACACCCCCGGCCCCCTCAGCCTAAGGGGCAGACCCTGCCGCCCCTGCCCAGCCTCATGGGCTCTCCTCGCGGGCTCCCTGCCTCTCTTCCTTGGAGATCCAGCGTTTGACGGTTTTCTTCAGGCCCCGTCTCTGTCTCACCCCTTCACCGTGGGCCCTGCAGCCTGGCTCCCACTCTCAGCGCTGCGCCGGCCACAGGGCCACCCAGCGCCCTGAAGCCCCCTCTGCCGCGGGCGTCCACCGTCCCATGTCTTGGCAGTTTCTGCTCTTTTTAGTCTAACTTGTGTTCACAGTTTTTGACCCTTCTTTTCCCTCTAAACATTCCACTTCCTCAACTTGTGTGTGTGTGGTAAAAACACGTAACACAAAATTCCCATCTTAACCATTTTTGAGCATACAGTTCAATAATGTTAAGTATATTCACATTGTTGTGAAACAGACCTCTGGAACATTCTCATCTTGCAAAACGGAAACTCTACTCATGAAACAAGAATTCCTCTTTCCTTCCTCCTCGCCACACCCCCACCTCCCTTAACTTCTGTGACTCTCTTCTCTCTAGGATTTTCTCTTATCTGGGGCCAATCTTTTCAGTCTGTCTCTCTTTTTTGTTTTCAGGCTCTTTCCCTGCCCCCCTTTTAAGTGTCATTATTAAAGTATTTTCACACACTGTTGGTGTTGTAAATTGAAAGGGCCTTTCCAGAGTATGGTAGGGAAGTGTCTAGAAAACAAATAGCAAGCCCACCATTCAGCCCAGCAATTCCAGCTCTCGATATCTGTCCTAGGAGAGAGATTTGTTCTCATGCTCCAAAAAAATCATGTTACAGGGGTGTTGATTGCAACATGATTTGTTTCAGGGGAAAAATTGGCACTCAGGCAAACTTCAGTCCTGAAGGGAATGGCAAAACACATTGTAATCGAGGCTTGGACTGGTGGCTTGAAAATCCTTAGCCACTAGAATATAAACTACACAGGAGCAGGGCTTCCTCATACGTGGTCCTCTGGAACTTCTCCTGCGGCCCAGTGGTTAAGACTCTAAGCTTCCACTGCAGGGGGCACGGGTTGATCCCTGGTTGGCGAAATTAAGATTCTGCATGCGTACAGTGTGGGCAAAAAAAAATACCTATGTTTATAGCAAAGGAGGACAAGGCGACTGAAAGAAGGAATCACCAAGCAGTGGATGGGGAGAGGAAGGTGGGAAGGGTGGCTTTATTCTTTCATTGTTTTTTTTTTATTGGCTTTATTCTTTTAAAATGAGCATAAAGTCATACATACTACTTGTGAAAAAAGGAAAAATAAAAAATAAAGCAAAGAATCAGTGCTCCCTAGTGTTCTATAGACTTCAGAACCATCCTCATTGTGTTTTCATTCTGTGTACTTTCCCCTGTGGCCTTTCAAAACCCACCAGCTATTCCCTTCAGGATTTCTGCTTGGAATCTGAAACTCTACATGTCCAAGTCTAGGATCGTTACTTTTTATCCCATCCTGATCTTTTTCAGTTTCTTATTTTGGTAAATAAGAATTCACCACTAATTATCCAAGGCGGAAACGAAAGAGTAATCTTTTTATTACTTCCTGAACTAATATAAATTCCCTCTTTTAAAATTTTTGTTTATGCATTAAAAAATTTTTTTTTGGTTATTTTATTATTGTTATTTTTGGCCACACCATGCAGTTTGCAGGATCCTAGTTCTCCGAAGTGGAAGCGTGGGAGTCCCAGCAACCACTGGCCTGCTTGATTCCTGATTCCTTCTCTTAAATGCCTTGGTTTGAACCTTTATACTTTTTTTAATCTTAATTTTTACAATAAACTCCTACAAAGATCTTACTTTCTCTAATATTCCCTATCCCATATGTTTTTTGCACAGCTGCCAGAATCTGCCAGTCTGAAATAGAAAGCTGATCATGCCAGTTTCTTAAAGATCCTTCAGGTGCACACACACTTAAAGAATCTCCCCCACAACATTCTTAGTGATTACACAACTCTTAGAGTAGAGAAACCTTGACAGATAGCAGTTAACCAAAGGGTCAAAGCTGGTACCACCAGGAACAGTACAGATCAACATTATGTGCTCCTGATACGATGCATTGAGAACACAATGCTACTTCATGGTATTTTTGCCTAAAATGAAACCTGAATTTACTTATTTATTTTAAATATTTATCTATTTATTTGGCTGTGCCAAGTCTTACCTGCAGTATGCAGAATCTTTAGTTGTGGCATTCAGATTCTTAGTTGCTGCATTTGGGATCTAGTTCCCTGATCAGGGATCAAACCTGGGCCCCCTGCATTGGGAGCTTGGAATCTTAGCCACTGGACTGCCAAGGAAGTCCCCAAAGCTGAATTTAATCCTGAGGAAACATCAGACAAATGAGAGACATCCTCATATCACTGGCGTGCATTCTCGTTTGTTGTTGGCCGTGCTGGGCGTTCGCTAGCTGCACTGATGGGGGCTGCTCTCCAGCTGCGGCGCGTGGGCTTCCTCCTTGTGGCGGCTTCTCTATGGTTCTCTATGGAGCATTAGGCGCCTGGCATATGGGCTTCAGGAGTTGCAGCATGCAGGCTCAGGAGTCGAGGTGTATGGGCCTAGTTGCTCTGTGGCATGTGGGATCTTTCTGGACCAGGGATCGGACCCGTGTCCCCTGCATTGGCAGATGGGTTCTTATCCACTGTACCACCAGGGAAGTCCAGTGTGTCTTCTTAAAAAAATGTCAAATTTATAAAAAAACAAAAAGGATTTTAGTAGCTTTTCCAGTCATAGGATTAAAGAAGTTTGACAACTCAGTGCATAATGTAATTCAACATAATCTTGAATGTTCTTTTGCTCAAGGAGATTATTGGGACAACTGACAAAACTGGAAAAATGGTTTGTAAATATAGTATTACATCAATGTTAATTTCCTGATTTTTATAATTTTACTATCAATATAGAAAATGTTCTTTTTAGGAAATACAGTACACAGTATTTATTTAGGGCTAAAAGCATCAAGTCTACAGTTTACTCTTAAAAGTTCAAAAAATTTTGATCTATCTATATATAGCAGTTATAAATGTGGCTAAATATAAACATTTAAGAAGTCTGGATGAAGGACATATTGGATCTTTGGAAGTCTGAAATTGTCAAAATAAAAAAACCTGTAAATTTATGTCAACAAAAATCCTTCAGGCACTCCCATAACTTCCAGGTTTATTCTAACCCTACTATAGTATCCTAGGGTCTTCATTACTCTTAATTTAAACCATCCCTCTTCAAGCTTCTAATGCTATATGCTGTCTCTTTGCTGTTGTTTGAGCCAGGATTCTTTTGGTTGGAAGATACAGAAGCCCAAATCAAAGTAACTTAAATAAAAAGAGGCCACACAGGGTGTCTCACAAACCAGTCAGGAAGGCAGCTGGATCTCGGGAACACTCCTGCACTCTGGTCTCAGGACTTTGCTGCTGTCATCCAGGCCTTTCTCACTGTGTCCATCTGTCTTTTCTCTCCCTCTGTAAACCGTCTTCCTCAGTGAACATGGCACGCAGAGAAAGAGCAACTCTTCTTGCTTGCTGTCAAGTTCAGATTCTCAGAGGTACGATCTGTTGGCCCTGATTGGGTTGCGTGCTCACCCTTGGCCCAGTCAGCTGCCGCCTAGGGTAAGGTCTCTGTCCGAGTGGGGCAGCTCCTCTGGGAGCCATGAGGATGAGAGAGAGGGAGTAGAATTCCTGGAGCGAACAACGCCGTGGTGTGCACTGCGGCGGTCAGTGAGGAGGGGCCACAAAACAGGGACCCTCGACTGCTCTCTCTCAGCTCTCTCACCGCCATCCTTGTTGTTCGGTGAGTCGCAACAAGGAGAATCACAGGGGACCTTTGTTCTGGGCTTCACATTTCAGTTTGTGATGTCTTTAATATCACCCTTCATGTACTCACTCTGATCCATTGCTGGTGATAGATTATTCAAAAGAATGTTGACATAGGAACAGAAGGTCAGAGGTCTGAGGTGAGACAAATATATGGATATTCCCACTTCTTTTTTAACTTTTAATTTATATTAGAGTACAGTTGATTAATGATGTGATAGTTTCAGCAAAGGTACTCAGTCACATGTATACATGTATCTGTTCTCCCCAAAACTCCGCTCCCACCGAGGCTGCCGTAGAACGCCGAGCAAAGTTTCCTGTGCTGCGCAGTAGGTCCTTGTTGGTCGTCCTTCTTAAACACAGCAGCGTGCGCACGTGCATTCCCAGCTCCCTAGCTTTCCCTTCCTCCCACCCTCCCCCGACAAGCATAAGTTCAGTCGCTAAGTCTGTGAGTGTATTTCTGTTTTGTAAATAAGCTCCTGTGTATCATTTCCTTTTAGACCTCACATACAGGAATGGCACGCGACACCTCTCCCCCTCTGCCTTCATTCAGTGGGGCAGTCTCTGGTTCCTCGTGTTGCTGCAGATGGCTTTGTTTTCCCTTCTTAGGGCTGAGTGATGTTCCACTGAATCTACGTGTCGCAGCTTCTTTATCCACTCCTCTGCCAGTGGGTATTTAGGTCCCTTCCATGGGTTGGCTGTTGTAGACAGTGCTGCAATGAACTTTGAGGTGCGTGTATCCTTTCAGACCATGTTTTTCTCTGGGTATATGCCCAGGAGTGGGATTGCAGGGTCATACAGTAGCTCTGTTTTTAGTAGAATTTTTTTAATACTCTTCTTTAAAAAGTTTATTCATTTATTTATTTCTGGCTGTGCTGGGTCTTTGCTGCTGTGAGAGCTTTTCTCTCGTTGCCTCGAGCAGGGGCCACTCTCTCGTGAGACGCTCAGGCTTCTCGCGGCAGCTGTTTCTCTCGTTGCAGAGCATGGGCTCTAGGAGCACAGGCCTCGTGGTTTTGGCGTGCGGCTCAGCAGTCTCAGCGCACAGGCTTTCGGGCACAGGCTCAGTAGTGGAGGCACGTGGGCTTACTTGTTCTCAGGCATGTGGGCTCTTCCTGGATCAGGAAGATCCATGTCTTCATGTCTCCCACTCAGGCGAGGCAGGTGTATTCTTTACCACTGAGCCACCAGGGAAGCCCTATTTTTAGTTGTTGTTTTTTTTTTAGTCTTTTAAGGAGCCTTTATATACTGTTCTCCACAGTGGCTGTACCAATTTACATTCCCACCAACAGTGTGGGAGGGTTCCCTTCTCTCCATGGATATCCCCATCTTAGAGGAAGATAGCCAGACCAAGGTAGTTCAGAGTGACAATTTCAGAGGCATCGTTAGTAAGCCCAAGGCCCTGAACGTAGATCCTAGAAGTGGAGGAACAGGAATGCAGAGAAATGGTGGTGATGGAGGTCAGTGTAGCTGTAGTGGTGTCATGGGGTATTGTTCCTGCGTAAAAAGGGTGAAGAAAGCCGAGTGGTTTCAAAGTGAGCCTTGTGATTTCTTATCTCCATTAGCCTAGCATGTTAGTTAGGATCTTGTCTGTTTAAAGTTACAGAAACCCAGCTCAAACCAGCCTAAACATAATAGGGAATTTACTGACTCATGTAACTTATGTTCAGAAAGTGATTGTGGCTTCAGACGTGGCTGAATCTAGGCCCTCAAATGATCCCATCTAAATTTTGTTTCTCAGCTCTGCTTTCTTTATTGTGGCGTCATTTCTTAAGTTTTGGCTGAGCTTTGTGGCATGTGGGATTTTAGTTTCCCAGCCAGGGATTGAACCTGTGCCCCCTGCAGTGGGAGAGCCCTGACCACTGGACCACCAGGAATTCCCATTATGGTGTCATTCCATCAGTGGGCTCTCCTCATGAATGGCAGAGCTGGCCACTGACCACTGTGAGTTGTGCATCCTACCAGCTATACAAACTCCTTGAGAGTCCCAGGCATCTCTCTTATTGTCCTGGGTTGGGTCACATGTCCATTAGGAACCAGGATGTGATTCCTAAAGAAAAACTGTGATGCTGTTTACAGAAAATGGGATGGTAGATAGGCAGAAATGCATGTCCAGTATACACTGTTCGCTGGGAAGCTCCTAGTTAAAGCAGCATTTAGTCACACCAATATTTTATGTTTTGTTAAGAACTGTAGCTTGGTGTTAAATTGGATGTAACTTGTGAGTTCCTACTCTTAAGGAATTTTTAATCAAGTAGTAGAAATTAGATGTGTACATAAATAGGGAATTAAACTGCTGCACAATTGCACTCATCTCACACACTAGCAAAGTAATGCTCAAAATTTTCCAAGCCAGGCTTCAACAGTACGTGAACCGTGAACTTCCAGATGTTCAGGCTGGATTTAGAAAAGGCAGAGGAACCAGAGATCAAATTGCCAACATCCGTTGGATCATAGAAAAAGCAAGAGTTCCAGAAAAACATCTACTTCTGCTTTATTGACTATGCCAAAGCCTTTGACTGTGTGGATCACAGCAAACTGTGGAAAATTCTTAAAGAGATGGGAATACCAGACCACCTGATCTGCCTCCTAAGAAATCTGTATGCAGGTCAACAAGCAACAGTTAGAATTGGACATGGAACAAAATACTGGTTCCAAATCTGGAAAGGAGTACATCAAAGCTGTATATTGTCACCCTGCTTATTTAGCTTTTATGCAGAGCACGTCATGAGAAATGCTGGACTGGATGAAGCACAAACTGGAATCAAGATTGCCAGGAGAAATATCAATAACCTCAGATATGCAGATGACACCACCCTTATGGCAGAAAGGGAAGAAAAACTAAAGAGCCTCTTGATGAAAGTGAAAGAGGAGAGTGAAAATTTGGCTTAAAACTCAACATTCAGAAAACTAAGATCATGGCATCTGGTCCCATCACTTCATGGCAAATAGATGGGTAAACAGTGGAAACAGTGTCAGACTTTATTTTTTGGGGCTCCAAAATCACTGCAGATGGTGACTGCAGCCATGAAATTAAAAGACGCTTGCTCCTTGGAAGGAAAGTTATGGCCAACCTAGATAGCATATTAAAAAGCAGAGACATTACTTTGCCAACAAAGGTCCATCTAGTCAAGGCTATGGTTTTTCCACTGGTCATGTATGGATGTGAGAGTTGGACTGTGAAGAAAGCTGAGCGCCAAAAAGTTGATGCTTTTGAACTGTGGTGTTGGAGAAGACTCTTGAGAGTCCCTTGAACTGCAGGGAGATCCAACCAGTCCATCCTAAAGGAGCTCAGTCCTGGTTGTTCATTGGAAGGACTGATGCTGAAGCTCAAATTCCAATACTTTGGCCACATGATGTGAAGAGCTGACTCATTTGAAAAGACCCTGATGCTGGGAAAGATTGAAGGTGGGAAGAGACGGGGATATAGAGGATGAGATGACTGGATGGCATCACCAACTCGATGGACATGGGTGTGGGTAAACTGTGGGAGTTGGTGATGGACAGGGAGGCCTGGCGTGCTGCAGTCCATGGTGTCGGAAAGAGTCAGACACGACTGAGCGACTGAACTGAACTGAACTCCCTCGCTGTCCAGTGGTCAGGGCCCCTGGTGAGGAACTAAGATGCCGTGCAGCACAGTCAAATAAAGAAAGCCGTGCACATGAATGATGGTTACTCTGTACTTAGTGCCTGGTGTGTGCCAGCGAACACCATGCTGAATGTTTTTCATGTGTTGTTTCTTACTTCCACCCACTTCATCTATTTAAAAAGCCATTTAGGTTTAGGAAGTGTACATGGCCTGCCCAAGGTCACACAGCTAATGAGTAGTAGAACTACGGATGTAAATCCAGTCAGTCTTAAGTCAATCCACTGCTGTACTTTAGTTTGTACGTGACCTAAGCAAGGCCTGTCTGCGTCCATTCCATTCCCTACCCTTTTATTTTCTATTTTTATTTGTTTGTTTGTTTACTTACCTTTGAGCCACGCAGCTTCAGAGATCTTGGTTCCACGACCTGGGATCAGACCCAGGCCACCACAGTGAAAACGCCAAGTCCTCCCACTGGACTGCCAGGGAAATCCCCCATCCCCCCCCTTGTAAATTGAACAGCATAATTCCCAATTTCTGAGAACTTTGTGATTCACATAGCTCATCTTTCTCAGGACATCACGGTTTGATGACTGGTCTGTAGATTGTCCACGCTTGTATCAGGTACCCATCCTTGCTCCAAGTAGCCCACTGGCTGGATGTCCACGGGGGAGTTTCAGTTACTGTTCGGTGGCGTCTTATCTGGGGCTTCCCTGCTGGCTCCGTGGTAAAGAGTCTGCCTGTAATGCAGGAGACGCAGTCTTGATCTCTGGGTCAGGATGATCCCCTAGGAGGAAATGGCAACCCACTCCAGTATTGTTGCCAGGGAAAAAGAATGCCATGAAGAGAGGAGCCTCATGGGCTACAGTCCGTGACCCAGCGACTGAGCATGCACACAGTCTTATCTGGGTTCGATCTTCAGGAGCCCAGGGAAGGCGTGTGGCGGCCGCTGCTCTGTGAGTGCTCACTTTCTCTTGAACTTCCCTGCCATCACCATCGCCTGAATTCACACTCTCACCTTCCTCTCTTGCCTAGATGTTCTTCCTGTCTCTAATCTCAGCCCTGATTACAGAGTGATTCCAAAAGAGAACTTTTATCATCATTCCTTTTAAAGTCTTTCAGTGGTTCCCTGTGGCCTTCAGGGTGAAGTCCAAATTCCTCATGTAAGACTTCCCATGGCCTGGCCCTTGCTTGCCTTTCCAGCCTTGTATTTTGACACTCCCTCTCTTGCAGCCTTCAGATCAGCCTTTTTCTGAATCACTTATGGTTCCCCGAACTCATCATATATCTCCTCTTACTTCTGGGCCTTTAAATACACTATCTCATATGCCCAAAACCCTAATGTCCCACCCTGCTCAGGCTCCCCCACTCCCTCCCCAACCCCGACGCCTGCAACCTAGCTAACTACTTGTTTGTCCTGCTAGCGTCCTGGAAAACTCAGCCTCCCCTCCTTTCAGCCTGGGTTAGGTATCCAAATTTCTTGCCATCATAATGCCCTGTGCTTACCCTGAGAGCATTTATCATGTCATATTTTAAGTGTATGTTTATATAAAATCCTTTAATTCTCCCATTAGAATTAAATTTCTTGAGTCAGCTTCCCCTGCTGCGCCACAAATGACTGGCATGTAGTAAGCTCTCAATAAATATTTATTGGACAAATGAGTGGGTCTTGACAATGAGATGAAGTTGGCACATGTCTGTATTCTTCTGAACCGGCCTCTTTTCCCTCTGTTGTTCCTTCCAGGACCTGGGTTTCAGTGATGAGACATGGGGTATGATGTAACCCGTTTCCAGGGGGATGTTGACGAAGACCTTATCTGTCCTATTTGCAGTGGAGTCTTGGAGGAGCCAGTTCAGGTGAGTTGGATTGACGACAGGTTTGGTGAGGCAACAGGAAACACTCATGGGAACTGGGGCCAACGGGGAAGCCCCTGCTCAGGCCCCCGCTCCCCACGCTCCTGGCCCACGCTGACTGCAGGCTGGGGGCACGGCAGCCGCGCGGCGACACCAGGAGTGGGGCCGTCCGGGGCCGTCTGGGGCTGACGCCGCGGAAGTGCAGCCGGTTCAGGTTTTCTTCGGAGGCGAGCTTTTCGTGCCGCCAGGTGCTCAGCTGTTGCTCCTGTCCTCTTGACGACAGCTTGGCAGCAGCTTTTTCTCTTCAGGGGCTCTAACTAGGCTCCGTCTTCCTTTCCACGACGGAACTTCTGGATTCTCTTAGTAAGTTCTCTCTGCATTTTCATGATGCAGTGTTTCAGGTTATCAGCCTGCTGCTGCTGCTAAGTCGCCTCAGTCGTATCCGACTGTTAGCGACCCCACAGACTGCAGCCCACTAGGCTCCCCCGTCCCTGGGATTCTCCAGGCAAGAGTACTGGAGTGGGGTGCCATTGCCTTCTCCTATCAGCCTGAGGGCCTGCCTACTGTTTAACAGATAGGAAGTGGGGAACTGTATGAACTGACCTAGTTTCTTCCTGGGATTTATTGGGGAAAAAGTTTTTTTTGGTTTTTTTTTGCGGGGGGGGAGTTTTTAATGCAGCCATGTACTCTGCATTGTGATGTGAAAGCTGCAACCTTCACTAGGTCATTTCTTTACCAGCTTTGAGAGACCAAAGATAATTGTGTCTTCCTGGGGCAAGTGTGAGAAGCTCGTGATTGATTACCAGGCAAGTATAGTGAACGAGGTGAATTCTCAACAGTTGTGTTCATGGGACGTCATTCTGCATGGTCCTTATTGCCTATACTCTGCAAATACCAATTAATCCTCTGCCAATCCTCTGGCCAGGTGGAGACAATTCCATGTTCCAAACCCAGACACCAGTCACTGAGGGCTGGTGGCCCTTCCCCCACTCACCGCTTCTGCCACTCCCTGAGGCTCCCTGATCCTCGGAGTTTATTCTTCCTCTCCAGTGGTCAGCTACCCAAAGGAACACAGATGACTGAGCTGCATGAGACTCAGAATGCGTCCCAGGGGCTGCTGGCCCTGGCCCTAGTGCCTGCCTTTGCAGCCTGCTGCCAGCTGGCACTCGGGGTGAGGAACTCACCTGCCAGGGCAGGAGACGTAAGAGGTGCAGGTTCGACCCCTGGGCCAGGAAGATCCCCTGGAGAGGGAAATGGTACCCCACCCAGTGTTCTTGTCCTGGGGAGCCCCGTGGACACGGAGGAGCCTGGTGGGCTGCAGCCCGTAGGCTTGCAAAGACTCAGACATGACTGGAGGGACTCCGCTCGCACGCACGCCATCAGGAGCGGGTTGGCTGGGTGTGGAGCAGCCTCTCCTGCTGATGTCAAGAGGTCGTGGGGTGTGTCAGCTCCCTCTCCACCCTGGCAGGGCCCTGTCTGTTTTCTGGCACCGTCATTTGAGGTGAGTCACATGTGGAGAAATCAGTGGCAGTTAGTGACTATCTGAGGCAGAACGTCCTTCCCCACCCACTCAGGCTTTACCTTCTGAGGAGCAAGCCTGGTTAATAGACGCATTTCCAAGGACAGAAAGCTTCTGCTAGGGATGCTGATTTCAAGAGACAGGAATGAGCAGGGTGGGACGAGGAACAGCGAGAAAGCCAGACAGGCCTGAGGTCCATGCTGGGAGCATGGTGTGAGGAGAGGCACGGGGCCAGATCAAACAGAACTTTTAAGTCCTGGGCAGGAGTTGGGACTCATTTTAGGTGTGATGGAAACCACTGTAAAATTTTAAGCAGGTAGGAATATGATTCAGTTTGTATTTCTAAACAATCACTCCAGGTGTTGAATGTAGGATGGATTATAAAGGGGCAACGTAGAAGTAGGAAGACCAGTTAGAAGACGTGATAATTTAGATGAGAGGTGATCGCTTGAACTGGGTTAGTGGTAGTACAGATGGAGAAAAGTGGACACACTTAGGATTTTTTTGGAGATAGGGTCTAAGATTTTGAAAAGGATCAAAATGTGTCTTTCAGTGAAAAATGAAGATGCGCTGACAGTTGGATCAATGATATCGATAATGACTTCTTAGGAAGCCTTTGTATGTTACCATCTGTGAGCATTTTGAAGGCAGAAACTGCCTTACCTTTTTTAACTTAACCAGGTAGCAAAATGTTTGGCTCATAAAAAGCACTTGAGTCATTCATCCATTCATCAACATCTAGTAAGTGCCCGCTCTGTCTGTCCCATGATGGAGGCCAGAGAATCCTCTCACTTTGCATTATCAAGGAAGTAGGCTGAAATATAATCTTTATGAAACTGAAGAGAATGTGATTCTACAAAAATCTAGAGCTGCTTTGGAGTGTAGGCACTGTTCCTTGGGACTCAGGGCAACACCTCAGGTTGGGCCTCATAAGAACTTGGGGGAGCTCCCTGGTGGTCCAGTGGTTAAGGATTCGGCACTTTGACTGTTGTGGCCCGATTTCAATCCTTGATTGGGGAACTGAGGTCTCACAGCCAAAAAAAACTGAACTTCTGCCAATTAGTCTCTGCCCCCCTCCCCCCAACTCATCTCTCAGGATCCATATCAAATTCTTTCCTGTCTATAAATACCTGTCCTGATTGACCTAGATTGGAAAGATCTCACCCTCCTCTGGATTTCTTTGGCCAATTATTGTATATGTAATCCAGCTGGCATTTAATAATTGACCACCTTGCGTCTCTCACTCACTGTCCTGGAATGTTATTTATAGTTCTTATTGTTATATAACTTTTTACTTGTCTTATGTCACAATCCATTTGGAATCTTGAGCACAGGAAACATGTCTGAAGCCTTACCCATCGTAGATCCCACCGTTGCCTTGACCCCAGGGACCTCTGGCCCTGGGAGCTGCGCGGCAGCTTGATGGGCTCTGCAGAGTTTCTGTCCTAGGCTCTTAGCTCCAGCTAATTCTCTGTGTCCTTTTCGCCCTGTTGCCTTCCAGGCGCCTCACTGTGAGCATGCCTTTTGCAATGCCTGCATCACCCAGTGGTTCTCTCAGCAGCAGACGTGTCCGGTGGACCGGAGCGTGGTGACGGTCGCCCACCTGCGCCCTGTGCCCCGGATCATGCGGAACATGCTGTCGAAGCTGCAGATCGCCTGCGACAACGCTGTGTTCGGCTGCAGTGCTATTGTCCGGCTTGACAACCTCATGTCTCACCTCAGTGACTGTGAGCACAACCCCAAACGGCCTGTGACCTGCGAGCAGGGCTGCGGGTAAGGGTCCTGCCTTTCTTCTGCCCCCAGAGACCTGTGGGCCGCCCGCTCCCTGCTGCAGGGCTCCTGTGTGCACAGGCACGGGCGCTCCGGGCCTCCCTGGCTCCCTGCTCCAGGGTCTGTTTGAGCTGCTTTCCAAGCTGCCGTCTTGGTGCTCTCGCTTTAATAAGAGAAGGGAGCCGGCGGTTCAGCGATCTGCGTGAGACCACTTAAGACTGGTTCACTTCGCTCCTCCTCTGTCCAGGACTACTTATGTCAGCTTCACTGCTCTCATTTCCAGGCCTCTCATGTTGCCTCTGGTCCGATTTTGTCTTTCTTTGGGGTGTAAAATATTTGATTAAATACTGATAGCTGGGGCTTTGAATCTAGGGCTTCTCAGAAGGGATGAGTCCACAGGCAGAATCTGTAGGAGGAACACAGAGCCACGTGGGAGATAAAACACTCCGGAGGAGGAAGGAGGCCCAGAGGAAGAAGACAGCAAAGGGATGCGGGGTGGGGGCGCTGGGGAGAAGGAAGTGAAGGCGAAAAACGAGAGAGTGTTAGAGAGGCGTGAATGTTAGTAATTTCCGGTAGAAAAAGCCCTCTCAGCAGTTACCTGCCTGTGCCCACGTATCTCACTGAACGCTCCTGCCGTGTTCTCTTCCCGCCCTGGGTGGCAGCCTGGAGATGCCCAAAGATGAGCTGCCCAACCACAACTGCATCAAGCACCTGCGCTCAGTGGTACAGCAGCAGCAGACGCGGATCGCGGAGCTGGAGAAGACCTCCGCGGAGCACAGGCACCAGCTGGCGGAGCAGGTGGGGCCCGGGGAACACAGAGCGTGTGCCTGCGGGTGACGGGCGCGGTGTGAGCGCGGGGAACACGGAGCGCGTGCCTGCGGCTGAAGGGCGCGGTGTGAGCCGTGGGGAACACGGAGCGTGTGCCTGCGGGTGACGGGCGGGGTGTGAGCTGCGGGGAACACGGAGCGTGTGCCTGCGGGTGACGGGCGGGGTGTGAGCCGCGGGGAACACGGAGCGTGTGCCTGCGGGTGACGGGCGGGGTGTGAGCTGCGGGGAACACGGAGCGTGTGCCTGCGGGTGACGGGCGGGGTGTGAGCTGCGGGGAACACGGAGCGTGTGCCTGCGGGTGACGGGCGGGGTGTGACCCCGGGGAACACGGAGCGTGTGCCTGCGTGTGACGGGCGCGGTGTGAGCGCGGGGAACACGGAGCGTGTGCCTGCGGTGACGGGCGGGGTGTGAGCGCGGGGAACACGGAGCGCGTGCCTGCGGGTGACGGGCGCGGTGTGAGCGCAGGGAACACGGAGCGCGTGCCTGCGGCTGAAGGGCGCGGTGTGAGCCGCGGGGAACACGGAGCATGTGCCTGCGGCTGAAGGGCGCGGTGTGAGCCGCGGGGAACACGGAGCGTGTGCCTGCGGGTGACGGGCGGGGTGTGAGCGCGGGGAACACGGAGCGCGTGCCTGCGGGTGACGGGCGGGGTGTAAGCCGCAGGGAACACGGAGCGCGTGCCTGCGGGTGACGGGCGGGGTGTAAGCCGCGGGGAACACGGAGCGTGTGCCTGCGGGTGACGGGCGGGGTGTAAGCCGCGGGGAACACGGAGCGTGTGCCTGCGGGTGACGGGCGCGGTGTGAGCCCGGGGAACACGGAGCGTGTGCCTACGGGTGACGGGCGGGGTGTGAGCGCGGGGAACACGGAGCGTGTGCCTGCGGCTGAAGGGCGCGGTGTGAGCCGCGGGGAACACGGAGCGCGTGCCTGCGGGTGACGGGCGGGGTGTGAGCCGCGGGGAACACGGAGCGTGTGCCTGCGGCTGACGGGCGGGGTGTGAGCCGCGGGGAACACGGAGCGTGTGCCTACGGGTGACGGGCGGGGTGTAAGCCGCGGGGAACACGGAGCGTGTGCCTGCGGGTGACGGGCGCGGTGTGAGCCCGGGGAACACGGAGCGTGTGCCTACGGGTGACGGGCGGGGTGTGAGCGCGGGGAACACGGAGCGTGTGCCTGCGGCTGACGGGCGGGGTGTGAGCCGCGGGGAACACGGAGCGTGTGCCTGCGGCTGAAGGGCGCGGTGTGAGCCGCGGGGAACACGGAGCGCGTGCCTGCGGGTGACGGGCGCGGTGTGAGCCCGGGGAACACGGAGCGTGTGCCTGCGGGTGACGGGCGGGGTGTGAGCCGCGGGGAACACGGAGCGTGTGCCTGCGGTGACGGGCGGGGTGTGAGCGCGGGGAACACGGAGCGCGTGCCTGCGGGTGACGGGCGCGGTGTGAGCGCGGGGAACACGGAGCGTGTGCCTGCGGCTGACGGGCGCGGTGTGAGCCGCGGGGAACACGGAGCGCGTGCCTGTGGGTGACGGGCGCGGTGTGAGCGCGGGGAACACGGAGCGTGTGCCTGCGGGTGACGGGCGGGGTGTGAGCGCGGGGAACATGGAGCGCGTGCCTGCGGGTGACGGGTGCGGTGTGAGCGCGGGGAACACGGAGCGTGTGCCTGCGGTGACGGGCGGGGTGTGAGCCGCGGGGAACACGGAGCGCGTGCCTGCGGGTGACGGGCGGGGTGTGAGCGCGGGGAACACGGAGCGCGTGCCTGCGGGTGACGGGCGCGGTGTGAGCGCGGGGAACACGGAGCGCGTGCCTGCGGGTGACGGGCGCGGTGTGAGCGCGGGGAACACGGAGCGTGTGCCTGCGGGTGACGGGCGGGGTGTGAGCGCGGGGAACACGGAGCGTGTGCCTGCGGCTGACGGGCGGGGTGTGAGCGCGGGGAACACGGAGCGTGTGCCTGCGGGTGACGGGCGCGGTGTAAGCCGCGGGGAACACGGAGCGTGTGCCTGCGGGTGACGGGCGGGGTGTAAGCCGCGGGGAACACGGAGCGTGTGCCTGCGGGTGACGGGCGGGGTGTAAGCCGCGGGGAACACGGAGCGTGTGCCTGCGGGTGACGGGCGGGGTGTGAGCGCGGGGAACACGGAGCGTGTGCCTGCGGGTGACGGGCGCGGTGTAAGCCGCGGGGAACACGGAGCGTGTGCCTGCGGGTGACGGGCGGGGTGTGAGCGTGGGGAACACGGAGCGTGTGCCTGCGGGTGACGGGCGGGGTGTGAGCGTGGGGAACACGGAGCGTGTGCCTGCGGGTGACGGGTGCGGTGTGAGCGCGGGGAACACGGAGCGTGTGCCTGCGGCTGACGGGCGGGGTGTGAGCCGCGGGGAACACGGAGCGCGTGCCTGCGGGTGACGGGCGCGGTGTGAGCCCGGGGAACACGGAGCGTGTGCCTGCGGTGACGGGCGGGGTGTGAGCCCGGGGAACACGGAGCGCGTGCCTGTGGGTGACGGGCGCGGTGTGAGCGCGGGGAACACGGAGCGTGTGCCTGCGGCTGATGGGCGGGGTGTGAGCCGCGGGGAACACGGAGCGTGTGCCTGCGGGTGACGGGCGCGGTGTGAGCCGCGGGGAACACGGAGCGTGTGCCTGCCGGTGACGGGCGGGGTGTGAGCCGCGGGGAACACGGAGCGTGTGCCTGCGGGTGACGGGCGGGGTGTGAGCCGCGGGGAACACGGAGCGCGTGCCTGCGGTGACGGGCGGGGTGTGAGCGCGGGGAACACGGAGCGCGTGCCTGCGGGTGACGGGCGCGGTGTGAGCGCGGGGAACACGGAGCGTGTGCCTGCGGCTGACGGGCGCGGTGTGAGCCGCGGGGAACACGGAGCGCGTGCCTGCGGGTGACGGGCGCGGTGTGAGCCGCGGGGAACACGGAGCGCGTGCCTGCGGGTGACGGGCGCGGTGTGAGCCGCGGGGAACACGGAGCGCGTGCCTGCGGGTGACGGGCGGGGTGTGAGCCGCGGGGAACACGGAGCGTGTGCCTGCGGGTGACGGGCGGGGTGTGAGCCGCGGGGAACACGGAGCGTGTGCCTGCGGTGACGGGCGGGGTGTGAGCGCGGGGAACACGGAGCGCGTGCCTGCGGGTGACGGGCGCGGTGTGAGCGCGGGGAACACGGAGCGCGTGCCTGCGGCTGACGGGCGCGGTGTGAGCCGCGGGGAACACGGAGCGCGTGCCTGCGGGTGACGGGCGCGGTGTGAGCCGCGGGGAACACGGAGCGCGTGCCTGCGGGTGACGGGCGCGGTGTGAGCCGCGGGGAACACGGAGCGCGTGCCTGCGGCTGACGGGCGCGGTGTGAGCCGCGGGGAACACGGAGCGTGTGCCTGCGGTGACGGGCGCGGTGTAAGCCGCAGGGAACACGGAGCGCGTGCCTGCGGGTGACGGGCGGGGTGTGAGCACGGGGAACACGGAGCGTGTGCCTGCGTGTGACGGGCGGGGTGTGAGCCGTGGGGAACACGGAGCGCGTGCCTGCGGGTGACGGGCGCGGTGTGAGCGCGGGGAACACGGAGCGTGTGCCTGCGGGTTATGGGCGCGGTGTGAGCGCGGGGAACACGGAGCGTGTGCCTGCGGCTGACGGGCGGGGTGTGAGCCGCGGGGAACACGGAGTGTGTTCCTGCGGGTGACGGGCGGGGTGTGAGCGCGGGGAACACGGAGCGCGTGCCTGCGGGTGACGGGTGCGGTGTGAGCGCGGGGAACACGGAGCGCGTGCCTGCGGCTGACGGGCGGGGTGTGAGCCGCGGGGAACACGGAGCGCGTGCCTGCGGGTGACGGGCGGGGTGTGAGCGCGGGGAACACGGAGCGCGTGCCTGCGGGTGACGGGCGCGGTGTGAGCGCGGGGAACACGGAGCGCGTGCCTGCGGGTGACGGGCGCGGTGTGAGCGCGGGGAACACGGAGCGCGTGCCTGCGGGTGACGGGCGGGGTGTGAGCGCGGGGAACACGGAGCGCGTGCCTGCGGGTGACGGGCGCGGTGTGAGCGCGGGGAACACGGAGCGCGTGCCTGTGGGTGACGGGCGGGGTGTGAGCGCGGGGAACACGGAGCGTGTGCCTGCGGCTGACGGGCGGGGTGTGAGCCGCGGGGAACACGGAGCACGTGCCTGCGGGTGACGGGCGCGGTGTGAGCGCGGGGAACACGGAGCACGTGCCTGCGGGTGACGGGCGCGGTGTGAGCGCGGGGAACACGGAGCGTGTGCCTGCGGCTGACGGGCGGGGTGTGAGCGCGGGGAACACGGAGCGTGTGCCTGCGGCTGACGGGCGGGGTGTGAGCCGCGGGGAACACGGAGCGTGTGCCTGCGGGTGACGGGCGGGGTGTGAGCGCGGGGAACACGGAGCGCGTGCCTGCGGGTGACGGGCGCGGTGTGAGCGCGGGGAACACGGAGCGCGTGCCTGCGGGTGACGGGCGCGGTGTGAGCCGCGGGGAACACGGAGCGTGTGCCTGCGGTGACGGGCGGGGTGTAAGCCGCGGGGAACACGGAGCGCGTGCCTGCGGGTGACGGGCGCGGTGTTAGCCGCGGGGAACACGGAGCGCGTGCCTGCGGGTGACGGGCGGGGTGTGAGCGCGGGGAACACGGAGCGTGTGCCTGCGGTGACGGGCGCGGTGTGAGCCGCGGGGAACACGGAGCGCGTGCCTGCGGGTGACGGGCGCGGTGTGAGCCGCGGGGAACACGGAGCGCGTGCCTGCGGGTGACGGACGGGGTGTGAGCACGGGGAACACGGAGCGTGTGCCTGCGTGTGACGGGCGGGGTGTGAGCCGTGGGGAACACGGAGCGCGTGCCTGCGGGTGACGGGCGCGGTGTAAGCCGCGGGGAACACGGAGCGTGTGCCTGCGGGTGACGGGCGGGGTGTGAGCGCGGGGAACACGGAGCGTGTGCCTGCGGTGACGGGCGGGGTGTAAGCCGCGGGGAACACGGAGCGCGTGCCTGCGGGTGATGGCGCGGTGTAAGCCGCGGGGAACACGGAGCGCGTGCCTGCGGGTGACGGGCGGGGTGTGAGCGCGGGGAACACGGAGCGTGTGCCTGCGGTGACGGGCGCGGTGTGAGCCGCGGGGAACACGGAGCGTGTGCCTGCGGGTGACGGGCGCGGTGTAAGCCGCGGGGAACACGGAGCGCGTGCCTGCGGGTGACGGGCGCGGTGTAAGCCGCAGGGAACACGGAGCGTGTGCCTGCGGTGACGGGCGCGGTGTAAGCCGCGGGGAACACGGAGCGCGTGCCTGCGGTGACGGGCGGGGTGTGAGCCGCGGGGAACACGGAGCGCGTGCCTGCGGGTGACGGGCGGGGTGTGAGCCGCGGGCCTGGGTGCCTGGTCAGCGGGCCCCTTACCCGTGCACAGCAGCGAATCAGACGGGAGCTCTCCTTGTTTCTCACTATCCCATCAGTGACATTCATTTATTCACTGTTTATCAAATGCCTTCCGTTGAAGACACTTCGCTAAGCCCTGGGGGTACAGCTGGGATTAATGCAGTCTAGCACTGTCTTCATGAAGCTTCCAGTCTGGTTGTGCTTCAGACCTCTGGATTTCCTTCAACTTGTCTTTCATGTATTGTCTGTCTTAACCGTTTTCCCTTGTTCTCCTTCCCTCCAACAGAAGCGAGACATTCAGCTGCTCAAGGCATACATGCGTGCAATTCGCAGTGTCAATCCCAACCTTCAGAACCTGGAAGAGACCATTGAGTACAATGAGATTCTAGAGTGAGTGTCCTTCGGGATGTGGAGTCACGCGTTCCAGGTCCTGGCAGGGAGCCCGGACGGGAGGAGTGCGGGGGCGCGGCAGAGGGGGAGGAGAGGGCTTCGCTGGGGCCACTGCTCCTCAGATGCTGGGATGAAGAGCAAGAGGTGGAGGAGAGGGGATCACCTTCAGCCCCAGTAGAGGAGCTAATTTTTTTGGGGGGTGGATGGAAGGGAAAGCTTACCCAAGAGTTAGGTGGGGACCCACATGCACAAAACCCTGTGTTAAAAGAGAAAATATTGTCCCTGTCTTCAGGGAGTTTACAGTTCAGAGAAGAGTGCAAAAATCCAGGAAAGTAATCTAAAATGTGGCAAAAACAAGTGAAGTTAAACAAGTGAAGTCTAAGATCCCGTTCAGTTCTGGAGTTCTGCATAGTTCATAGACTAAACTGTGAGTCAGCCCATACAGTGCCGCACGGCACACAGAACAGACGAATGATCGCTTCATTCGGGATTCACTTTTGTTGAATACTTACTACCTGCCAGGCACCATGTGCTAGGTATTGGAATTTTCAGGAGAAACAACAGGAAGCCTACACTTGTGGGGTTTAATCTGGTGAGAAACGCGTGGTAACACTCAGATGGGACCGACTAGGGAAAGATCTGGAGTTTCTGAAGCAATGATGGAAGGGAAGGAGGAGGAATCGAGTTAGGCTGAGCGCAGAGCAGGCAGTCATTCCTATTAGGAGAAAAGCCCAGTGCAGAGCAAGGGGCTGACCCTCACTGACCGCCTCCCACTGCCCCCCACACAGGTGGGTGAACTCCCTGCAGCCTGCACGAGTGACCCGCTGGGGCGGCATGATCTCCACCCCGGACGCCGTGCTCCAGGCTGTCATCAAGCGCTCCCTGGTGGAGAGTGGTTGTCCTGCCTCTATTGTCAACGAGCTGATCGAAAACGCCCACGAGCGGAGCTGGCCGCAAGGTCTGGCCACGTTAGAGACAAGACAGATGAACCGGCGTTACTATGAGAACTACGTGGCCAAGCGTATCCCTGGCAAGCAGGCTGTTGTCGTGATGGCCTGTGAGAACCAGCACATGGGCGACGACATGGTGCAGGAGCCAGGGCTTGTCATGATCTTTGCGCATGGCGTGGAAGAGATATAGATCTTGACGGGCTCTCTGCAAGAGATGAAAACCTGAAGATCCTGTCACTACAGCAGCAGGGCCCCAAGTCCTCCCCACTTTCCTTCATACCGTGGCTTACCCTGGAGCCACACGTGTCCCAGTTCTGCCACCACTGAAGGGGCCCGCAGGGCGCTCTGCTCAGCCTTCCAGGTGGGAAACCCAGATTCCCTCCTTTTGTCTAATTTCTTTCCCCAAGATGTCTGTAAATTTTCCACCTGGTTGGGAAAGTCCCCATCTCTATTTCTGTTTTCCTGCCTAGGGTCCCTGGTTCCAGATATTTTCAGAAAGCACAAAGATACTCATTTTCGATAGAGGGTCAGGATGGAACGAGGGGTCGCTAACTGCTCCCCTCCTCCAAAACCTGGGGATCCAGATGAGACAGGTCTATTGACTCTGAACAGTGTTTAGAGGGCAGCTGTAGGGAGCAGACATCCTGAAGAAATGGCAGACTGGAACAGAAGCCTAGAAGTAAACAATGAGGCCAGCAGGCCATCGCTGGTGGCCCTAGAGGGAAGGTTGGACCTCGGTGCCAAGCAATACCCCCAGGCCACTTAAAGGTGTGGGCTCTGCCGGGCCTGCGGGCGTAGAGTGGGGGATGCCGAATATTTTCAGATGAGCTCTTCTTTCCTACACTTTCTCACGGTTAGGCAACGACAGGGTTGGGGGTGAGGGGTTAGTCTCCTGGGGTGAATGTGCTCAGCAAGAAGTGGGTTGCTGGCTTCTGCTGCAGGCGGGTGGGTGCTGCCTCTGTGGCATGGGCCATACTCGCCCCCTAGACCCCTCGCCAGCCCTGTGATTGTAACTAGTTACTTTGATAACTTTCTTTGGCCATCGTTGTTTGTTTCTGTTTCACTCTTTCCCCCCCACTTTTTTTAGAAAGGCCTGATTGTGGCTGCCCTGCGTTTCCAGCCAGCCATGTTGTTGGCAATTTAATTTATTTACCTTTTTTTTTTTTAAGAAAGGAAAAAGAAAAAAAATAACAAAACAGAAAACTTTTCTTTTGCTGTTCCTGTTGTGGGGATTTTTGGATAGGGTGGGACAGGGCTGGGGTCTTTTATATTTTTCCTTTTCAGCACAACCTGTGGCTTTAATATAGGAAGGGCCATGGGAGCCCCTGGCTGAACTGAAGCCTGCCCCAAGCCTCCATAACCCGTCTAGGATGAGGCGCTTCCTCTATTCCAGTGATGGATGTGACCGTCCAGCATCACTGACTGTGCCCTGGAGAACTGTGCTCCCAGCCTCTCCAGGGTCTCATGGATTTAATTAAACTCTGGGTTTAATTTTGAAGGAATCCTACCTGCCACCAGCCCTACCCCAACACCCAGTTTCCTTGGAGATACACAGCTGGGTTCTAAGCTTCACCAGGCAAGATGGGATGGCGGTCCCCTCACTGAGTACAGGCAGTGCTGCCTGACCCACACCCCCTGCGGCTTCAGCTGCATTTCACGCTGCCCAGGGCATTCCTTCATCCCTGGGGTGACCGCAGAGTGAGAGAAGGGGAGGGACAGTGGGTGTGATTATCTTCATATGCAGGTGAGCGAGGGGCTAGAGGAAGATGGCCATAGGGCAGCTTGGAGTCCTGTCCCAGGCCAGCCTGCTGTAGGTCTGGGTAGTTGGGCCATGGTCCCACTGAGGCTGCGGGGAGGGGAGGGACGCAGCTTGAAGGGGTGAGGGACAGTCGTGTGTCCCAGCTCCAGGGCGTTGTGCTCAGGAATTTGAAAACGCTGCTAAACTGAGTCTGGCTACTACATTTCTTCCACTCCCGTCTGCCCCTGCCTGCCTTACCAGGCCCACACCCTCCTGCCATCACCTTCAGGTGGAGCCAGGAAGCTCAGTTCAGGCTTCCCTACCCTTTGCACTAGTGTCTCCGCAGGTCGCTGGTTGTGTTGCCCATGTGCTGTTTCCTGGTGTCGACTGCACTAATAATAAATCTGTGACTCGGCTCTCTCAGCCCGTGACTCACATCGCTCCCTCCTGGAGACTGTCCTCTGCTTTGGCCTCTCTCTGCCTTGATTCCCTGACTCTTTCCTTGCTCTGTAACCGACTCTTGTCTTTGAGCTGACCTCTGTTTGAGGAGGATGTCTGTCTGGAAGGAGTGTACCCTCCTGCGCCCTTCCCTCCCATCTCCTGGTCTGTGGAGCTGAAGCACCCTTGCTAGTGTCTGAACTGTGTAATCTTCAGAGTTTGCCTTTGCTCCAAATCCATGTCTTCCCAAGGTGCTCTGGGATTTGGGGACACTTTCTGTAGACGATACGCAAGTACCTTTCCCCTTGTCCCACAAACACCTTTGCTTTGGCATCTGGGATTCCATGGCAGGCAGAGAAACCTCCACCTAACCAAAAAAAGTAAACATGAGGAAAGGAACCTGGAACAACTGTACCTGCTATGGTTCTCAAACCTGATAAACCCTTCTGTAGGCATTTGCTGCCACTTTCTCCCTATCAGGAGAAAAAAATCTTTTACCATAGTACTGTATTTTAAATTTGTTGAGCAGTTACTGTGCACCTAATATAAATCTAATAGTACTCTAGACGCTTTAGAGGGGCAAAAAAAAAAGCATAAGAACAACCCTGTGCCCACTGAATCTGCTACACTTTCATGTACACAAGATCTGAGTAGGAGATGCTGATGGGCACATCACGGTATAGACCACAAGTGGCAACATATATGCTCTAGTGACACCAGTAGTACTTTTTTTAAGCTTTTTTAAAGTTACGTTTAGAACCTGCTGCTCATTCTTTTGAATGTCATGAATGATGCCAACTCTTTTAGGGTAGGCCTGGTTTTTGGAAACAATGCTCACTGAATGTCTATTCTGCGAGAACTCAGCTAGGGTGGGGCTGGGGCTGGTGGTTCATATAGCAAAATGGCACCTACCTTCACAGAAGTTACTCCCCAATGGAGATAAATGTTTATAATCAGTTCAGTTCAGTTGCTCAGTCATGTCCAACTCTGCAACCCCATGGTTTGCAGCACGCCAGGCTTCCCTGTCCATCACCAACTCCTGGAGCTTGCTCAAATTCATGTCCATCAAGTCGGTGATGCCATCCAGCCATCTCATCCTCTGTCGTCCCCTTCTCCTCCTGCCCTCAATCTTTCCCAGCATCAGAGTACATGCTGCTGCTGCTAAGTCGCTTCAGTCGTGTCCGACTCTGTGCGACCCCATAGACGGCAGCCCACCAGGCTCCCCCGTCCCTGGGATTCTCCAGGCAAGAACACTGGAGTGGGTTGCCATTTCCGTCTCCGATATCAGAGTATATAAGACATCATAAATGTGAGAAGTGGATCTTGCCACAAGCAGTATGTAAGTAGAGTGAAGATAAAGCCATGGGTTCCAGGAAAGACTTTTCTGGGAGACGTGGTATCTTATTCTACATCAGAGGTTGGGATGAGGTATCTTGTTCTAGATCAGAGGTTGGCAAACTACAACTTGTAGTTACTGCTATACAAGAATAGGCATCTAACACTGCTCCTATGATTTTTTTAAAAACTTGTGGACATCCTAATGTTTATGCTAAACGTCACAACTTTTAAATGTTGGCTCAATTTTTTTAATGTAGGCCAAAAAAACATGGTTCACCAGAGTTTGCAACCTGTTTTAGGCTGAAATAACAGCATGAATAAAAATAATTGGAAGTGAAGGATATGTTGAAGAAGGAAGAATGTGATCTGAAGCATAAAGTTTGTTGAAAGAAGTAATGGAAGACAAAATAATTTGGGGCTGATTCCTGGAAAGCTTTGATATGGCAGGGAATTTGGACGTTAGTTTTACAGATAAGTTCTTGAGAAGAGAAGTGCCTTGCAATTCATGGTTCTAGTGATGATAGAAAAACAATGAAAATTGGATGACAACATTAGTAAGCTTTGCAGTAATTCACATGAGAGGATTGGAGCTTGAAATAGACCAGGAAAGAGGACAGAGGAGGGGAGAAAAATCAACAGGTAACTGACCTTGGTAACTGACTGGATTCACTCAGCCAAAATTTATAGCATAAGTGTCAAGTGCCAGACGGGGTTCTGGGCATTTGAGATATACAAATAATTGTATATTCGTTGAAAGGAATTTCAAGCTTGGGTGACATACATTTGAACAAATAATGGGAAATACAGAATAGCATACCGCTAGTATGTAAATTTAATGCAATGGGACAACGAGGAGGAAAGGGGTCAACTCCCTACCCTACCCTGGTGGGATGCAGGAGGGAAGGAAGGCTTCCCAGGAATCACTGGACCCGAGTTCCAAATAGGATCAGATATTGGCAGTGAGGAAAGGGACTAACAGCCAGATTGAGCATGTATTGTGAGTCATGAGCTAAATGTTAAGCCTCTAGTCATCCCAGCAGTTTTATAAAAAGACATTATCATCATCACTTTCTATGTGGGGAAACTGAGACAAAGGACAAAGTTCACGTAGCTAATAATCAGAACTGGGGGACTTCCCTGGCAGTCCAGTGGTTAAGAATCGGCCTTCCAATGCAGGGGGCATGGGTTCAATCCCTGGTCAGGGAACTAAGATCCCACATGCTGTGGGTTGTGGCCAAATTTCTTTTTTAAAATAATAATAATCAGAACTTGGATTTGAACCCAGAATTCATTCCAGAGCCTGAGTTGCTAACCAGTGAACGTAAAAAGGGGCACTTAACTAAAGATGAGTCACAGATAAAGACTGAGGTTTCTAGTCTGTGAGTGAGAGGACATGCCATCAACCTGAACGGCAAGGAGAAGAGGGTGAGCAGGTTTCGTTTGTTTTAAGCAGGTTTCAAGAATGAAGTCATGAGCTCATTTGGGGAAAAACGGGTTGGAAGTGCTTCCCCATAGAAGGGGGTTGGCTAGAAAATAGAAATGTGGGTCTATAGCTTAAGAGCAAGAAGTTAGGGTTAAAGATGTGGATTTGGGAATTATCAAGAAATTCCAGGAATGATAGCAGCCACTAAAGGAGAGAACAGAAGGCTAAGAATTTGACCTTAGGGAATTCCAGAAGTAATCTGGAACAAAATCTGGAAAATAAGATGCATGATAAAGGTGGCTAATGCTTCAGATTTTCTTTTTTAAAGTAATTTTGAAGTAATCAGTCATTTAAATGTGGCTCGTAAACTAGCCATGAAGGAGCTCCAGAAATGTTTTGTGCAATGATAGCATTCCTGAAATAAGTACAGGTTGAGATCACTTCGGCTCGGGTCCTCTAATGATTTGCTTTACTGGATAAACTACAGAGATCCAAGCCTCGTAACATCTGGAACAAATTGACAAATTGGAAGGAGATAAGTTCCTGCATGTTTGATTTCCCCACATTAGCTTTTTAGTCACATAAAAGCAAATTTGATTAAGATCTAAGAATCTGCAGCTTAAAAAAAAATCAGTATAGGGTAGAATTAAGTAGTCATTGGTTTTAAGGTGAGAAGCCAGAAGGAACTTCACGAGAGAAAGAAGGAATGAGGCTGTGACTGAAGAGACATCAGCCCGTTTAGATTGGGGCCATCTTACTGGGAGGACACAAGGAGTGAAACAACGGGTGATTTAGGCAGGGTGCTGCTAACAGGAGAATGTGTTTGAACAGACGGGGCACCGAAGTTCCTAGGTGAGATTAATATGATGGAAGCAGTGTTTCAGAGATGTTTAAGTGCTGAAAGTGGGGCACCTAGCAGGCCACTGTAACAAAGCGTGAAACAGATGATGTGATGGAAGAAGCAATGACTGATGGATGATGGGTATGGCAGAAAAGAAAATGTCTGATAATTCTTAAGGCTGGAAACTAGATAGGATTGAGAGAATAGTATTAACAAATGAAAAAAGTGGAAAACGTGATTCAGGGAAGGGGCAAGTTTTGTGTTCTAGGTGACATTAGGTCAGCCATGCAGACATATAGGCAGCTAGAGATACGGGGCTTCCCTGCTGGCTCAGCAGTAAAGAATCTGCCTGTCAAGCAGGAGATGCAGGTTCGATTCCCAGGTTGGGAAGACCCCAGAGAAGGAAAAGGCAACCCACGCCAGCACTCTTGCCTGGGAAATCCCATGGACAGAGGAGCCTGGCAGGCTACAGTCCTTGGGGTCGCAAAAGAGACATAACTTAGCGACTAAACAAGGCAGTTGGGATATAGGACCGTGGTGTGGCTAAAAGTTCATGCTTGGAATAGTGGTTTGGGGTTCCTGGCTTGGGAGGAGGAGAAGAGCAAAGCTTTCGTAGAACTTCACAGAAGAAGGGAGAAAATAAATGAGATGGAGAAATAGTGTTCTAAGAGAAAAGCAAGAATGTACAATGTCTCTCAAGCCCAGTAAGAAATCAACGGCTTCAAACATAGCAAAGTTTTCTACCACAAGGTATTAAAGATAGCATGGAGCTAGAGGCAGAGGGTATATATTTAAAAACAGAAAAAAAATAGAAAACAACATGGTGATTTGGAAGTGTCAAGTGAAGGTTTTGTTTGTCCTGGATTAATGAGGGATTGAATGAGTAGAGTAGGAGAATCTTAATTTGTTATGAAAGGCTATTCATGGAAGGTTCTTAAGGAGGTTGAAATGAGTGGGGCTTGCAAACCTAGGTGCAGAAGGTAACTTCAGAGCAGAAAAGCAAGGCCAAATACTGAATCAGAAACTAAAGAATGCCAGTGGGTAGAATATAATAAATATGTAAGAATAGTGAGAAAGGGGGCTTGATTATGAAACAGAAAGAAAAACGGAAGGATAGAAAGGTAAGATTTGCTGGGATGGAAGGGTGAAGAAATTGTGATGGGCAATGGGGATGGTAAAATTTTGAAACTCTCTCTTGTGCGTAACAGTTCAAAAGTCTTGGCCTCCCACCTCCAACACTGCAAGGGAAGCATTTGAGAATGAAAAGCAGCATCTCAAGCACCGAACAGCCTCCACCGGCTTCCTCTGGGCCCAGAGCCTCCATTTTGTGAGCCATGAGGCCGCCGCACCGCACAGCTGTCTGCTGCCCTCTGCTGGGTGGTTTTGGTCTCGGGTCTTCAGACAATGGAATTAGAGGCGCGCAACCAGGACTTGGTAGGAAGTCCAGGGTAGAACCTGATTAGATCATACTCAGTCCGTACTTTTTTAATCACATCTGTGTCTAAGGCCTGATAGAGGAGGTGCAAAAAAGAATAAAATACACAGTCTTAACTCTCAAGACGCTCGCATGCCGTCCAGTCTGAGTGAAGATTAAAATATGTACACGTTAAATCCACATACTCAAAAAGATTTTTTTGGAGTGGCTTAAATGTGCCAAGAGTGTATATTCTACAAGGGAAGAAAGATTTCACATAGTAAGATAAGGGAATAGGATATGTGAGTGACGAGTGTTTAGAGAAGGCTTCCCAGAAGAACCAGTATTTAATGGAGACTGAGAAGAAAGTGAGGGTGAGAGATGATTTCAGGCAGAGAAGAGCATGAACACAGACAAATACTATACCAGGAACTAAAAGAATACCAGTGGATGAAATGTAGTGAATATGAAAGAGTAGGGAGAAGGAAAAAAGGGACCATGATAGGGTTTAAGGTCCCTGGCTACAGTGTGGATGCTTTAGATAATATCAGTGTGGACAGATATACAATGTAGATGCATTACATGTGTCAACAGATGCAGTTCTCACATGAAGGCTCCAGCAAGGGGTGGGGGTCCAGCCTGCACTCACTTCTGAGAAAAGTAGACACAGTTGAGACTATTTAGGAGGTAGAATAATTTAACTTACTTTATTTTAATTAAATTTTGCAGAAGCACGTAAAAGGAAAGGCCTTGCATACAACCTAATGGATGGTAGTGGTAGGCTGATAGGCTCTAGCTGCTGTAATCGAGAACCTCAAAGAGCAGGTAAAGAGACCTGCAGGATGGAAAGTATGGGGGATAGTGGTATGGTGGGGGGAGGCAGTGGTGAGGAAAAAACAGCATAAATGGGAAAAGCAGCATGAGCAATGCCAGGAAGGTGGGAAACTCCAAAATATAGGTGTGTAAAAATTTCTATGAATTACCTTTGAATCCCTGCTCTCTGGGGAATCTTGGAGATGTGGCTGTGCAAGAAATCAAATACAAAGAGAACATCCTCAACAAGAATCCTAGACATTCCCCACAGCGAGAAACTGCGAAGAGGAAGGACCAGCTGAGGTGAGCACAGGAGGGCTGGAGAAGGATCAATTCCCCAGGTAGGCACTTGGAACACGGAGAATTTAGAATACTACCTGGCACAAAATAAGCACTCGATAGTGAGTGAGTTATCTTCGCACACTCTGGCTCCAGCCAGATTGGCAGTGTTGATGTTTCGACAGATTACTCCCCACAAGCTCCGTGATCCCTGAGAGGCAGCACCTCAGGGAAACCCCAGAGAACGCCTCGCTTCCAGGGTCTTCACGGTACAGAGACCTACAAGGTGTGAGGTGCGGTCATTAAATTCAGAGCTGCCCGCTTTATCCGGGAACTCCAGTTTTGACTATTAAATGCCCAACTGGCATTCACATCCCCGAACAAAACTTAACCCTTCGTGAACCAAATCCTTTGCTACGCCCTCCCGAAAGAATGAAACAAGGTATGTCGAAACTCGGCTTGCAAACCTGAAGTTACAAAGTTCTCTAAGTGCTTTGCATCCTAGCAGCCAATACAGCTAGCTGTACACCATTAAACGCTTCTTGTGGTCACCCTCAGCCCCCTCCTTCCCCCAAATCCAAGGGTGAGACCTTCTGGCTTCTGATTCCCATACAGAAAGGGAAGGGCACGAAAGACACGTGGAAGGCAAGAGGTTTCCTTCACACACACACCCTGAAGGGGAAAAAAAGCGGCCGTCACGAACAGGATTCGAACCTGTGCGGGGAAACCCCATTGGATTTCGAGTCCAACGCCTTAACCACTCGGCCACCGTGACTTCCAAGACCGCCCTTTACCGAGCACTTACAGAAAGGGTCCGCAGGGCGACCCGGAGCGGGTGCTAACACCGGGAAGTTGGGTCAGGCCCAAGCACAGCCTGTGACCTCCTCACATGCCGCTCCTTACCTCTGCCTCCACGCCGCTCCAAGGAAGAGGGTCGCGTGGATCGGGTGACCCAAGGAGGAAGGGTCTCCCGCCCCACGAAGACGAGGGTCTCAAGGAGCGCAAAGCAGTTTAGGAAGCATTGGCGAGGCCTGCAGAGGGAAGCAGCTGGAGAGGAGCGGCTGGGTCCCCGGGGCGGCGGCTAGGGGACTCCTCGGGTGACGGAGTGAGACCTGGGACACGGCGTTAGGGGCGAGGGAGGCTCAGAAGGGGTTTCAACGGGGAGCTCCTGGGGGGGGACGAAAGGAAGGAACTTGCGGAAACGGGTCCAGGATTAGGGGCTTTGTGGGGTTAAGAACTGTGCAAGGTGAGGACCACTGAGGTCTGCGCTGGGGGCTCCTCAGGCGACCGGCATCCCCTTGGGGTAGGATAGAGAGGTACCCCCCTCCCCCGGCTGAGAGGCAAGAAAAGACGTCAGGTTAGGCACAGGGCGGCCTCCGGAGGGTGTGCGCCCCCTCCAGGAAGCCGCTTCCTCCCCAGAGCTCCGGCCGCCGCCGCCAGGGAGGCCGCCAGGGTCCGCCCCGCGTCAGGCGCTCCGCCGCCACGGCGTCCGGCCGGCCGGCAGGGGGCGCTGCGCGGGCCGGGGCCGGCCTAGGCGGCGGGAGGCGGCGGCCGCGGCGGCGGGAGGCGGCGGGAGGCGGGCGGAGGACGAGGCGGAGGAGGCGGGAGCTGCGCTGAGCGGGGCGGGCGGCGGCGGGGCCCGAGCCCGAGAAGATGGCGGTGCGGAAGAAGGACGGCGGCCCCAACGTGAAGTACTACGAGGCCGCGGACACCGTGACCCAGTTCGACAACGTGCGGCTGTGGCTCGGCAAGAACTACAAGAAGGTACGCGGGCAGGGCCGCGCGGGGGCCGGGGGCGGGACAAAGGGGCCGCGGCCCCGCGGCGCCCCCACCCCGGCCCGCCCGCCCCCCGCGGCCCGCGGCCCCTCCCCCGCGCGCCCGCCGCCGCCGCCGCCCCGCGCCCCTCCCCCAGCGCCCGCGCCCCCACCCCCGCCCCTGGTTCCGGCCGCCGCCCCCGCTGCTGCGCCCTCTGCCCCTTGCTTTTCTCCGCCGGCCCGGCGGGTCCCGGTGCCAGCTGCCCACCCTCCAGAAGCCATCGCCTTCTGGGCTTTTCCGGGAGGGACGGCCGCGGGTGGACGGGTGCCGAATGTCCCCCCTACCCCCGCCCCACCACCCGAGCGTGCCCGCCACGGTGCCCGCCAGGGCTCCCCGCGGAGCCAGGTACCAGCAGGGCTAAGGCCTCGCCGCCGCTTTGTGTATGTTCAGAGCAAGATGATGAAAGCCGGAGGGTAAACAGCCCCAGAGCAGGCCCTCCACTGCTCACCAGCCTGAAAAAGGCCCCCACCCCGGAATCACCTGTCTACCGCCCGACCCCCATCTCCGTACAAGGGGTAACAGAACCTCTTTGGGAGTCAGGGTATAGGAGTTCCTGGGCAGCTACCCCTTCTAAAACCATTGCTCAACTTCACAAAGAAATCACCCCACCACCTGGCCTTGCATTGCCTTGGGTTTGGGGTTCAGAGACTAGGATGCAGTTTGTGTCTGGAGTCCCCCATCCCCTAGCAGATGATAAGGTAGTGAACAAAGGGTTCAAGCCTTACCTGTCTTTTATACCAGACCTCTTCTGGTGCTGTCTTTGTCTTTAGGCCTGGTTGAAAGGAACATCTCTGCCTAGGGCTTTTCTCTGGAGAGGGTCTGCGTCTCTTCCTTCTCACTACCCCCAGTAAGAGGTTCTCGGACTTTCCTTCAGCTCCCCAGTTCTTCCTGCAACCTGTCAGAAGTGCGATGGGCCCGTGGAGGAGAACGCCTCTCTGATCCCGGTTATGAGTCCGGCCCTGTTCTCAGGGGTCTGTCTGGGTGTCAGAGCTTGACCAACAGCTGCAGGGTCTGTGGCTGGTCTCTACCCCAGCGTAAGGCTCTGGCTCCCAGGCTTCTACCTCTGACCTTTGGACAGGAGATCAGTCTAGGGGCTTAGTGTCTGGCCCTGGGGGGATTGACAGCCTGTGACCTAGTTCAGCTGTCAAGCTCTTAGCTCTTTGTCATCTACCTTTTCTTTCGAGGATCTCTTTACACCTCCCACCAAAAGGTGCACTTTTTTCTAAGGTCGGGGTTGAGGAAAAGGGGATCAAAAGGTAAGGTTAGCCTCTTTGCACAGTTTTACATGAGAACTGAAGGCTAGGATGCTAGGTCGCATAACATGGAAATATTTAAGAAGGCCCAGGGTCGCCTGTGTCCAATACAGTTTCCTCAGAAAGCGTAGATACTGTCTTGCTATTGCCCACCTGGCTGGGCAGTAGCTTCTCTTTTCCCTTCTAGGAGGGCATGTGAAGACATGTGCTCTGTGTTGCTTTGCACCTTTCTTATCAGGCTGTATTATAGAGGGAATCTTGACCTTCCACACCATTACTCGAAGAAGTAGACTGCTGTCTCCCTTAGAGCATTCCGGATGGTACTTCTGTGGCCTGATCCCTATGAATCTTCAGAATTTTACAACTCTCGGTGCCATTGGCTAAAGATCGGGATCCTGCAACTCCATTTTTAGGGTGTAGTTGGGGGAGAGTAGGAAGCTGCCTATACCCTCAGCACCCAAGACTGGTAGTAGGCAGTTGAATTCCATCTTCTTGGTGAGGGGCACCTCAGGCCTGCCTTCTGCCAGTTTTTTTCTAAGAGATTAGGCGTGTGGGGGGAGAGGACACGATTTCTGTCTCAGATGCTTCCAGAGCTCCTGGGGGAGAAATAAGGGATACGGTGGAAAATTGATGTGGGGTCTGTTTTCCTTTCCTTTTCCCTGTTTCCCCAGTATATACAAGCCGAGCCGCCCACCAACAAGTCCCTGTCTAGCCTGGTTGTACAGCTGCTGCAATTTCAGGAAGAAGTTTTTGGCAAACATGTCAGCAATGCACCGCTCACTAAACTGCCGGTGAGTGCAAAAAGCGAGGGGGCAAATCCGAGGAGGAGTCTTTTTTGTTTTTGTAAATCTTCTAGTTTCTGAGGTTTGGGTGACTTCCTACCATCCCTTTCCCTGGTTGGGGTGTTACTGGCTTGGCAGAGCCCCCAGGTTGCCATCCCTTTTGTCCTAGTAATAGTTCATGCAACAGGTTATCTCAGAGTGTCTAAACTCAGTCATGAAACTCAGGGCATGGTGGAAAGCGTGTGAGGTTTGAATTTGTACACTCTCGTGTTCAAATCCTGGCTCACCACTTGGTGTCTCTGTCGTCTTGGACAAGCCATTTATGCCGTTGAGTCTTGGTTCCTTTATCTCTCGATTAATATACCTCCCTTGTAGGTATAACTTGTAATGATTAACGAGGTAACCCAGCAAAGGGAATCCGGCAAGGGACGTGGTGGGGCTCTGTGAACGGTGGTTTCTTTCTCTCCCCTCTTCTAGGCTACAAGATAGAATGGCCCAGGGGTTAAGGAATTCCAGCTTTGAGAGGGAGATCAGTCCAGCAGAAGATTTTGTGAAGGAATTGTTAAATCATAAGAGAATTTAGGATGTAACTCTTATATACTTCTTCCCTGTCTCAATTTTGTAGATCAAATGTTTCCTAGATTTCAAAGCAGGAGGCTCCCTATGCCACATACTTGCAGCAGCCTACAAGTTCAAGAGTGACCAGGGATGGTGAGAGGCCTTCTCTTCTCTCTGTACTTCTTACATTTAGTTTAAAGGGAATCCCCCTTTATGATTCCCTGGGGTCTTTGTAGGGTGGGAGAGGGTAGACATTCTTACAAGTCTTTTACTTTGCTAGATCAGCAGACCTGACCTGCTAGGTCAGAAAAGTGGCTGGGAGTCAGAGCCAGGAGTCTCTCAGAATGAGTGAATATGTATATGTGTGTCAGTGTGTGTATTGTAGAGAAAAAGGGATTCTTAGGTTGCCATCTCAAGCCTTTCTTTGTCCTTTCGGACTAAGTACAAAGTGATTTGTGTAGTTGAGATCAGTGAACCCCAGATCCCAGGTGATTTTGGCACAGCTGAGGGCAAAATTGCCTCCTGATCTCCCGTGTTAAAATAATCACACATGCTAACCTCGTCCTCAGACTTGAGCTATACCACTCACTAGATCATTGCTTCTTTACAAGGCGGCGTTACGATTTCCAGAATCCATCACGCATGGACCGCAACGTGGAAATGTTCATGACCATTGAGAAGTCCTTGGTGCAGGTAATAGTCAAGGACTCCCCCACTCACCTCCCTTCCCTGGATGAGAATCCAAAACACCCCTTCCCTATGTCATCCCACTTATTTCTTCTCCCCACAGAATAATTGCCTGTCTCGACCTAACATTTTTCTGTGCCCAGAAATTGAACCCAAACTGCTAGGGAAACTAAAAGACATTATCAAGAGACATCAGGTGAGTGGGTGGGTCAGGAGAGGTTTTAGAAACTCCGTAACTCTTTCTCTGACGTTTTGCTTACAAGCAGCAGCCCCAGGGTAGCACCGCCTGTTTGGAAGAATATTAGAATTAAAGCTTGAAGCCTCTGTTTCCGTTTCTCCCATTCCCGTTCTTGGCAGGTGTAGTGCACTGTCCCGAGAGACTGCACAGGCCTGAGGGGAAAAGCATCTATTTCCACTGAGCTAGAGATTGCCTGATTTCAGATCAATGAGATCTTTGCTCTCTGGAACTCTGTAATTACAAGCAGATGTCATTGGGACATACAGGGACATAAACTTGACTGTTCACTTCACATGTGTAACAGAGTATCTGTTCAGAGGTTTATCTGTAGCAATTTAAAATTCTTTGATTTTTCTCCATTATTAGCAAAGTCCCAGCTGTTTCTCTCTGCCGCTCAGCTGATGTGTATTTAGAGAATGCAGACCAACCTTCATACCATTGAGTTACTATATGATTATGAAGGCAGATCTGCGGTTAAATCTTACTTTGGTATATTTACATTCGTGACTGATTCGAAGGGGACCACGCTTACCTGCCTCTCTCTATGTCATCCAGGGAACGGTCACTGAGGATAAGAACAGCGCTTCCCACGTTGTGTATCCCGTGCCAGGGAACCTGGAGGAAGGTGAGACCTGGCTTTTCTTGGTCACTGCCGTGGGTGGCTTGGGCTCGGAGATGGAGGGCCACTCGGTAGCTGTGCAGTGCCGGGGCTCGCCCCTCCCCAGAACCCTGACTCTTCGTGGCGCCTTCATAGCCCGCGGCCCCTGCTGCAGCAGGTGGTGTGTGCGGAGTTCTTTGGTATCTGTGCCCTTTTAGCTCATGTCTCATCCTGCTGTGTCTCTGTCCCCAGAGGAATGGGTACGGCCGGTCATGAAGAGAGATAAGCAGGTTCTTCTGCACTGGGGCTACTATCCTGACAGGTGAGGATGGGATCTGGGCACAGGTGTAAGTCCAAGAGCCAGACTGAAAAGCCGTAGAGCATCTGGTAAAGCAAGAAGGCGCTCTTTGAGAGCTGTTTTTTGCTCTGTTACTTTATTCTCCCACCTATTATGCTATCCCTCTGTCTGTTCTGTGGGAAGTTTGGGCTTACTGGACAAAGCTTAGGCTGAAAGGATTGAGGCTTTGTGTGCGAGATGGTTATCCTAGTGTGAGTTTTGGTAAGTAAATATTAGAAGTAATCTCAATATCTTAACAGTGGGGAAATGTTTCAGCAAATTTATATATCTAGTCAGTGGACTATTTTACAGTATTTAAAGTGATAGAGATACCATACATAATTTATAGGTAAGTATTGCAAACAGTAGAATGTAAAATGACATGTAGTATCCTTGCACTTATGTAAAAACAAAATAATAGGGGAAAAAATTATAGAAAAAAGTCACTGGGGAAACATACACTGAGTGTCACAAATGCTTGTGTTAGGATGGTTCCTTTCTTCTATTTTTGAAATGTCTTGTAATCATTTTTATTACTGTATAGTGAAAAGAATCCCAATATTAATTGGAAAAAATAATCATACCCCACAAACTGTACAAAAAGTAACCCAACAACCCTATCCTTTTTGTAAATGGGAAAGGTAAAAGGTTTGCCCTTTATTTTTCCACAACTCTATCCCATTGATGGTGCTTCATGCTCAATTTCCCGTGGCAGTTATGACACGTGGATCCCAGCCAGTGAAATTGAAGCATCTGTGGAAGATGCTCCAACTCCTGAGAAGCCTCGGAAGGTGAGCTCTCCTTGTCCGTGCTCCCTCCCCCGAGAAGAATCCCGGGGCCAGACTGCTCTTGGAGGTGGACAGAGAGGCTCCTGGGCCCTTGGGCTCCTCTGTTAAGGGCCCCCAGACAGCTAGGGCTTCCAGGCCTCTCCCCAGGGCCGTCTGCTTTTGTACTTCAGGTTCATGCAAAATGGATCCTGGACACAGACACCTTCAATGAATGGATGAATGAGGAAGACTACGAAGTAAATGATGACAAAAACCCTGTCTCCCGCCGAAAGAAGATTTCAGCCAAGACGCTGACAGATGAGGTGAAAACTCTTTTTCTTTTTTCCTGAGCCCTTAGCCCAAGTCTCAGAAGAGTCTTCGCTGGAGATTGTTGGCTGACATCTGCCCCAATTCTCCAACCTGTAGGTCAACAGCCCAGACTCGGACCGACGGGACAAGAAGGGGGGCAACTATAAGAAGAGGAAGCGCTCCCCCTCCCCGTCACCAACCCCAGAAGCCAAGAAGAAGAATGCTAAGAAGGGGTAGGCCAGCCCCCCCGGCCCCTGCCCTCCCTGCCCTGTCCACACGCTGGTCAAGGAAGGAAGGACAGATCCCCCCCTGTAACTGCCAGGCACTGGCCTGCGAGAGAAGGGGTCTGTGGCGCTCCGGTGTCCGCTTCGGTCCTGGCCTGTAGTGAGCTCAGAGAGCTTCATCTGCGAGTGAAGGGCCTCCGCCTCTCCCGCTCTCTTCGCAGTGATCAGTTTCTTCTTCGCTCAGCTCTGCCCTCAGGTTTTCTCTCCCGTTTTTCTTCCCGGCAGTTGTTTTTTTAATTAGTTTATTTTTGGCTGCGTCTGGTCTTGGTTGCGGTGCTCGAGGTTGCTCAAGATCTTCCTTGCAGCCCGTGGGCTCTCTAGTATGGCACACGAGCTCAGGGCATTCAGGCTTCGTAGTTGTGGCCTGGGCTTAGTTGCCGTGCCGCATGTGGGATCTTAGTTCCTGGAGCAGGGATTGAGGCCACTTCCCTGCATTGGAACGTGGATTCTTAACCACTGGACCAGCAGGGAAGTCCCTTCCTTGCAGTTTTATTGCAGTGTAGCTCACATACAGCCCTGTAGAAGTTTAAGGAATACATCATGATTTGGTTTACATACATTGTGAAGTGATTATCAAAGTACATTTGGTAAACATCTTTTGTCTCATGTAGATAGTCAATTAAAGAAATAGAAAAATAAGTAAAAAAAAAAATGTTTTCCCTTGTTCTGAGAGCTCTCAGGATTTACTCACTGTTTTAAAATTCTTATTTATTCTTTATTTTTTGGCTGTGTTGGGTCTTCACTGTTGCGTGGGCTTTTCTCTGGTTGCGACAAGCAGGCGCCCCTCCCCTGGTGCTGAGCACGCCGCTCGCTGAGGCGGCTGCTCCTGCCGCAGGGCGCAGAGCGGTGGCTTCGGTGGGTGCAGCTCCTGCGCTCTAGAGCGCAGACTTGGTAGCTGGGCGGGAGTTTAGGTGCTCCGTGTCACGTGGGAGCTTCCCGGCCCAAGGATGAAGCTCACGTCTCCTGCATTCTTAACCACCGAACCGGCAGGGAAGCCCAGGATTCACTCTCCTGAAACTTCCCTGTGCACCGTACCGCAGTATTAATTACGTTTATCACATTGTACCTCACAGTCGCTTTGGGAGTTTTTCTTGCTTCCTTTCCATTGAACTCACCTTCCAGGGATTCCTTGTCCGAGGATGCCTGGATTCACGGGCACTCTCTCTCCTCCGCAGCCCCTCAACCCCTTACACCAAGTCAAAGCGAGGCCACAGAGAGGAGGAGCAGGAGGACCTGACGAAGGACATGGATGAGCCCTCGCCCGTCCCCAACGTGGAGGAGGTGACGCTGCCCAAGACAGGTACGGGCCAGGCCAGGCTCCCGGGCCGCCCACACCCGGCCTGTGTTCAACCCTGCTGGGTGGGATGCCTTACCAGGCCCAGCTCCAGGTATAGAGACTCTTTCCCTTCAACTTAGCTGGTTATTGAAACCATTGTCATCACCACAGACAATCCTCTAACTTCATTTCCATGTCTGAGTCTTGGACCGTGCTATCTCCAAACTTTTTTTATTATGCACTTGATAGCTCAGTTGGTAAAGAATCCGCCTGCAACGCAAGAGACCCTGGTTTGATCCCTGGGTTGGGAAGATCCGCTGGAGAAGGGATAGGCTACCCACTCCAGTATTCTTGGTCTTCCCTGTGGCTCAGCTGGTAAAGAATCCGTCTGCAATGCGAGTAAACCTGGGTTCAATCCCTGGGTTGGGAACATTCCCCTGGAGAAGGGAAAGGCTATCTACTCCAGTATTCTGGCCTGGAGAATTCCATGGACTACAGTCCATGGGGTTGCAAAGAGTCAGACATGACTGAGCGACTTTCACTTTCAACGTCAGTAAGTTATACTTGAGCACAAATTATACGCATGTAGTGTTCACCACTACTTTTAGGAATATTATAAAACACATGCCTTATGTGGAAAGGAAATTAGGAAAACATAGAGGATAAGATTAAAACAAGAGGTTCTAATATTCACAGCCTGTATCCCAGTGGCCCCTCTTTTGCGTCCCCACTTTGGAGACCACTGCTCTGCGGTACTGCTCTATGTCAGTATTCCACAGACAGCCAGGCGTGGGTTTCAGGAGGAGGGCGGGGAATGCCCCTGAGAGAGGAGTCCCAGCTTTCACCCCTTCTTCCATCAGAGCAGCTCTCCTGTCTCTGTTTCCTGTGAGCTTCTGTGTGTGAACTCAGCGGAGGGAAATGTGTTCTGCTTTCAAAAATGTTTAAGATCCAGCCAGTCCTCTCCAGAGTGATTGGTCAGACTCTGTCAGTCCAGAAGGAACTTGCAGACTTCTGTATGGAGATCAGGGGCCCAAAGACAAGAGTGACTGGTGAATGTTCGTAGAGTAGAAGACGCTTCTTTATAAGAAAAAGGTTGAGGAAGGTGAATTTTTGACGGGGGAAGGGGAGAAGTTTCAAGCTCTGGAGTGATTGTGATTGGTCATTTTGTGACGGCTGGAGCGAGCTTTGGGAGAAGGTGAGCTCTCTGGAGCTTCTCACAGTGGAGAGGTGAGGGCTTGACTTAGACAGAACCTGTCTGTTAAACGGGCTCTCTCCCCTGGCGCTTCTCACAGTGGAGAGGTGAGGGCTTGACTTAGACAGAACCTGTCTGTTAAAAGGACTCTCTCCCCTGGAGCTTCTCACAGTGGAGAGGTGAGGGCTTGACTTAGACAGAACCTGTCTGGTAAAAGGACTCTCTCCCTGGAGCTTCTCACAGTGGAGAGGTGAGGGCTTGACTTAGACAGAACGTGTCTGGTAAAAGGACTCTCTCCCTGGAGCTTCTCACAGTGGAGAGGTGAGGGCTTGACTTAGACAGAACGTGTCTGGTAAAAGGACTCTCTCCCTGGAGCTTCTCACAGTGGAGAGGTGAGGGCTTGACTTAGACAGAACCTGTCTGGTAAAAGGGCTCTCTCCCCTGGAGCTTCTCACAGTGGAGAGGTGAGGGCTTGACTTAGACAGAACCTGTCTGGTAAAAGGACTCTCTCCCTGGCAGTCAACACCAAGAAGGACTCGGAGTCAGCCCCAGTCAAAGGAGGCACCATGACCGACCTGGGTGAGATGGGGCACATGGGGCAAGGGAGTCAGCGCCTCGAGGCAGGGGCGGGAGGCCGGCCCCTGCCCCTGGCCTGCTGGGGCCTTTCCAGAAGTGCACTCGTTCTCCGGACCCTCAGACAGCACCAGCCTCTGTCTTGCTGTCTCTTCCAGATGAACAAGAGGATGAGAGCATGGAGACCATGGGCAAGGTAGAGCCAGTTTAGAGAGCCCCAACTCTCCCTGGGATTCTGCCCCATGATTATAAAGTTCCTTTCACCCAGACTTTCCACTGCCCAGACTCTTCCCAGCCTAGAACTCATGCTCACTGTTGCTCAAACCTCAGAGCCTTCTCAGTCCCAAGGCCCGTAACTGTTCCGTCCCATCCCACCTCTCGTGTCCATGTTCCCAGGGTGGGGGAGGAGCGGGGGGTCGCCACGGGCTGAACGAGAGGGCCGAGGGTCCAGCGGCCTGCGTGCTCACAGGACGAGGACGAGAGCAGCCCGGGCAACAAGGGGGAGCAGACCAAGAACCCGGAGCTGCATGAGGACAACGTGACCGAGCAGACCCACCACATCATCATCCCCAGCTACGCGGCCTGGTTTGACTACAACAGGTACCGCCGCTGCAGCCCCTCACGGACGCCCCACTCTCCCGCGACCACGGGTCAGCGTGTTCCTTCTCCCGCCGCCTCAGCCAGCAAGGCTGCGGTACCGTTCAGCTGTAGGGGGGCTCCTGGTCTAGTTCTCAGATCCAGGCCTCCCGTTCCTGCTTGCTGCCCCTTGTCCCAGACGTTTCCTCCCTTTGGGGTCCCCCTCACGCCTTTGGGGTCCCCTCTCTCCACTCGAGCCTTCTCATTGCTCCCTGGCTTCTCTTGCAGTGTTCACGCCATCGAACGGAGGGCTCTCCCCGAGTTCTTCAATGGCAAGAACAAGTCCAAGACTCCAGAAATGTAAGGCCCTCCAGCTCGTGGTCCTCTTCCTCCTGATCCAGTTGGGCAAACACTTCTTGAGCTCCTTACATGAGCCAGGCAGTGCGCTCACAGGCAGCCCTGGCCCAGCGCTGGGACCCCTGCCCTCTGGGATCTGCCAGGGGCCGTGTGAGGCTTGCTCTTTTGTTCAGAGCAAGTGTCTGCTCCCCCCTGGGCTCAGCTGTGTTTCCTCCTTCTGTTTCTTTTAACAGGGTTTAGAGCTTTCCATCCACAATTACCTGTGCTCTCTAAAATGCAAATATCTCCAGCATAAGTAATCTCTGTGAATTAAAGGATGGAGAGATGTGTTTTGTAACGTCTGAGCCTGGGGCTCAGACGTCTTCATGTCCTTCGAGGCTCCTCCTCAGACCAAACCTGCCTGGCTTTCGTTTGGTGATTTTTCTGTGGTTAGGAATGTTGCAGGATAGACATGGTCGGGCAGGTGGGAGCTGGTGCTGAGCCCGGGCCCCCTGAGGGCTGAGCGCACTGGCTTCCCAGCGCTCCTCAGCTCCCCGTCCCCCTGCTCCGGGGTCCCCGGCTTCCCAGCGGCTCCTCAGTTCCCCGTCCCCCTGCTCCGGGGTCCCCGTCCCTTCCACCATTTCTTTCCCCACAGCCTGGTATGGTTCTCTTCTCCTCCTCTTCCTGGGGAAACCAGTGTATGAAGAAGCCTTGCTCTCTCCAGAGGCAGTAGTGACAGAGGACATGAGTTCAACTTGATCTGCAGGGAGGGTTGGAACTAGAACTCTTCACACTTTGCACTCTGGGTATAAAGTGCCAAGTGACGATAATTGCCTATATGTATTGAGAGCCCTCTATTTCTAATTGCTTATTATCCTAAATATCCTACGTACCTTGACTAATTCAGTCTCCACATCAGCTTTAGCTGTAGGTCTTATTATCTTCAGTTTACTGACAAGGAGGGCTTCAGTCACTTAAAGTTACACAGCTCGTGAGTAATAAAGCTGGGGTCTGAGTCCTGTAGTCTGGCTCATGTTCTCAGACTTTACGTTACACCACCCAATAGCTGCCAGTTTTGGAGCTTGTAGAGCGTGCCCAGCACTACTCTGTATCTCTACAGACCTTTCTGTGCTCAACAGACACTTCATTTTACAGTTAAGGCAACTAAGGTTCAAAAACTTAAGGCCATCATAGTAGAACTAGGATTTGAACTTAGACCTTCCCACCTTCAAACATGTCTTCTCAAGGCTGTGCCCTGCTACCTAGGTGGAGGCACCCCTAGGACTTCCCTTTATCTGCCTTTGGAATTCAGGGCACTTCCTCTTTCTGATTTCTTTCCCAAATGTTGGATGAGGCATTTGTTAGCCTCATGGTTAGGATTCTGTTAGCCTAGTGGTTAGGATTCTGGACTTTCACTGCGAGGGCCCGGGTTCAGTTCCCGGTAAGGGAACTGAGATCCTGCAAGCCATGTGGAATGGCCAAGAAAAAAAGTTAGATGAAACATCCCCAAGCACACACAGCCAAGGAGATAACTCATTTAATGAAAAATCCCATCAAGGGTCTGAACCCCTCACATCTAGCACAAAGACGAGGCAGTCTTCTCTGTCACACATGAAGGCCGTTGTCCTCTTAACCAATTCTTCCCATCCCTCCGCCCTCTCATCGTTCCCCTCTCTCTCCTCTAAGCTACCTGGCCTATCGGAACTTCATGATTGACACTTACCGGCTGAACCCCCAGGAGTACCTCACGTCCACCGCCTGTCGCAGGAACCTGGCGGGGGATGTCTGTGCCATCATGAGGTGGGTCTGCAGCTGAGGGGTGGCCCGCGCTCAAGGACGACGCACACAGAGGCCTCTTGGCCAAGCAGAGAGGCTGGTGGCGCGGCGCGTCGGGGATGAGCAGGAAAGGCCAAGTTCAGGCTGGGGCCAGGGCGACTTAGGGGACGGCAGGGCGCCCTGCAGTGTGGCGGGAGCGGGAAGGAGCCCGTCTGTAGTGAAGGAGCGCATCTGGTGAGAGATACAGGAAGCGATGTTTCACTGCTGGGAGGACATGGAGCGAGGCCCTGGTGCAGATGGAGACGGGGCTGTCCGCTGTGTGGGGGCCGGGAGGAGGCCGTATTTCCCAGGGAGGAGAAGGAGCAGAGAAGAGCCTGCCCCCGGCCCTCTCCTCGTGTGTGACCCAGTCTCCGCCTCTCTCCTCACAGGGTCCATGCCTTCCTAGAACAGTGGGGTCTCATCAACTACCAGGTGGATGCCGAGAGTCGACCAACTCCGATGGGGCCTCCGCCCACTTCTCACTTCCACGTCTTGGCGGACACACCGTCCGGGCTGGTGCCGCTGCAGCCCAAGACCCCGCAGGTAGAGAGGGGCTGCGGGACGGGGGGGACCTGGGCAAACGGGCTTCTTTGGACTTTTCTTTTTCTGGTTTTTTAGGGTAATGTTTCAGGAGTGTTTTGAGGCTTCTTCCTTTTCCATGGGATTCAAAGGGCCACAGGAATCAGTCCCATGTATTTAGCACCCTCTCTCAGCCTTTGTATCTAAGACTGCAAGGACTTGCTGAGGGAGAAGAGATGCTTGTTGTCCTTGGGGAGCAGATAGGCTAATGTAGGGGATGGAACAGATAGAGAAAAATGGCTTACAATTCAGTTGCATGAAATTTTTTAACCTTGTCACGTTTCCAACATTTTTTTCATTTTTGCTTCATAATTTTTATCACTTCCATTTTTTTCCATTTCCATTTCATACATTACAAAAATTGTTATGTGGCTTGCCCAGGGTCAGACATGTAGGATTAGAACCTACTTGTCCAGCTCCTAAGAGAACCTGTAAAGATACAAGTGAATACAAGTGGATATCATGCCAATTCCGGATCTAATTAATTATTAAGGGAATACGGAACTGTGGCATGAGTGCCCCCCGAGCTTCGGGCTGCCCAGCGTCTGGTCTTGAGGCCTCCAGGGCCTCAGCCTGGTCATTTTGTGACCAGCCTCCATGACGCCAAGCTCTGTCCCCCAGGGCCGCCAGGGTGACGCTGATGCCAAGGCTGGGCGGAAGGGCAAAGAGCTGGATGACCTGGTGCCAGAGACGGCTAAGGGCAAGCCGGAGCTGGTAGGTGGGGAGTAGGCCCCGCTGGGCCGCTCCTCCGCCCCTTTATGGGGGCCCCTGCCCGGGAAGAAGCGCCGCGAGAGCACAGGCGCTGCAGTGAGGGAGGAAGTCCCCCCAGGGGCGCCCCTGGCTGTGGGGAGGGAGCTCCTTCTGTCTGTCCTCTCTCTCTGTCTGCCCCTGGCTCCTGGCAGCCACTTGGATTCACCTCTTTCTTTCCCTTCCACAAATAGCAGAACTCCGCTTCCCAGCAAATGCTCAGCTTCCCCGACAAAGGCAAGGAGAAACCGGCGGACATGCAGAACTTCGGGCTGCGCACGGACATGTACACGAAGAAGAACGTGCCCTCCAAGGTGCGGGGTGCGGGCAGCGGGGCCGGTGCCCCCTCGGCCCTCGAGGCCGCGGCTCTCCCCGCTGACCCGCCCGCGTTCCCCGCAGAGCAAAGCCGCAGCCAGCGCCACTCGCGAGTGGACAGAACAGGAGACCCTGCTGCTCCTGGAGGTAACAGGGCCCGGGAGGGACAGTCCTGCGGGAGTGGGTGGCCAGGGTGCCGGCCGCACTTGGGAGTGGAGAGGGCGTGATCCTGCCTGTCTCTCTCCTCTCGGCGCCCAGCGTACTCCCCCCGGGACCAGCGCCGGGCAGGGACTGAGGCTGTTTTGTCAGCCCCTGTCCTTTCCAAGCGCTACTTGGAGACTCCCCTTGGGCCTGGCAGGGTACATGCGTGTCACAAGCCAGAGAGCCCTGAGGCAGCCCTGCTCAGCGGGGCGGGGGACGCGGGCCTCGAGGGCGGCGGCTGCTGGAGGGAGTGTGGCTGTGTCGCCACTGCAGGCGCTGGAGATGTACAAGGACGACTGGAACAAGGTGTCCGAGCATGTGGGCAGCCGCACGCAGGATGAGTGCATCTTGCATTTCCTCCGGCTTCCCATCGAAGACCCGTACCTGGAGGACTCGCAGGCCTCCCTGGGCCCCCTGGCCTACCAGCCCATCCCCTTCAGCCAGTCAGGCAACCCTGTGATGAGCACCGTTGCCTTCCTGGCCTCTGTCGTCGACCCTCGAGTGGCCTCAGCTGCTGCGAAGTCAGCCCTAGGTAACGCGCAGGGCTGCCAGCCCTCTTGGTTTGCATTGGAAAGGCTAGGTACTCTGACCGTGGAACCCCCTCAAGTTCACTCCCCCACTGGCCTTGTCTGCGGCTGGCATCAGCCCAGGCAACGGTCCAGCTCCATGCAGGTGGAGAGGAAGAGCTGGGCTTGTGAGGGAGCTCTCACACAGAGTGCCAGAACTGCCTGCCTGCCTGCTCCCAGCCTCCCCCTGTTTGGGTCTTACAGAAGAGTTCTCCAAAATGAAGGAAGAGGTCCCCACAGCTTTGGTGGAGGCCCACGTTAGGAAAGTGGAAGAAGCTGCCAAAGTGACAGGCAAGGCGGACCCAGCCTTTGGTCTGGAAAGCAGTGGCATCGCAGGGACCACCTCCGATGAGCCGGAGAGGATCGGTAAGGCCTGCCGTGTTCCCCATTTCCTCCCTTTTTACCAGCAGCCTCAGCCGCCTGGCCTCCCCACACCATCCCTGCCTCCACCCGACCTCAGAGCGTGAGACGAATGGGGTGAGTTGGTGGGGCTTTACTTTAGGTACCGTGGCTTCCCGCTGGTTCTCTCAGTAAGATCTTGGCTAGAAGGGGCAGTTGGGAGAGTGTGGTAGACCAGCTGTCAGACATTTCCTGTTTCCTCTTCCCCTGGACCCAGAGGAGAGCGGGACTGACGAGGCGCGGGCGGAGGGCCAGGCCACAGAGGATAAGAAGGAACCCAAGGTACAGCGGGATTGACACGGGCTGGGAAGGCAGAAGGGTCCGGCGTGGACCAGGGAAGGGGAGCCGGCTCCACTTAGCTTGGGCAGGCAAGGGCTGGGCTCGGATGGGGCTGCGTCCTGGATCCAGATCCCCTCCCCAGTGAGAGGTGTAAACTCAGCTCCTGTTCTGGGCTCTGTGTGCGAACCAGCACCCTGACACTCCCCTTTTTCCTTTCCCTGGGACTCCAGGAACCTCGAGAAGGAGTTGGGATTGCGGAGGAAGAAGCAAAGGAGAAGACCAGTGAGCCACCCAAGAAGGACGATGAGAAGGGGAAAGACGGCGACAGCGAGAAGGAGTCAGAGAAGGGCGACGGAGACCCGACAGGTGAGCCGCGCGCGGTGGTCGGGGTTCAGAAAGAAGCCAGGCTCAGGGCTCACAGCCCTCTCCCCGGCCCAGCGGATCCTGAGAAGCAGAAGGAGCCCAAGGAGGGCCAGGAGGAGGTGCTGAAAGAAGCCGCGGAGTCGGAGGGGGAGCGGAAGACGAAGGTGGAGCGTGACATCGGCGAGGGCAACCTCTCCACTGCCGCCGCCGCCGCCCTGGCTGCCGCTGCCGTGAAGGCCAAGGTGAGGCCCGGACCCAGGGAAGGAGGTGCCGCTCCTCATCGCACGTCCCCTGGCGGAGAGCCTACCTTGTCATCCTTACCCAGTGCTGGCCTGCCTCCTGCCCCTTTCGGATCCTGAGAGGGACAGTTGGTCATCTCTTCTCTCATCTTTTTTAAGCCTTTATCATTAGGCCTGTTTTGTTTCTTGTTTGCAACTTTTTTATTGTAAAACATTTTACTTATTTGGCCGCACTCTGTCTTCGTTGCGGCATGTTGCAGAGCACAGGCTCTGGAGCGAGAAGGCTGCAGTAACCGTAGCTCACGGGCGCTGGTTGTGGCACTTGGGGCCATGGGCTGACTTGCCCCACGACCTACGGGGTGTTAATTCCCCGACCAGCGATCGAACCCACATGCTCTGCATTGGAAGGTGGATTCTTAACCAGACCACCGGGGAAGTCCCGAATGGGCCTGTCTTCACCCTCTCGATTATTTGACCATGTCTTGGCCTTTGGTATCCTCTCTCTTTTTTCATGTTCTTTTAAAAATACCACTCAAGCCTGTGCCACTCTCTGGGCTGTGACCACAGCAAGTTCTGTCTTAAATCCTGTCAGCCCCCACCCCGCCCTTCTCTGTGGCCCAGCGTCTTCAGCTGGGTCCTCCCGCTGATGGCCACCCCGCCCCTCCTTCCTTAGCACTTGGCTGCCGTTGAGGAGAGGAAGATCAAATCTCTGGTGGCCCTGCTGGTGGAGACCCAGATGAAAAAGCTGGAAATCAAACTCCGGCACTTTGAGGAGCTAGAGACGATCATGGACCGGGAGCGGGAAGCGGTGAGTCAAGTCCCTGGGGGGTGGCGGGGCCCCACGTTGGCGCTGGGCTGGGCCTCGGTTTAGGGCGAGGGGAGCAGCAATACAGGGAACCCGAGGCCGGCAGGGGACCCCGGCGGAGCAGACCCGGGCAGCAGGAGCCGGCCCGGGCGGCCCGGGACGCGTGACCCACAGGCACAGCCCGGAGACTGAGGCCCCGCAGAGCGTCAGCCCCAGGGCCAAGTTCTTGTTGGTTCTTTGCTGCATCTCCAGGTCCTGTAGTCTGCTTAGTCCACGGTAGACTTGACACGGAGTGATTGTTGAGTGAGTGGACAGGTTTAAGGCACGATGAGAGGGGTAAGGGCTTCAGGTTAGGGGGTTGAAGTCAGGGAATAGGATGGACATGGTGTCGAATCATTTTGATTCTTAGAAGATATAAAAGAAGTAAAAAGACAAGGACCCTGATCCTGAGCTCCTCAATTGAAGATATCAGATATCCCATATGGAGACGTCAAAGTTGGTTAATGCTTCAAGTATCTGACAAATGCAAATTAAGAGATTTCCAATCCAGTATTAAAGTCTGAGTGAGAGCAGAATAAAGGCCAAAGCCCAGAGGCCAGTGAGGAGGTTTGGGAGGGCTTCCTAAGAATTGTGTTTTTCTTCAGTTTTGAAGGAGGGAAAGAACATGATTTGACTAGAGGAACTTGGTTGGGGAGGAGTCAGTTTCCAGATGAAAGTAATGACAGATTCAAAGCTTTGGAGCTAAAAATGAACAAGGGCTACCATCAGATTAAGTCCACTTGTCCGCTGCAGTGAGAAGCCATGCGGGCCGCCGGAAAACCGGGTGGGGGGATCTGGAGAGGGGAGGGGAGGCGAGAGCAACGGAAGCCAGGCGCGAGGCTGCGGTTTGGTGTGGGGATCGCCGCAGTGGGAGGCTGGGCTTGTCAGAAGACAAAGTCGGGGGCAAGGTGTGCGCCTTGGGCTTCCTGCCGCTGGCTGACAGCTCCCCATCCTCCCGGCAGCTGGAGTACCAGAGGCAGCAGCTGCTGGCCGACAGACAAGCCTTCCACATGGAGCAGCTGAAGTACGCGGAGATGCGGGCCCGGCAGCAGCACTTCCAGCAGATGCACCAGCAGCCGCCGCCGCCGCCGCCGGCCCTGCCCCCAGGCTCCCAGCCGGTCCCGCCTCCAGGCACCGCTGGGCCCCCCGCTGTCCACGGCTTGGCCATGGCTCCAGCCTCTGTGGCCCCGGCCCCTGCGGGCAGTGGGGCCCCTCCTGGAAGCTTGGGGCCCTCCGAACAGCTCGGGCAGGCAGGGTCAACTGTGGGGCCACAGCAGCAGCCACCAGCTGGAGCCCCGCAGCCTGGGGCCGTCCCACCAGGGGTACCGCCCCCTGGACCCCATGGTGAGCGAGGGCTCCTGAAACTCTGGCTGAGTGGCGGGGTCTGGGGGAATGTTCCAGTTCTCAGAGGCAGTGTGTGATAGGGCTGGAGATAAGGATTGACCTCAGTTACAGATCCTCCTTCACCGTGGCTATTCCCTAAGTCAACAGGGCTCCCTCCCCCGAGCCAGATTTTTGGAATTTTGTTCCAAGGATTTATCACTCAGTTCTAGTATCAGGAAAAGGGAAGGTGGTGACTCGGAGTGACTGGGTTATCCTCACTGTGAGAGTGAGTTGGTGAGTAAGATCGTATGTCTCCAATCTTCTCCATCTCTCCGCTTCATTCCCAGGCCCCTCACCGTTCCCCAACCAACAAACTCCCTCAGTGATGCCAGGGGCAGTGCCGGGCAGCGGGCACCCAGGCGTGGCGGGTAATGCTCCTTTGGGTTTGCCTTTCGGCATGCCGCCTCCCCCTCCCGCATCATCCGTCATCCCGTTTGGTAGCCTAGCCGACTCCATCAGTATTAACCTCCCCCCTCCTCCTAACCTGCATGGGCATCACCACCATCTCCCGTTCGCCCCGGCCACGCTCCCCCCACCTAACCTGCCTGTGTCCATGGCGAACCCTCCACACCCTAACCTGCCGGCGACCACCACCATGCCATCTTTGCCTCTCGGGCCGGGGCTCGGATCCGCCGCAGCCCAGAGCCCTGCCATTGTGGCGGCTGTTCAGGGCAACCTGCTGCCCACTGCCAGCCCGCTGCCAGGTGAGGAGGGCCCTGCAGGGACGCGGGGGGCGGGGTCCCCGGGGCGGGGCGGAGGGCAGGTGGGGAGGGGCTCGGGGACCGGGGCTGCCAGGACCCTGTTTTTGAACGCTGTGGTGAAATTAGAACACAGGAGGGAAGGGCCTCTCTGGCTGTCCCCCACCATTCCCCAGCCTGGCAGCTGCCCCCTGGGATGACGCTGGGGCCTTCCACTGGTGGGTCCTGGAGGAGTCCTGTGACAGAGCATCTCAGTTGTAAACTGGAAAATCAGCTCCTTGTTTGCATGACGTTTGCTTGTCCCCATCACGCTCAGGTGCCCCATGTAGAGTTCCCTTGGGGGGCAGGAGGACAGTTAGGGGCGCAGCAGCTCTCCCAGTGTGTGGCAGGAGAGGGCGCTGGGAAAAGGAAGCTCTCCATCGTGGGCACTCTCATCTCCGTCCATCGCATGCCACGCCCAGCTGTGTGTCTGGTGGCCTGAATCTGGACCCTCTCTCCTGCTCACCTCAGCTGATGCAACTTTCTTCTCTCCACAGACCCAGGCACCCCCCTGCCTCCAGACCCCACGGCCCCGAGCCCAGGCACAGTCACCCCCGTGCCACCCCCACAGTGAGGAGCCGCGTGACATCTCTCTCCCTTCTCACCCCCCACGGAGATCAAGGTTCCAGGAACAGCCCCGTCCCCACCACTGGGACCCTTCCCCAGCCGGGAGAGTTCGTCACTACGTAAGAAAGTCCTCCTGCCCCTCCAGAGCCCCCACCGTGCCTGTCAGGGGCATGCGTTTTTATATTGGATGATTCAAGGACTTCTGTGGAAAAGATGTTTCTAATGTCTGGGAGAGAAGATAGGATGGGGACGCTGCCCTCAAAGGAAGGGCTGGGGAAGGTCTTAATTAACCACTGTTAAGGGTACATCCCCACAAACTACTGCATTTTTTATGGATTGGGAAAAAAAAAAAAGCCCTTTAAAAGGAAGTAGAGATTTAAAAAAGCCCTCCAACCAGTGAGAAAAATCCAACTTGCATTTTTTGGAGGAGGGAGGCGAGTTTTAGGGACGGGGCATCTAGGTTCTGGGGAGAGCTCTGATAGAATAGTGGCAGGGTCTGTCTCCTCCAGCCCTCCTTAGCGAGTCAGCCCCCACCCGCTTGGCTGCCGTTTATTCCCACTCCTGTCTCCTTCCTCAGTGTCCTGTTTAGGCCCCCCCCGGCTCAGCCAGTGACCCCGTTCCCTCTGAATGTCAGTTTTGTGTTTTTAAAGTCTCCTGCGTAGTAGATGTCAGCGTATGTCTATTTGGTGGGGAAACGTCTCGGGAATTCCTGTGGTAGGTGGTGGAGAAGAAGGGGCACGTGGGGCTGTGTGGCCTCCTCCCAGGCCTGATTCCCGGAAGATGCAGAGAGGGGAGCACCAAAAGAATGGGAAGTTTTTAAAACGTGGGATTGTCAAAAAAGCACTTAAGCACCTCTTTCTTAGAGGGACGTGGTGGGTCCCTCTGTCGCCTCTTCCCTCCCACCGTGACTGACGTGGCTGGTGGTGGGCAATTCCCTGGGATTTGGGGTGGCAGCTGGGCACGGGGGCCTGGCCTGGGGGCGTGCCAACCCTCCGATGGCAGCGCGTGCTCAGCTCTGCTCCCCAGATTGCAGCACCCCGAGTACCAGCCGTCCCCTCTTCACCCCTGATGTGAAGACAGCAGTGATCCCAAGGCTCTCTGCCGATTCTCGGTCCCTCCCGCCAGGCCCTTTGTTCCTCATGTCCCCGTTTCTCCTCCTCTGCGTCTTGGCACCTTTCTTCTGTTCGAAAGTTTTCTGTAAATTTTTTTTTCTTTTCCCCTTTTTTTTTTATAAATTAATTTGCTTTCTGTTCCATCTTGTGGATGCCTTCTGTGTTGCCTTACCCGTGGCAGTGAGGCAGGGGGATGGGCGGGAGGCAGCAGCCGGGAGTCCTTCCAGCAGCATTGGGCAGGGCCGCAGAGATGCCCGGCCAGCACCGGGCCAAAGGCAGACCAGCTGTCCGGGCTGGACAACTGCACGAGCTGGGGAGAGGCTCTCACCTGCTCTAAAAATAGCCATTTAAGATTTGGAAGGACATCTCACAACCTGGAAATTTTGTCTATTTATCCTTTCAGAAGTGGTGGCTTCATGTCTTCCCTTATTAGGCGGGAGAAGGCAGGCATCTCAGCTGCTTGTTATTGTTGGCCCTGGGCCTCGCTGAAGTGACAGGCCCAGGCAGTACTAATATGGCCTGACTTTCGCCCCAGTAAACACTTCCCGGGCTCCCTGACAAGAGGCCTTCCATGGCGGGGAGGGCTAGGAGAGGACTCAGCCCCACATGGGATGGGATAAGGGTGGCCAGCCTTCGTTCTGCGGGCATTTATGGCTTTCCTAACCGTCCCAGTGCAGCCTTTGTAGCACCGATGAGTGAAGCCAGCATTTCTTAACTGAGGCAGAGGTGGCTCCTTACAGGCCCTAGGCTGGCTTTCCCCAGCCTCTGCTCCACTGACCCGGGACAGTGTTCCCTCTCACCCTGCTCAGGAAGAATAGCAGAACTGCACATAGAGCAGAGAACAAGTTTATTTGGTGAATGCTGATGGCAGACATATCCAAGAGAGAGAATCTGGGGAAAATACTGTGACAAGAGAGCCTAGGAAGCCTCAGGCTACATAGTCTCCCACAAGGACGGTGCAGTGCCCACGCACACTGGGGACATCCTCAGCCATTCAGCACCATGCGGACAAGCTCTGTGGAGAGGAGAGGGGGGTGAACCAGGAGCGGGGCGAAGGGGAGGGGTCCGCCAGGGGCCGGGAGACCACAAGACCACAGAGGCAGCGTAAGAAGGAATGTGCCCACCGCACATTCAGCTTGCAGAGGGGCCACCTGGAGTCTGACCAGTACTCTCGACCCCCAGCCCCCCTCCCACCGGCTGTCAGTCCCCCCGCCCCACCCCGAGCAGCAAGAACACAGCAGAGGCGGAAGAGTTCCCGACTACGCCTACAGCTACTGCCAGCCACTGGTGGGAGGAGGAGACAGAGTTTTGGGTTAGGGTACCTCCAAGCTGCCCAGCAGAAAGAAGGGGAAAAGATCTACAGCAGCACGATGGGGCAGGCAACCCAAGCCCCCCGCCCTCCACGTGATTCCGGGCTAAAGGACCACCATGAAGCCAGACGGGTAGGTAGGCTGGTGTGAGTTCCCGGACACCAGCGCCCCAGAAGCCACCCAGACCTCAGAGCCCGTTCCAGGAGAGCGGGAGGTACCAGCCCCCAGGCTGTCCTCCTCGTCCCCTCCCCAGTCAGCTCCATGCAGAGGCATGCCGGGAGGAGGAAGTCAGATGGTGAGGGGGGAGGGCAAAGGCTGGGGAGAAACCCACGGGGAAGGGCAACTAGGGGAGGGCGCTGGGAGAGCCGTACCCGCCCCACGGGCCCGTCACCCCGACAGGATATGCCTCACAAACGCTGCAGGAAGGAAGAGACATGGTGAAGACAAGACACAGGCGTGGGGTGGAGGGGTCAGGCGGCCAGGGGCTAGACATCCCTTTGTTTTCACCTCCCACCCCTTACCCACCCTGCAGGCCCTGGGAGTCCTTCCCTTCCGGTCACAACCCCCTGGCTCCCATTCCTGGCTGGGCTGGGCCCTGCCCGTGCCCCCTGGCACTTTTTTAGGAGCCTGAATCCAGGATGGGGAAAGCCCCCAGTGCTGTGTGTGACCTGCCCCGTGAGACCCCGGTTCGTCCCTCACCTTCGTAGTTGATACAACCGTTGCTGTCCTCGTGCCCTGCCACCAGCATCTCTACTTCTTCCTCTGTCATCTTCTCACCTGCAGAGGGGAAGGGAGCACGCGCGTTCTGGGGCCAGCTGACACGGGGGGTCTAGCAGCTGGCACCTGAGGAAGGGCAGAGGCTCACCCAGTGTGACGAGGACGTGCCGGATCTCAGCGCCCATGACGGTGCCGTTCCCTTCCTTGTCAAACACCCGAAGGCCTTCCACATAGTCCTCGTAGGTGCCCTGGTCCTTGTTTTTGGCCACAGTCTGCAGCATGGGCAGGAAGTGCTCAAAGTCCAGCACCTTCACGTTCATCTCTGCCAAAAAGAAGCAGAAGCTAAGCCGTGTGTGTTCTCAGGACTGGGGGCTAAGGGACCCCCGCTCCAGGCAGGAATCTGTGGGGTTTGCTAGACAAGACCCGCTCTCGTCTGGGGCCTAGGAAGATAAAAGGGAGCCATGAGCTGAAGACGGCAGGCCCACCGCCACACTGCGGAGTTGTTCTGAAGGAGCCTCACCATCGCTCTTGGGGTTCCCCAGGACTTTGAGCACCTCGGCGTTGGTGGGGTTCTGGCCCAGGGCCCTCATCACGTCCCCACACTGACTGTACAGGATCTTGCCGTCCCCCGTTCGGTCAAACAGCTGGAAGGCCTCCTTGAACTCTGAGGATTCAGATCAGTATCAGTACGGGGCCCATGGGCGTTAACCCCAACCCTCCTCCACAGTCCCCACTGCCCATTCAACTCTGATCATGCTGATGAAATCAAATATTTACAACACTGTACACTCAAGCCCTCTGAGAGGGATCCAGTGTCTGCTCCTCCCAACTCAGGTGTCCCACACAAAGACCTGGCCTTCCTCAACCCTTAGCAGAGTGGTAACGGCCACTTGCGTACCCTCTCCGCCTGCAGCAAGCCTGCCCAGCCTCCTCATTACACAACTCAGGGCAGGAATTTGCCACCGCCCAGTCTGGGCCCTGTCCTTATAAGGAAGCGGGAGCAGCGTCCTGGGGCTGGGATGACCCCAGCCTGCTGCTTCTCCCCCCCGCAGTACCGGGTCCTTTCACAGGGCACTGCTACAAAGAAGTACCCTCAGCAAACTCCCCTGTCGCACTTCCACAGTGAAACAGGTCCCTGCTGTTTACAGCCTTCACAGTTCCAAGCTGAGGGGAGGGGTGGTTATCACGGGAGGAAGAGGCAGAAGTAGCTGATTAAGGAACAGAGGAGCACAAGCAGCTTAACACACCGTCCCCAAGCCCCCCACACAGCAGGCCTCGGTGATCAAGTTGCTTCACACACCCACAGCGCCTGCAACTCACCCAGTGCTTGGGGCTCAGATCTAGAGTAGAAGGGAAGGGAGGAAGAAAGAGTGAGAGAAGAAAATGCAAGACCCAGAAGGAAGGAGAACGGAACCCAGAGGTGCTCCCCTGGGGGTGCTGCAGAGAAGGCAGGTGGGGGTGAGGGAGCTCGAGGGCGTGTCCCTCTCCCTAACTTGACCTCGGCGGGGGTCAGAGATGGCCTACCTGCGGTCTGATCCTCGGTGAAGTCACACTGCTCGGAGAAGACGAGGGTGGTCAGCATCTTAAGTCCAGTCCCCCCAGCTTCCGTCCCGGTCCCAAGAACTCAGAACCGCAAACTCCTGTTCCGCGCGGGGGGCTCGCTTCCCGGCAGGGCGGGACCCCAGACACTCCAACCCCACCGCCCACCCTCGAGGGCCTCAGGCGCATTTACCCGCTACTCTCTGCCCGTTCCCCGCCCCCTCCCCCCGGCTCCCCGCCTCTCGCCACAAATCCCGCTCATCCCCGCGGCGCCGGGCCCACCATCTTGACGCTCGGCTCTGCGGGGCCTTTTCCTGCAGTAATGGCTCCGGCTCCTGGCCCAACCCTAGCCTTAGCGCGTCCCGATGACGTCACCCGGCTGGCCCAGCCAATGGGGACCCTGGCCCGGGTTTATGCAGACGGCGTTGCTGCGTTAGTAATGAGGTGGGCGGGGCCGGCTGCTGTCCTAGTCTCCAGAATGGCCCCACCTGGGGCATAGAAACTGCAGAACGAGGTGGAATGGGGCGCGAGGGCTCTGCTCCTCCGAGCAGCGAGAAAGTCAGAGGAGGTCGCACTGGTGCGTGCGGGTGGGAACAGGAGAGCCTTCTCTTTCCCTCCCCCACCTCTAAAGAAAGCAGGAGTCGGAAGCTAAGGGAGGAAACGTCTCTTTATTTTGAAACAATAGCCTCCTAGCGGCAGGAACGTGCTTTTGCCTGGTGGGGGCCCAGCGTCCGACCCCACTGCACCTGTGGAAAAAGATGAACGTTGCCAAATCCTGCCGCTCTCGCGCAGCAAGACACGGAAACGCGCTTCCCTGCTCTTGTACGCAGGCAGAAGGTCAGGAAGGAGGCTTGCCTCTCAAGGCGCAGTGAGAGCGCCCTACCTGCATTGCTCAGACGCTTAGGATGTGCTTCAGGAAGGCTGCAGAGAGAAGAGGCAAGAGGGGCTTCAGACGCTGGCCTGATGCTAACCCATCTGACTTCAGATAATTCAGGCTCCAGGATGCCTCCACCCACTTACCTCGGGCCTCCGCCTCCCTCCTCCCCCCTCCCCAGTCGTTTCTGCTCCTCTGGCCCCTCACCTTCATAGTTGATGCAGCCACTGCTGTCCTCGTGCCCTGCCAAAACAGACTCCACCTCCTCTTCAGTCATCCTCTCTCCTGGGTCCAGACACACACAATGTTTTAGCCCCTGCCTTCCCTCCCTCATCAACCCACACCTCTTTCTTCTGGTGGTACCTCCTCTTCTCCCACCCTGGAGACTTGCCCATAGCAACAGTCCCCCAAGAGAATTCCCTCTTTGTAGTGGGCATGCCTTGAATGTGTCTCTGCATCTTGCTTTACATTTCGCCTCAATTATAGGTGGTGAAAGCTTTGACAGACAAGGAAACTGAATTCTAGAGGATTAAGAAACAGACCATATCATAGAGTACAGTCATCTCTTCTCAAGACTGAAACTCAGATTCCCCGCCTCTTTCCCTTTCCTCCGCCCTTTGGGAGGCACTTAGACTGAAGGAGGAAGACCTTCAGATCCTGTCCCTCAGGCTCTGACCTTCTCAGGCTCCCGCCCATGCCCTACAGGACAGTAATCCCTCACTGGCTCTGCCTACTGGGCTACCCTTCTTAGTTCATCCCCTCCTCTCCACACCGCCAGGCGTTCTGGTGCCTGCCTCACCCAGGGTGGTGAGGACATGTCTGAGCTCAGCTCCCATGACTTTGCCGTTCTGTTCTTTGTCAAACACCCGAAGCCCCTCCAGGTAGTCCTGGTATGAGCCTCGGTCTGGCATCTTGGCGACAGCCTGGAGCATGGGCAGGAAGGTCTCAAAGTCCACACGCCGGGACTTCAGCTCTGAGATGGAGGCGAAGGAGAGGTTACCACGGTGTCACCTAGGACCCGACTCCCATCCCCACCATGAAGGGTTTCAGCCATTCAGCATTCAGATAGTTTTCTGCCCTTATGTTTGACAGTTTTTAAAGTCCTGGGACCCACCTCAGCATCCTTTATCACCTTACCAACATTCCACCACCAAACTGAAAACCCTCATCATCCCAGAGGTGCCCTCACCATCACTCTTGGGGTATCCCATGACCCTGAGCACCTCGGCGTTGGTGGGGTTCTGGCCCAGAGCCCTCATCACGTCCCCACACTGGCTGAACTGGATCTTGCCGTCCCCCACTCGGTCATACAGTTCGAAGGCCTCCTTGAACTCTGGAGTGTAACGAGAGCTCAGTGTTGACAAGGGGCTCCCATCACTACCAGGAGAGAGGAAATTCAGAAACAATGTGCTCGAGCTGGGCAGAGCAGAGAACGCAAGGAGCATGAGTGTGGGAGGTTTCAAGGTCAGGAATGGAGGTAGGGGATTAGACAGAGGATCTGACTAGGGGCTGGGGATGGCCAGTGGGCTCAGGGGCGTCTCCTCACCCTCCAGCTGGTCCTTGTTAAACTCGATCTGTGGAAGAGAAGAGCAGGTGAGGAGAGATGACAGGACTCACTCAATCCCTCTCCAGCACTCCTCCCGACCAACTGGCAGCCACTTCTGGGAAGGGGCCCGTAGGGACCAGGCTGGGAACCCAGCCACCGCAGTCCCATTCCCAGCTCCAGAACTTGGGAGAATCCCAAGAGGAGGAATTATTGGGGGGAGGGTTTCCTGGGAACAGGGTTAATCCCATGCCACCTGTTCCCCTCCCTCTCCTGCCCTGAGCCCTGCATCCCTCACATAACTGGGGGCTGAACAAAGGCTAAATTTACCCCTGGCCCCCAGCTGTGATTGTCTAACAAGTCTGTCCTCTTCAGCCTTCCCTCCTGGGGTTCAGAGCTGTGGCTTTTCATATTGAATAGTCAGACAGGCACAGGCGGCAGCTCCCCCCTTTCGCCTTGAAACTGTGCTGAGAACCCAGATGTTCCCCATCTTACAGGCTCTGCCTCCAGCAGGACAGTCAGTGACAAAACGATGTACATACACACGTGTTATCGGTTAGAGGCAGAGAGCAACAAAGACAAGACTCATTAAGTTTAGATGCTTCCAAGCGGGGGTACTAAGAAAACCCCCACCATCGTCCAGTGCTTACTGATTCCCTACCTTCTAGATACCCGTAGTCCCCTAGGCTGTATCCCACTGGTGTACCAACCCCTCCATTCTTTTCTCACTTTTCAGGGACTTACCACCACTTTGGAGAGATCGATGGGGGGCTCCTGGGGTTTCGCAGGTTTCTCAAGGATTAGAGGGGCAGGTGGTGGTAGCTCAACCTTGGATGGAGGGGGCCCTACTGCGGGCTTAGCAGCAGGCTTGGAGGCAGCAGGGGGCCCCACTGGTTTCTTCACGGGAACATCCTTCTTGGGAGGCATGATGTCGGGTGGCCAAAGGACAGTGTGCCGATGGGGGCACCCATCTCTGTTTAAATAGTCAGGGAGTCTGGGATGTCAAGGGGCGGGGGCAGGGGCAGGGAGCCAGCTGGCTGGGCGGAGGGTGAGATAGAGGAGAGAGATGCCGGCTGCCCTCGTTCCTCTGGCCTCGTGTGGTTCAGGATTCCTGCCCCAAGGTCTTCTCCGTTCTGTCCACCCTGCCCCAAATGCTGACCAGAACAATGGCCCTTTGGGGGCAGGGGGAGGAAGGCAGAGACAGCCCAGAACGGGGGAGTTAACTTTCAGGGTGCAGATAGGAGGGTTGCCAGGGACAAACTGAAGCAGGGGTGAGGAAAAGAAGGGGCCCAAGAAAATTCCGACCCCCTGACTGGAAACAGACCTTTTTCCTAGCAGCTTTAGATTCTTGAAGATGGAGGCAAGGATGGGGGCCTTATTAAAGTGGGGTCTGGGAGTAGTGAAAGGGGAAAAAGACAAGCAGCCCTTCCACTTCCCTCTTCCTATGGATGAGGGGCAGGGTGGTTCACCCCACAGCTTATAATACTCCGTGCCTCAAGTCCCTCCCTCCCAGCCCAGAACTGGAACTGTGCACTGCCCCATACGGAGAGAGTAACAGAAGGGTGTGACTCCCACCCACTGTCTCCCATCCCTAGTGTTGTTTTAGGAGTGGGGATGGAGGGAAGGATTGAGTTTAATACCCATCACCCATACTCCGAAGAAAGGAGCCCTTGTCCACAAGCCTATGGTCATTTAAGTCAGACAAAGGCGGGCTGCCTGCTGAACCTGCAGGGACTCCATGGTGGCACCTGAGGGGAAAGGCAGCTCTGAGAGGCAAAAGGCCTGATTTCTAAAATCTCTAATCCAGAAAGATGTGCGAGGTCCTCTGGGCTCCATGAGTATTCAACCCTCAACCAGAAGGAGAATAAAACCCTGACTTGGCAGTCAGGTTGCAAACCTTGCTGGGGGCACTGGGGAAAGGTGGAAGTCAGGGGAGGGTTTGCTGGTTATTTTTGTACTGGGGTAAAGAAGGCGATGATTTAGATAGCATTCTGAGAAAGACAGCAGTGATTCCATTTAGGGGTTTAGAGAGTTGATGCTGGGTCTCCTACTCGCAAAAAAAACCCATCTGAACCTCGTTACTGCAAATCGTCTCATTTTAGGAAAATCAGAATCTTTCCTCTAGCCAGGAGTACATCTCACGCACATACACACACATACCCCTACACACACCCCCCCTAAGCCTTAAATAAAGGAAAGAGCCACCTCCCCAGCGCCCCAAAACTCACCCTGCGGGGCCCAGGTAAGGGGCGGAGGCGGGGCGCAGCGCAGCCGCGGGCCCTGAAAGGGTTAATTTCTGCGGCCTCGGAGCATGCCGGGAGATGTAGTCCTCGCGCGCCCGCGGGCTCACGGGAAGCACCGCGGGGAGGCTCAGGGAGGATGCTGGCGCAGTGACTTCCGGCCCGCGGCGGCGGTCGGTGACTCAGGTTTTGGGGGTGCGATTTTTGTCCCAGGAGCGGAAGGCTGTGAGCCTTTTACAGCCCCCGTCCCCGGCCGTAAGACCGTGCGTGGCCCCTCAGGATAGCTCCTTTTCTTGGCTCTGAGTTCCCCGCTGAGTGTGGGCGCGGATTTATTCCTGAATCCACCGGGAAGAGCGCAGAACGAGGGGGAAAAGGCTGCAGCTGCCGCAGGCCGGATGGAGGTCGGATAGTAGGAAGCACTTACTCCCTCGGGCATAATGGTTCGGCCTTTTTAGCGTCCTCTTACTCTTTGGTGGAAAGAGAACAGAAGCCGTTGAGTTGCCTTGTGACTTGGAACAGTCAACTGAAGCTTTTCGTTTTTTTAAAAATGAACTGGTAGTTGAAGTGTTAAACTTTGGAATTAAGCCGGGTCACCTGCCCTAGTCGCTCTAAGTTAAAATTTCCCCATTAAGCGGCAGCGTCTGTACCAGCTTCCCTGTCGTTTCTTCACAGGTCTTGGAATGCAGGGCTGGCTTCTCCAGCCTTTGACTATGAGAAGTCTCTGCCCAGCATTGGACATCGCTTTCCCGCAGATGGTTGTTGGTTTTAGATTTTTTTTAAAAAATTGAGGTATAGGTGTACAAATGTAAGTTTGAGGTGTACTACATAGTGACTCACAGTTTTTAAAGGTTATACTCTACTTATAGTTGTTATAAATTTTGGCTGTATTCCCTGCGTTGTACTTCCCCCAGATGATTATCAGAGTTCCTGTTTGTGCTTGGAGGGAGCCAGTCCAGGCAAGCCTGACTTCACTGACTGAACCAGTAAATGCCCTGGTCGCTCACACAGTGCCGGACTTCGGGGCTTGCCTGCATGGGCAAGCAGTGGGTCGGAGAAGAAAACTCACCCACCGGAGCTCAGTAGTGTGAGGCAAAAGTGAGCTTATGGGCAGTGCAGAAGTGATACTTGCTGGTTGGGGAAAGCTTCTTGGAAGACCAGAAACGGGTAGTGTAACAGAAACAACAATGGGGAGGGTGTTAGCAACTATTCTGGAGGTTTCAGTAGAGCAGGTACTGATGTGAACCATAGGGGGTGCTAAAGAGTGTGGACTAAGACGAGCCTGCTTAGATTTGGGGGTGGGGAGGGGTTTCTGTATGTTTAAATTTGAATCCAGATTCTGCCACATACAAGCAAGTTCAGTAATCAATAATACCTAACCTTTAGTTCTGTTGGGAGGGTTCAGTGTGTTAATTCTTGTAAGACAGAATGGACCAGGCACAGAGTAAATGATTTGTTAGCTAAACTTCCTTTACCCTTCCCAACATATGAAGTAGTTGGTATTTCCTCTTTTTTCATCCATGAAAGATGACTAGGCATGAACAGATGAAAAGCAAGAAAGAATACATTTGTCTTAAGTGTTTGGTTACAAGACTGTTTGGGGGAGGGCCACATCAAAGATGACCTTTTGTGTCTTTCATCACTTCCACAGAAGTTGATTTTGAAGATGGTTTATCTGATTTTTTTTCTCCTTCCCCTTTATAATTGCCCTTTGGCAGTTGGCCAAGGAGAAGTGCTTATGGCATCATCTGACTCTCTAGCATTTTGTCTGATTTATAGATAAGCGGTGCAAGAAGAAAAGATGAAGTCCCTTGGCAAATCAAGCTGGAGGACTATGCTTCCTTTTATGTATTATCTCTGTCTTTTAATCATAAATAACACAAACCAGGCTGAACGTGGTCTTAGCTGGGCATAGGTGATTCACGCGTCATGTGTCTGGGCTTTGGTGACAAATGCCCAGCTCTTCTCCCCTGCGCCACCTGGGCTGTGACTTGTGTGTCCGTAAGGATTGCGTGTTCTATTAGTCAAGCCCAAATAATTAGGGAGCGCAGAGCTGTTTAAAATACAGTTTTAAAGGTCACTTTCCAATTACAGTCATTGCAAAGTATTGGCTCTATTCCCCATGTTCTAAAGCGTATGCTTGAGCGTGTCTTACACCCATTGTTTGCACCTGCCGCTCCCCTCCCCTGAGCTGCCCCTCCCCCTCCCTACTAGTGACCACTGGTTTCTTCTCTGTGTCTGTCTGTCTCTTTTTTGTTATGTTCACTGATTTGTTGTATTTTTTAGATTCCACATCTAAGTGATACCATACAGTCTTTCTCTGAGATGCTTCACTTAATGTAATGCCTTCCAAGTCCATCCATGTTGCGGCAGGTGACAAAATTTCATTCTTTTTGTGGCTGAGTAGTATTCCATTGTGTGTGTGTGTACACACCACATCTTGTTCCACTCGTCTGTTAATGGACACTTCAGTTGCTGCTGTATTCTTGACAGTTTTAAATAATGCTGCTGTGAACACTGGGGCATTGATTTTGGGGTTTTTTTAAATATATACCCAAGAGTGGGATTGCTCGGTCATATGGTAACTCTATTTTCAGCCTTTTGAGAAACTTCTGTACTGTTTGTCATAGTGGCTGCATCAATTTACATTCCTGCCAATGGTGTACAAGGGTTCTCTTTTCTTCACATCTTCTCCAGCGCTTTTATTTGTGTTCTTTTTGATGTTAGCCATTCAGACAGTATGAGGTGAGGTTGGGCACAGCTTATGAAAGGTCTGCCTTTTAATGTGTTTCTGGAGTTACACGGCACTGTGTAGATCCTTAGTAACTTGAATAACTGTGGTTTCACCCTATACACCTTAGCTAGCTCTTTCACCGGTGACTCATGTGTTAAGATGGATAATAGTTTAGGTAGAGAGACCCCAGTTTCCTCAGTAAGTAGGAAGTATGTCTTCAGTCCTCTGGCATTTTGATCGGAAAGTGGTGCTGGTGGTGATGCATGATAGAGGAGGGAGGATGATGAGGCTGTTTCATGATACACAGGTCATTTATGAAGTCCTTTCTAAGACCCATTTTTATAGATGCATACTAGATGACACATATAAACAGAAAGATAGGTTTTCTGGTAAGAAATGCTAATTTCATTTTTGTAATATTCTAAAACGGTGATACTCAGATTTAGCTGTTCTTCAAAATTTCCTGTAAGCAGACAAACTTCCAGATTCTGCTCCCAAAGATTCTGATTCTAGGTCTGTGTTAGGGCCTGGAAATCCATTTGAAATATTTTTAGCCTACTGGAAAGCACAGAGAATAAACTAACAGACATAGGTAATAAAAGTGACCTTTTAAAAATGTGCATTTGATCATGTCATCTTCCTGCTTAAAATCCTTTCACATGCTTTGATAAAAAAGAATCCTCACATTAACCCACAAAAGCCAGCATAGTTTCACAACACTGCTTGCCTGAACCAACCATACCTACTAGCTTTTAGATCTTCAAAAGAACGCTATTCTTCTTGGCTTAGGTTGTTACCTCTTTTATATTCCTGCCCCCTCTCCCCACCAACACACACAGTTTCCAGGGCCAAGCAGAGCATAGCGCCTGGCATATGCTGGGCACTCAAATGTCTGTAGAATGAATGGCAATCTGGGTGAAAGGGGAGAGTTAGGAATGGACACTGATACTACTAAG